GGGAAGAGGGAGAGATAAAAGGTCAGATCAAGTCAGGAGAAAGAAAACGAATACACTAGGACACAATGTCTTGTAAGTAACATCAACATTCTTCGAAAGATAGCATGGGGAGAAATGCCAGATATAGGTGAAGAGGAGGAAGGCAGCAAATCACACTGCCACGTGTGTACCTATGCAACAATCTTGCATGTTCTTCACATGTACCCTAAAACCTAAAATGCAATTAAAAAAAAAAGAAAAGAAAAAAAAATTCTTTGTGGTTTGAATTCCTAGGATGAAGTAAAAGGTGGATGAATAAATCGCTGATGAAGCACCAAAACAAAATACCTGGGTCAAGGCTTTTATGCCACTGAGAAGACAGCTCAGCTCAGTGAAGATAAATTCAAGCCCATGCCTAAAATGATTCGTACTTGTATGCATGTTGGAGATGTTAGACCCAAAACTAAAATAAATACGTTGGTTGCTGTGACAGATGTTATAGGGTCAAGAGGAAAAGCTTTGTTGAACTTCAAAATTTGAAACAACACTCACCCTAATTTCCTAAAACAGGGATTAAGTCCCACAGGTCCTCCTTCCTAAAGCAAGTGCTTCATCCACTTATCTTCAAAGGACGCAAACAACAAACTGACAAATACAGTGCTGAGATGATGATGCAGGGTAGAAATGACTCAGTCTAAGCTTTACAACAAACCTGGCTTTAATACTAGCATTCATACTAACATCTGAATGTAGTCTAAATACATTAAGAATTAATCTTAAAACAATAAATCAAATTATGTTGCAAAAATAGGAAAGCTTTATCCCTTTCTAAATTCCTTCCCGCAATTCAAATAAGCTGCTCTCTCTTAGACAGGAACTTTTTCTGTAGTTTCCTCAAAGCATGAGAGATATTAAGTATTTGCATCAAAAGGCCATAATAATATCAAAAGATAACATTTATTGGGGATCCCATTTTATGAAGAGTTGACAAAAATTCAGACCTGTCAGGCCACTTAAAGAGAGCTAGTAAGTAGCTGGAGGCGAAATCTGAGCTGAAAGTCTTTCCACCACTGCATTTCTACAAGCTAAGTAAACACAAGTGTGCTCGTATTCTCAAATGTAAATAGTCACACAGATATCCAAATGGATTTTGGGGTCACATTTAACAACTTTTTTGTACCACATAAGTATGTGACTTATGAATATAACAGAAAAACTCTTTTTGCAAGGTACCCTATCTGTGCAAGGTATCATATCTGTGCTTAACAGTACTGTGGATTTTGACATATATTGTATATCATGTTTAAAATTGCTGGGAGATGTCCACTATGTACCATCAAAATTAAAAATAAAACATTAAAAAATGAAAAAGAATATTTAAAACTATCTGGGAGAAAAGTAAATTGTCTTCAGTTTTATTTGCCATTTTTCTACCACAAATAAATAAATAAAAGTTAACTGGACTATTCAGCCTTTTGAGCAGTAGGTAGAAAGTGATAAAATGCTATATTAAATGCAGTCATTTGCAATACAGTTTTTCAGTTGGAGAATCTTGCTTAGAATTCAATCACTATAAATCCACAATTATCATACATCATATCATCACAGTATAGTTGGCTTTAATTACTAAGAGAAAGAAATAAATTCTCTTCTTTGAAGATGTCCTCTGAGTAAACACTGGACTATCATAATAGAAAACACAAGATCTTAAATCGATCAACTGCTAATCTTAAATACCTATAGTCAATTAACACTCTTTGAATGCCTATGATGTGTAAGACACTGCCAGAAGGTACAGGACATAAAATGAATCTTACAAAAAAAATGAGGATAATGAAAATAAGGAATGTAATATTCTTGAAGAAAGGAGCCACATATGTCATGTTTCACTTTGGTGGCCACTAAAATGTTATCACTAAATTGCTTACCAATTCTAAAAACTAAATAACTAGTTTTAAAATAAAAAAGTAAATTATAGAACAATAAAGAAAAATTCTATATATACACTTTTCATGTCTCGGTACACATACATGATAAGGGAAATTTGTTAACTTTTAATTCTGTAACATTCTACTTCACTAGAATAACAGTTGAAATAGTTCCCATATATATAAAATCAAATAATTTTGCTAATTTAAAAATTACCAAACATTCTATTTTGTGGAATAAAGCGTTGCCTGATTCTAAAGAAAAGTTAACGAATTAACGCAATGTGCCAGATTATTTTTAAATTTCCAAAGATAAGTAAAAAAAAAAAACTATGATTCAGAAAAAAAACCAAAGATTTACAGATAATAATGCTCACAGAAATGCTAGATGAAGTTAAACCATGGAACAGTTTAGGTATGTCTCTGCAGAATTTTTCTAGTTAGCCAGGAACTTCAGTTATGACATTAAGGAAATCTTTTTTTTCTCCATTCAAACTAACACTACATTAAAAAAAAAAATCAAACTACAAAAAGAAAAATAATCAATCTGAACAAAGCTAATATTCTAGATGCCAGACCTAGTTTAAATGTAAATTATATATACATATATGAGTAGATTTTGTATTATTTACCGAGGTAAGACTGAATATTTAAAACAGGCTTTGTAGTCAGCAAAACTGACCTCAAGTTCTGGCTCTGCCTTTTTACTATGTATGTTTCTGAGGCAAATCATTTATCCTCTCTAAGCCTCTGTTTCCTACTCTGTAAAACACAGGTAAGAATATCTAAAATGTGGATGCATTAAAGTGCTTAAGTACAGTGTTTAGTATACAGTGGTAACTATCAGTATAAACAAAATTTAGTAAATATGGTCTTCTACATAATGATTTATTTATTATCACAAAAGTATAAGACCAAAATGATTCTCATTTTACTAAATGGCATAGGAAGTTCACTATGAATAAGCCATCTTCTCAAGTATAGGTTGATGTGCTAGTGGGATACGTGGCAGTGAGGTTCAGGGAAGAATTTCATGCTTGGGGAGTCTTAACAAATCTTGGCACTCTGCCACATTTACCTTTCCTAACATGATGTAAAAAATACAATTCTGAATTCTTTTAAAAAGTTAAAACTATTTTCAGATTCTATACTTTTTGTTATGCTAAAGATTAAGACTTCCATTTTCTGGAATATGAAAGTTAAACTTTAGTGACATGTTGCAAATAAGATGTTTAAAACAAGACCTAAGTGATTTCCATTATTGGACTATAGGCAAGTAATGATTCTGAAAATTGGTAATTGAAACATAGCTAAGCCATGATTTCAAATTTGTTCCAGGAGAATGGTAAATAAAGTGGTGGTACTGATAACACGTATGCATAAGATTATATTGGCACAATGTCACCTGAAAACTGTTATTCCCTGAAAGAGATGAATCAACTTTTATTACTGTTTATTTTTTGAAATATTTTATTAAATTTGGTAAAATAAAAATAGTAATTACACTTGTTTTTGTAAAGACTTGCAATGACTCTTTAGATAGAACAAAAAGGTTCTCCTTACGCCCTCATTCTTCTGTCTGCTACTGCTCTGACATAGGCAATTTTTCTTTTAAAACTGAATTTGAATATGAATGAATTAAAATTTTCTAATATAAATTTTCTACCTGACTGATCCTTATGTTTTTCCTTTATGTTTTTTTCTCTTGTCCTTACCTTTAAAACTTCTTGAAACCTAGGGAGTATATCTAAATGTAAAAAGTCTGATGTACCACAAAATTAATAAACTAACTTCTCACTTCTTTCATTCTTCTGAAATAATATTTATTGTGGAAGGAAAAAACTATCTCACACACAACACTATTTTGTTTCTTTGAAATTATTCTCCTAACAGATATTCAAATGAATATTATACATAAATGAAGATGATAAGCTAGAAATTGATAGTACTCATATTTCCAAACTAAGTAATTTCATCAATTAAACTTTCCTAATGGATAGTGGAAACTCAGAAAAGTTTATACTCATGTATACCCTTTGCCTAAGGTGGATAAAGTAATGAATAATATCATTTGCTAGCTACATACTACCCTAGTTCTTAACAAAAACTAAACCAGTTAGCATTATTTTACATGACTCTAAAAACACTTATTAATGTATTTTTGTAGTAAAATAATTTAGACCCAAGTGCGAATGTACTTTACCAAAGCAAAGGGGTTGTGCATTTGAATCCGAACAATGGTATACAAGCTGAGACTTTCATAAACTAGCTCATTCAATTAATGTGTTTATTGAATAGTCAACATGAGAACTGAATGCCAAGAAGAGTACATTGTTGTCATACTGGATAGAGCTTTGAAAAGTTTACGTGGAAGGTTCAAGAGGTTATAAGAAAAAAAGAACCCTCAGTTATATAATTTGTTTGGGTCTCCTTTCCAAACCAATGTGAAGTACTATCATGGATGAAGGACTAGAGCAATCCTAAAAGGCAGAACTGGAATCAAACGATCAATTTAACATATTAGGAACAGCAACAAAAAAATAAAGACAGGAGACAACAATTTGAGAGGCTGAGAAACCTAAATTGCCATACATTTCATAGATATCAAATTCATGTAAAAAAACTAACAAAGCTGTCCAAACAAGTACAGTCTCTCTTCTACCCAGTGATACAGTGAAATGGTTTTATCCTTTTGGGACATCTTGAAGTTAACAAAAATCCAGTGAAAGTTGTCCCTCTAAGTGATGCTTACCAAAGTCATGGATATGAACTTTAAATCAACTTTAAATTAAAAATGTCTTTCTTAACATGTCTTCTTGTAGTATGTAATTGCTTATACTGGAATTAAAATGGAAAGCGTAATAGTCATATTTTAATAACTACTCAATTTAAAAATCTGTGATTAAAGCAAATGTCTTAGCTGCAGAATGTCTTAGCTTGAAATAGCTTAAATATTTGAAAAATGTGGGAGGGGATAACATCCTAATTAAAAAAAAACAGTCAGGTGAGTTGATAACTAATTATTAATTGATAAACAACTCAGAACAAAGCTTCAGAAATGCTTGATGAGGCAGGTAAGGCTGACAGACTTACTCTGAAGCTGAGGCTGCTGGAAGGAAAGGGGCTGTCCGAACACAAATGGGCTGTGTACTAGGGAAGAGGGAGGTTTTGCAGCTTGATCAAAGATGGAAGGAGCTGGGAGATTGGGTCGTGACTGAATGGAATTCAATATGGCACTCAGTTGGTCACCTGCAGTAGGTAAAACAGTCAAAACTACAACTCATTATTCATTAACATCCAAAATGGCAACGTAAATGGTGCTTTATGACATTCAGATCAAGTTAAACACTAAATAAAACCATGCCAATTCAGAAATGAGTGAAAATTAGTGCCTATTAAGTATCTCCAAATTAGGGACTAAATTTTGCATGCCTTTTTTTTAAATGGAAGCACCCCACCAAATCTTACATAAAAGCCCATCTACAAAAACAAATCCATTTAAATTCATATATAACGTCTCTGAATATTGATGGAAGAACAAAGGTGCTATGAAGAATCTATGATAAATTGCTTCAATATAGTCCATATATAAATGAAGGTCTAAGTAAATGATGCCTTCTCCATAGCTCCCAATGATGACTAACACCACCCTGCCTCATCAGCAGTATATTTCGTGCAAAAAAAAAGCAAATATACAGTTCTTCTTTAAAAAGCAGAATTAAAGGGGCAAAGCATGTTATTAACATAGCAACATGTTTACATTATAATTACACATTAATACTTTCTTTTTTAAGTTGTTACTGCCAAAGAAATTCTACTTTAAAAGTATAAAATATTTTGCTTAGATGAATAATTAAAAAATCTATAAATCCTATGACAAAAAGAATTATGAGCTACCTAATTTGAATAGTATATAAAATATGAATTCTAACATTTTTCCTTGTACCAAAAGATTATACAAAAAAAATTTTTTAAGATAACGAAATAATTAGATGGATGATAACTCCTTGTGAGAATATATACATTAAATAGTTTAAATGATGCTGGAGGTCGGGGGAGGGAACTATATCCAGACTAGGCGATGCAAAAACTGGAGAGTAGTATCTTTCTATTCATATTTCCTAAATATAATAAAGTTTCATATGCGAAAATTTCAACTGAAGCCTACAAGGGAAAGAGTTACATGGAAAAAACTGTGTACATGAGTTATATATCTTTTTTAAAAATAATAAATAAATGCTGTAGATTATAGGAAAAAATTTAGGTTCATGAAGGATTTTCTAAAATACTGTTTTAAGGAAAAAACTATAAAAAGCAGTTCTTTGATCTTGGACAATATTAACAGCTAAACTGCTACAGATAATAAAGTCATATATTTCATAAAGTTTAGGTTTCTTAATATTTCTCTGCTCCATCTAAATATTTGAAAAACTTGTTAACAAGAGCATGGTCATTATTAATATTTTTTTTAAAGAAACAGGATCCTGTTCTGTTAGCCAGGCTGGAATGTGTGGTTATAAACAGGAACAACTATAGCAGACTACATCCTTAGGCTCCTGGCCTCAAGTGATCCTGCTGCCTCAGCCTCCCAAGTAGCTGGGACTATAGGCAGCCGCCACTATACCCAGCAATGGTGCATGCTATTTTTGAATGATATTCACAAAATCACAATTTGAAAAAGTAATACTTAATTAATTAATTTATTTATTTTTTGAGACGGAGTTTCGCTCTTGTTATCCAGGCTGGAGTGCAATGGCGCAATCTCGGCTCACCGGAACCTCTGCCTCCTGGATCCAGGCAATTCTCCTGCCTCAGCCTCCTGAGTAGCTGGGATTACAGGCATGCGCCACCATGCCCAGCTAATTTTTTGTATTTTTAGTAGAGACGGGGTGAAAAGTAATACTTTATTATGTCTACATAGTAACAAATTTTCTCGGCAATGCTTGTCTCTCCTAAACATTCGTATTTATTTTAATGATATTGTAGTAAATTACATTTTAATGTCTGATTTACTATGATAGCTATCAGTACAATGACAGACATTTCAAAGACTGAAAGTATACAACTTGTGTTAAACATGGCTTTAAAACATTGCTATGTAGAGATATAATAGTGGTAAGCAAATGCTGAGATTTTAAGAGTTGACAACAGAAAAGAGAAAGGGACATAAAGTAAACACCACCAAACATTTACGTAAGTATGAAGATCTAGCTTAAATTAATGGAAATCAGATACCCAAAGTAAGTGAGCAGGTTAATACCCAATCCTACGGGATAGGCCAATCCAAGGGAGTAAAAAGAAAAATCCTGTGGCTAGGTTTCCTTCATAAAATACTTTGTGGAAAGTAATGAAGCTATTCAATAGGAAGAAGTTTTATTTTAAATGGAATATTTCTTATACATTGATGTAAATCTGTATTTTGTTCACTACTTTATTTGTTCACTTGTTCTGCAAGTCAAGAATAATGACACTACTGTATTTGTCCCTTGGAATCAAGTCCCGTTAATGAACTTAAATACAATTTAAAGTACAATTATTTCCACATAGGCTCTCTGCTCCCTCTTACCCATGACCCAGCTGTATGTTACCTGTGGACAATATGGCTGATTTTGAAGGAGTCTAGATCAGGTACACAGGAAAGAACAAGAGTGTGTCAATTCACATAAAAATGCAATTTCTGATGAACCTCCAGCATAAATTGTTCCAAAATTAACTATTGTTTGGATAGTTCATGATGCTGGTCTCTTCCATTAATGAAGTCAAAACAGTTGTATATATTTTATACTCATAGGCTTATGGTTTTTTCTTTTTTAACTTTCTGGTTTTATTATAGATAACTAAAACCAAATGTATTATTTTATATAATTTTAAATTAACTAAGATTATTGGGTTAGAAATTCAAAACCACATAAATTTTTAAAGCTCATGTGTAACATTACTTAATATTATTTAAAAGTAATATTCTGATTTTATATGGATCATTTGAGAAAGTTCTTTGTTGCTCATTAACATTACCAACCTAATAAGTGGATAAAAACAATATTTTACTAGATTTAGTGAAATAGAATCTTTAGAATAGGAATTCAAAATGAGTGTTTTTTAAATAGAAAAAAATAAGCAAGCACTCATAAACGTAAGCCAAAACTGGTTTAAAAAAAATACTATGAAGAGAACACCTCTGTAAAAATTTTGAGTATTAGCTTTCCAGGAATAAATTTTAATTTAATAAAGATTTCTGAGTGAACACAAATAAAAAGGGCATAAAAGAGTAGGTAACAAAAATAATGAAGTTAGGTAAGTAAAAGACTTACTTTTAAACACCTACCTTTGTTATTTCCGAGTCCATAATCAAATCCTTGGGCACTGCAACTTGCCCCTTTATTAAAAGCTTGCACTGAGAAAGGGCTTGGAGGAGGAGTTTGAGAATTCTGATCCAGAAGAACTTGTTCTACAATAAAAGCCACAGCTGTAACATTAGTTTCTTATAGGCTATTCCCTATTCATACAACAAAGAAAGAAAATTGCAAAAGATTTTATGATGGTTAGATTTTAAAATAAGCTCATTTCTAGATTTAATAAATCTAAATACCAGTCAGGTCATCCTAACATTGACAAAGCACCTGACAAATCTTTGCTTTTATTTAGCAAATACACAGTGAAATTTAGAGCTGTGATATGCTCTTACGAAGCCAATTTACTTTTATTGTGGTGGGATACATTATTGAATGCATACTAACATTTCTGGACCAGAAATTCTATATTTGTAATAAATTTATACAAGAGTATTTTGCAAAACAAAAATGGATAACCTATAAATGAGAAAAATATTTTGTATTAGTATTAGATTAGAGAAAAAAGCTATTTAAGTATCTAGTTCCCAAAGGAATTTTCATTTTTAACTGTTCTAAATTATGTGAAAATTATGAAAAACTTAACTTTCAACTTATTTTGATTTATTATATAAACATATTTTCCCTAAATAGAAGGATAATAATAAACCATATTACATAATCATAGTCTATAAAAGTATCAGAATTCTTATTTCAAGCAGAAAATGGCAAATGTTTTGCCACCAATATATTAAAGAGAAGGGAACAAAAAGGAACATATCTTATTATGTGAAATCAATGTTGAAAAAGGTAAAATAAAATTTAAAGTTGAAAATCTAACGACAGGAAACCCTAAAGATTCTATGCATTTACTCAATGCTCTTTCCCCAAGACAAATTGCAATTAAATGAAGCTGCCTGGGAGAAGTACTACAATTGGTAGTTTGAATACTGAACTTTCATTTTATTATAAAAGGATAAAATGTTCAGTCCTAGACTGGTATGTAAGAAAGAGGTTTACACATTTATATTAATGAAATAAAAAGCCTGTTTTATAAAGATGAACCTTTATGTTTCAAATTTTCTTCTTTAACGTGCATTAAGTATTCATGTATTTTACAAATCAATTTTAACAGTTGCAAAATTTTTTAACCTTTAGTTTTGCTTTTACACACACAAAAAACCTTTAAAACAAAAGCAATACAATATGCATTGAACTTCAGTATTTCGAAGCTTAATTGGAATAAATCACAAATGTAAGCCAACTTGCCATCTTCATGTCGGAGGTACTGGTTTCCGCCTCTGTCTCTAGCTAAGGACCATGCCTCTCCTTCATCACTCTCACAGAACTCTACCATGCTGTTCTGATCCAGTTGCACCCACGTCCCTTCAGAATTGGTTACCTGGTACATAACAAAAAGCATGATTGATTGGCTTGATTCTTTCAGGGCACTCAATCTGAAAACCAGTAAAAAGCTTACGTGTCTGAATAGTGTAATCATTCCAATATATTTCTACTATGAAATTAGTTTCTGAAATTAAGGCCACAGCCTGAGGTAAGACAGAAATCAACAAAAAGTTCTGTAACATACTGCTTATTTATAAATTTGGTTAAAATAATAACGTCGAAAGCACAAAGATAATCCCTAAATAATTCAAGGTGTTAAACAAAAACACACGGCTCATTTTCTTTTTCTGCAGCTAAAATGTCCTAACACAGCCTACATGCTATTATTCAGGTTGAGAGTACCCATAGTGTAACTTGAAAATGACCCTTACTGAGAAACAGCATGACACACTACATCTTCAAGCTTATCAGCTGAGGCAAATGCCACAGTAGCCTAAAGAGTAATTTTATTTGCTCAGGACTTCAGTGAGACCTATGAATGGGAACAAAGAAGTGAAACCTTTTGCATATGATCACATCTCCAAACCAATCACATAGAATATTTTAAGTGTTGATAATCCATGATGATATAGTACATTTGTAAAAATGAAAAAATATATGCAAATACCAAACATTTATATATACAATACAAACCATTTGGTAATATATTGTTTTTACAAGGATAATTACGCAAATTATTAGACAGAAGCACAGAAAAATTATGTTAGTATTTGCAGTACAAGTAAAGATAAAATACATTAACATATAAAAACCTGCAGTAGAAATGGCAACCTTTAGAAGAGATGCTTTGGTGGTATTATATTAAAAATGAGTATCTTAGAAGTCATGAAGCTACAAGAATCCATACCTCTCCCACTGCTTTGACTTTGTTTCCCAGAACTAACATTCCAATTGGGATACCTCTAAGGTTAGGGCAGCTTCTGATGTTGTGACCTGAAGGTCCCGTCTTCACTACCTTGTACATGCCTGGCCCTCCTCGCAAAAATGGCATATCTTGTTCTTGCATTGTTGCTTCCTGTGGGCAGCAGGAGTTTATGTCTTTGAAAAAGTCATCAGTATTAGTTTTAGATTCCTGAAAATTTGAATAGGAAAAAAAAATAAACAAAATACAATCTATTATCACTTTCAAAGCCTTCCTATTAATAGCTTTTATACCAAGTCAACAATACTGTCAACATAAAAAAAACCCCACATAACTAAAGATAACTGAAGAATTAGTCAATATCACTAATGAAAGAATCTGTTTTTCAACAATAAACGATATTTAAAATAAAGCTGAAGACAAGAAAATACAGAAGGAAACCAATCAAACCTCTGCCTTCTGCCCACAACAATTTGAGAAGTACAATCATCTTTGATTTCACTTTAATCTTTAATGCAATATTTAAATTTAACAGGAGAAATAACAATACTATCCTATGTGAACCACAAGGGAATAACTTTGAATCATTATTACTGCATTACTATATGTTGTTATCAGTTAAAAAAGTCTAAATATTCATTTCTTCCCATGTTGAAATAATTATTTATAAATAGAGAAAACAGGTATGAAGAATGTGAAAACTGATCAATAAGCAGAGGCAACAATGATGAAAAACATGTATTAAAAATATAGCTATATTTTGATATTTGCTAGTTATGAATGAAATAATGATGCTTACAGGATTTTAACAACTTATACTTTCTAACATTGTACAAATAAAAATGTCTTGCTAATTGTTAAGCCATTACTATGCAGTGATGTGCTGGTGCTAGTAACAGAAAAACAGACTATATTTTTAGTAGAAAGGAGAGATTAAAAATGCATTTAAATAAACATACTGCAAATTTATATTACTGAAAAGAGTCACTTCTAAAAGGAAAGAACCTACTTAAATTTTCTGGTTAAATTGTAATATTGTGATAAAATTGTTTCCTATGTCAACATAATAAAGAGAAATAATAACCTTTCCATATTTTCTCTTTTTCCCAACTAAAGGTGAAGTGTCCACACTGGGTGTTTGCATTGCCATCATTACTCCTTTATAAGAGACTTAAAACTGCATTTTTAAATATAGTAATATAAACTCTATAATTTATTTTATATTTAAATAGAGTAATAGATAACTATAATGAGACAGACGTGCAAACATTAGGTTAAAACTCATATTTAATAATGTTAGAAATAGAATAAAAATGTAAAAACTAACATTACACAAGATAAATTTTATTAAATAGTTCTATCCCTACCAGTAGCCTCACATGAAGAGATGCATATACATGTTCATATAGATAGTAACACAGTAGAATATTAAGAATAAAATCCTCAGGTTTAAAAATGTGTGGATTCAAGAATTCTGTATACCTGTGACTTTGTTAATTCCACACATGACTGGCCAGGGAAAATTTTAAAGTCACCATTAACTTTCACATAATATTTTGTGAATCTCACTGTAGTGATGAATAAGCAGTTTTTACTTACACAAATATGTACTATGAACAATTAATTTACATTTTCTATAATTATATTTTATTTACCAATATTCTTTTGTTACATATTGGCAATTCAATGGAAATGAGAATTTTAAACACTCAAAAAGCTTAGATTTGCAACCAAAAATAAACATAAAATACACATTTTACATACCATCATATATATTTATAAGAATTTATATATATGTGCACCTATATGAATACACAGAAAGCACTCAAGATAAAAATTGAGAGTGAGACAGGGCTAAACTTTACATAGTTCTTGCTATTACACTCACAAGATTTTCTGTAAACATTTTAAAAGTCAATTTGTGAATGGTCAATTTTAGTAAATACATCATGCCATTTCAGAGCTGGAAGAAGCAAGTTTTAATCCTACTCACAACTGATGCTTAAAAATTACATGGCAACATAAAAAAATATCCATAGATTTAGCAAAAAACCTCCAATTGCACTGGTGTTTAATAATACTCCTCGTACACTTATTACAACAATAATTCTAACTTTTGATCATTCAGGGTAAAACTGGAGGTGAAGTCTTGGCAAAACTAATTATAATTGCAAACTAGTCAATGAAAGGCAGTTATGAAAACCTGTTAAAAATTTTAAATAATTAACATTTGATCGAAAAGGTAATAAAACTATAAGTATAAAACAAAGTGTATCCAATTTTTGTGCTGAACAGTATAAAAAACAGACATAAAGTCACAGAACTGTGCCTATCATTCTCAAGCAATAGTAACAAACATTTTTTATTCAATACAGAAATGTAAGATCCAGGTACTGACATATTAAATTGGTGAATTTCAATTATTACTTTTTCTCCCTCCATTCCCATCACATTCTCAGATGAACATTCACGGAGGCAATGTGAAAGAGTTGGCAGTAGAAAAATAAAAGAGCCATAAGGCTAGGATACTGCCACCTAATAAGTTGTGAAAACAGTAATCTTAGATATAATCATTGGAAAAGCTAGTCATAAAACTAAATATAGTAAATCTGAAGTCACGTAGAAGTATCACTTAATAATACATTCTTTTTGGCAGGACAGAGGAGAAAACCTAATTGCAGCACTTCACATAGATCTCTCTTTAGGTAAAAAGGTTTTATTAATCTTAGCAAAGGTTTGAAAGACACAAAATTTGTTATACATGCTGAAATACCTGAATAAAATACGATTGTTCCTTACAGTTAACTCACCTGAGGGAAAAAAGCTTTGGAAGTCCATGAAAATACGTCCAAATCCCTGACTCCTTGGCTAGCATTAAAGATATTCTGAGCAACAAAGTTTAAGAAAGAAAAATATCAACAAAGAAAGGGAACAGGATATCATCTGCAGAAGATGTGTTCACAGTAACAACATTTTTCTGTACTCTAGCACCAACACGAAAATATTATTTTACTCAAGAGAAACTGAAGCCATCTGAGTAAACCACACACTGAAGAAATTCTGTCTGATAAGTTTTTGTCAGAAGCTCTCCATGGATATAGTGTGTCATGCCATTTACTAAAATTAAGAGCCAGACGTTGTTATAAAGCTTAAGATACTCAGTGCAAGAAAGAAACTTTAAAATTCTTTAAATGAGGATATATTTGTTCTAATACAAGCCAGATTTGTTTTATGAGACACAAACCAGTCTGCTGTTTTATAATAAAAATGCAAATGATATAGACTGTATACAAAATGCAATTGTCATGATTAATAATAATGACATGTAGTTTATATGAACTTATCACTTTTTGAAGTACAAAAATCAAAAAATAAAACAAAAAAATCCAAGTTATTTTTTTCAATTTTGCTTCTCTCTATAAATAGGAAAAAATCATCTGGAAATGTTTCTGAATGCTATTAACAAATTTGATAAGAAAAACAGAAATAATATATATAATCAATTTTTATCAAAAGATAAAAATTTAATCAAATTTATCAAAAAACAGGCCTAATTTTCTCCATCTCAAAGTTCAGGAAATGCAGAGTGCATTTAAAATCTTTAAGTTAAAGTCTAAAAATATTTTGTTGAGGAACAATCAATTCACAAAAACATTATTCCAGAAAAATCAACATTTCACAAAATGTTTTATAATTTAATGATATACATTTTACATACTTATCTCATGCTATCAATCTATATTTATCTGTTCTGAAATTAAAACCTTTCCAGTAAGTAGCAACTGCACAACTGTATTGCTTGTGTAAATATTATAAAAGGTTATTTTGAACCAAAAAAGAGGGCATTCAAAATGTTAATTAAAAAGATCACCTAAGACTTCAACACAAAAGAAACACCAAAATTCCCTATCAATTATAAGTCATTTTAGATGAGAATTTATTTACTATTCTCTAGTGCTATATGTTCCATATCCATATATATGCATGAATGAACATAGATACACACCCATGTACATACATATATATTAATTCATAAATATAAGACATATAAAACCCTAAAAATGTATATAATATGCCTACAAATAAATGTAAACCAAAACCAAAGCGAACTCCCCCCTAATTAAAAGTGGATAGTGAATAAGGTCCTTTTGCTTTAGGTAAAGTGGAAACATATTGCAAAGCATTTTGAAGTGCTATTTATTAGGGAAAAAATGTCTGTATCGGTTCATCCATGTATATAAGAATTTGTAAAGTACTTGGTCAACAGTTTTTCTCCTTACAGAGAATAGTGGGGCAGACTTTTTGACATAAAACAATATCACTTTTTTTTTTTAGCATTTTCCATTTTTTAACATAAATCAGTATCACAGCAACGTGAAAGGCAACTGTTAAAAGTAATATAGGTAAAGTTAGTGATAAAGAAGCAATGTGATGACTGGTTGATAATAATTAAAGCTTATACCTCTCTTTTATGTCAGTGTGCAAACACAGGTGCTTTCTCAGTCAACAGCATGTACAATGATATTTTAAAATGATGTAACTGCTAACTATGATAATAAATTGCCAATAAAATCAATTTTGCTTATGTTTCTATGCAAACAAACTTGATACTGTTTTGCTTTTGTTCTGCAGTTAAAGAAAATTCTTAATTCACACTGGTTTACCGTAAGATTATTTTCAAAATACAATGTCCTAATTGTATTTATCAAGAAGCAGAAATTTGTAAAACAGAAATCTGGAGTTTAAAAATAAAATATACTTGAATAACTGAGCACAACAGTGCATGCCTATACTCCCAGCTATTCAGAAGGCTGAGAGAGAACTGCTTGAATCTAGGAGTTTGAGACCTGCCTGGGTAAGATGGAGAGACCTCATCTTTACAAAATAATTTAAAAACTTAGCTAGGCATGGTAGTGCACACCTGTAGTGCCAAGAAGGTAGGACTCCATGAGGCCAGAAGTTGGAGTCCAGCTTGTGCCACAAGAAGAATTCATCACACACACAATACATACACACACACATACACACACACACAGTGTTCGTTGAAAATTTAGGAATGTTTTAGTCTAAAGATATAAAATTTCTCCAAAGCCCCAATTTCTCACTATTAAAATATGTTAGCTTTCACCTAATATAATTTCACAGGTGAATATGAGCATAGCTTGTGTGTGCATGTGTATATATATACACACATACACATACAATAACATTTTATTCTCAAATACTATTTTAAAGGCAGAAAAGTTCTGTCAAGAAAATTAGAAAATTAAAGCATACTAGGAACCTAGCTAAATTAATGAACACCAAATTGCAACCCTAAGCTGATCATCTTTCAAGGCATAGAAGAGATCAAATAAGTGAATAGTTATCACAGTGAAAATATGTGAGACCAACCATGCCAAATGCTCATGCAAATGAAAGAAAAAATCTTTCACTGTGTTAGATAAGCACAAAGCTAAGAATTACCACTGTTAAAGCAAAATAACATAACTCAAGAAAATTTAGCATAGATAATTATTACAATATTATTTTAACTGTTTTAATCTCATTCTGTTTACAAAATTTCAACATTAAGCTAAAAAATAAAATAAAGCTGTTCTTAACCATCTAAGAACAGCACATTTACTAATGTTATATTAAGTTAATATTAAGATTAAAAAACTGGTTATGTGTACACATACACACAAAGCTATTAACAAAATCAGCAAATCTGGGGTATGTTAATGCTGTGATGGCTAGGTGTTATTAAGTAACCCAAAAGAATGAAATTGGATACAAAATACAAGAAACATTTGCCAGTTTTATCAATTAACCCAGGTGATGCTATACAAGATCAACAAATGATACTTTCTCTTCAATTCTACTTCAAATCTTTCAGGTCCCAAATTTTGAAAAATCAGTATACTTTCTATATGTGAACACCGATCAGCCTAAAATAAGAAGTAATCTGTATAAATATATGGAGATATTCAGAGACCCAAGTTGCTTCTGTGAGAATTCAGATTGTATGGGAACTATAAAGATACCTTGGAATACTTCCATTTGTCTATCATTTACTTCCCTTGATATAAACTTTCTCTTCCACTCAACTCCCCTCACAATGTTAAAAGATCTCATTTTTGACAAAATACCCAAACATCTGGATGTATAAATTTCAAACTATTAACATCTCCATTCCCCAGGTATGTCATCTCAGAATGACTCATGTCATCTTCAATACATAACATGGTATTCATCCTCATTCAACCATTAAGATTATAAGTATTTATCTTTCTGTAGTTTGGCAGTTCTAGCCAAAGTAATAGGATTTTTATAGCTATCGTTGTTTCATCTTTTTATAACTGTATTTATCCTTATCTCTCCACTAGATTAATGCATACTGGACATAAAAGCATGGGCTGTAGAACTGTATCAACTGGGGTTCCAATACTAGCTCCACTACTTTCTACTTGTGATCCTGGGTGAGTGGCTGTCTTTATTCACTGGAAAAATGAGAATTATAATATGCTTCATATAACGGGGTCACAATGAGGACTAAACAAAATCATTTAAGGGAAGTAGTATACATATGGTAGAAATCAGTTTAAATAGAATGAGCATACCAAACGCAAAGAACCAAATTAAGCATCCGCAAATGTGGAAAGCATTAACAAACTCCAAAAACCCACTGTGAGCGAAGAGTAATTTTTAACCCTTAGGAAGAAAAAAGTGTAAGAAGGGATCCTGAATGAGTTCTTACCCTTAAGTAGCTTAAAAATAGAAATAAGAGCTACGTAAACACAAATGGGCTGAAGGCAAAAAAAAACAAACATTATGGGTAGCTGACGAAAGCAGTAAACCTTTTCTACTTCTACAGAATAAGTGCTGCATGAGAAGGAAGCGGGAAACCTAATTTCCCCAGTACATATCTGTTTTCTACCCTCAAATCGCTGCCTTACCTGTATCAACTATTCATCAGTTCATATACATAGCATGCTCCCGTAACTCTGAACATTTGATTCTCTGTCTAGAAATTCTGCCACTTAAGTGAAGCCATTCTACATCTTAACACAATGCAATCTAATTATTTGAATATGGTATGCTTACCACATTACATGGTGAATACTCTAAGAATGAGAACTTTACCCCATCTTATTTACTCTGTATCCCTTCTCTCTGCCTCTCCACCCAACACCTACTTTCCAGCTTAGTATTTAATACTAACAAGAATGCAAATAAGAGTTCTATTAATAAGAACGGAAATATTTACTGAATGAGCAATTGATGAATTAATGATTATAGCAATATTGGGAAATAAAGAGAAGATCATCAACACATTTTTGAGTCTGGCTAACTAAAGATTAGAAAAAATGGAAGTGAAAGCATTCTAGATAAATTAGACAACAAAACAAAGACTCTTAAAATGTGAAACTGAAAAGCATGTTTTAGACTGGGTGCAGTGACTCATAGTCTTTAATCCCAGACTATAATCCCAGCAGTGTGAGAGGCTGAGGCGGGTGGATCACTTGAGGCCAGGAGTTAGAGAGCAGCCCGGCTAACATGGTAAAACCCCTCCTGGCTCTACTAAAAATACAAAAATTAGTTGAGCATGGTGGTATATGCCTGTAATACCAGCTACTCGGGAGGCTGAGACATAATAGCTTAAACTCAGGAGACAGAGGTTGCAGTGAGCCAAGATCATGCCACTGAACTCCAGCTTAGGCGACAGGGCAAGGTGCTATTAAAACAACAACACCATCACCACCAAAAAATAAACCATACCAAAACAAAACAAAAAGGAAAAGTGTGTTCCAAAAAGAGCAAAAAGCTGTACATAACTGATAATGAATGCCTCACAAAGGATCTGAACTCTTCATCTATTTAGCTCTATCTTTCCCATGGACTTAAAATTATTTTGGAAACAATATGGTCATACTATGGATGTCTAATGCTCTTTTGTCTCTAAATTAGAGCATTACTAAACTGCTAATATAGTTAAAGTCACATTTGAACTAAATTAGGATATCAATATTTTTAGTCAAATATGGTATTTAAATAGAATGACTAATAGGCCAAAATTGAGCTAAAGTTCATATTTACGATGAACACAAGAATTCTAAAATATGAGTAAATAAACAAGACAGCGGAACAAGATCAATTTAAGGATTACCTAAAATGGGTAATAATAGTAATCTAATTTTTTAAAAATAGTTCATCCATATTCAGTTTTCACACTTCCAATCTCTGCCCCCATTCCCCACTATAGTTTGAGTCAGGATCCAAATAAGGTGCACACATAGACGTCAATACAAAATTGCTTTAACTAGAAAAGGCTGAAGAGATAGAAGTAAAGAGTGCAGAAGGCAACTTTTTGGTTCTTTCAATTCTTTTTAAGTTAACAGCATTGGTGCTTTATTACTTCTAATTTTACTTCACATCTGCCAGCTTTCATTTTTTTATTGAGTCATGTTTTACAATTATCAGCCATGATTAAAGTTCGTTTACTCTAAATGAACTGAAGAAGGGAGAAAAGATAGAGTTTTTTTTTTTTCAGTAGTCAATGTAAAAGAGATACAAAGGAAGAGGTAGCAAGATGCAATTATTTAATTGTGTTCTTTCCTTGAGGGGATGAGAGGGAATAATTATTCCCTCTATAACCTATCATGTTTAGCCCTGCACAGTAAGACACTCAGAACATGTACTGACTGTGTAAGAGGTCTGCTCTAGTCCCTACAGATAAAACTTTGGAAAATCATGCCTGTCCCTGCCTATGTCAGGCCTGTGACTCTGTGTGAGTCCTCATTTAACACCTGTCCTGAAGTAACTTTATATCAGATCTGTTTAGAGCCCTATGCCAGTTAATTCTGCCATACCATACCCCCCCCTCTGTCATCTTTGATCACCACCCAAAACATAAGCCTTTATATCATCTAATTGTTCTTTCATTTTTATAATAAAATTGCTCTGTTTCTTCCTAATCCAACATCAAACTATTCCCATTCCCCCCCATGACTTTAAATTGTGTCTTATGGACCCCTTCCTCCAATGGTAAACACGCTTGTTTTTATCTTTAACTTTGTGAGTCTTCAAATCCACGTAGATGATATTCCACCTGCCTAGCTTCTTAGTTCCTAGACTTAGGCACTTCCAGCGACTTCCACGTGCACAGCAACTGCACTTCAGCCACCCTCCCATGGCAATGTAATAGAGCATCTCACTCGTTAAAGTGCCTGACCAGTAATATCAAATACAAACATTCTACTTTATTGCCTGCATTTTTTCAACTCTTTAGCTACAGTGCATTCACTATATTGTTGGAGGATTTTATTAAATCTTCTAAGTCCCTTGGACCTTCCATTTGTCCTTTCACATTTCTAACTTAGGCCTGAGTCCACATTCCCAGAGTTGATGATCATTTTAATTGCTCTTTCTGTCACAGCAGGTCAGCATATTCTAACTAGTGCTATAATTTGCTTTCTTGGCTCTTTTAATTCTGGACACTTACGGCAATCAGAAACTAAGAGGGGGATTCCAGCTGGGTCTATACAGTGGTCTCACTGAATCCTTAGTGGCCCAGTAATCCTTTAGTTACTTTTGGTCAGATCTTGCTCTTATTTCTCTCAAAGAATATTGCAAGTATTCCTTGCATTTCTCAACCCTCTAACTTAACTCATTCTTTTCATTCCAAACTGATGGTTTTCTTTTCTTCTATTTTAAGAAAACTTGTGATCTCTCTGAGTCTCTTCCCTTTGTCCCTCCCTCCCCCAAAACATAACTATTGCCATGCATATCCCCCTCTCTTACAGATGAAAGCTCTCCAAGGTGCCCTCAATTCCATTTCCTCCTCCTTTTTTCAGTCTTCAGCCTTGTCATCTACATCTTTAATTTCTCCCTTTTCTACTAGTATCTTTCTTTTAACTTATAAAACTCTTAAGTCACTACCATCCTTAAAATGAAGAAACCAGAAAAACCCTAGCTTCCTAACAGTACCAGACACTCTTGAGCTGTTTACATTAATAATGTCCGCACTCATTCCAGAGAAAATCACCCAAACTATCTGTATGCCTCACTCCACTCCTTACCACTCCTCCAACCTTTGTTACTTCCTTATTTCCCTGACCTTAAGGAGACAATCTACTACAGACTCTCTCTTGGATGGGGTTCAAAAGCATCAAATAAAAGAACACAGTGCTTTAAGATAAAATCGTGGGATTCAGAACTTTGACAAACGGTGTTTCTTCCTCTTCCTTTCTACCTTTGTTTATTCACTTGCTTTATCTGTGTGAGTATCTTCCTTTCCCAAAAGCAGCTCCTCAAATGAGCAATAAAGAAATCAGAGAACACTTGGACTGGGGGAGGCAGAAAAGATAATATAATCTGGTATAATGTTTTATTAGGGACTTAAGAGACTTTCTTAAATGAAACATACAATGGCCAGGTGTGGTAGCTCATGCCCATAATCTCAGCACTTTGTGAGGCTGAGGCAAGAGGACTGCTTGAACTCAGGAGTTTAAGACCAGTCTAGGCAACACAGTGAGACCCCCATCTTTATATTTTTATTTATTTTTTGACACAGAGTCTTACTCTGTCTCCCAGACTGAAGTGCAGTGGTGCGATCTTGGCTCACTGCAACCTCCACCCCACAGCTTCCTGCAATTCTCCTGCTTCAGCGTCCCAAGTAGTTGGGATTACAGGTACCCACCACCACAGGGGATTAATTTTTTGTATTTTTAGTAGAGATGGAGCTTCACCATGTTGGCCAGGCTGGTCTCCTAACTTCAGGTGATCCAACAGCCTTGGCCTCCCAAAGTGCTGGGATTACAGGTGTGAGCCACCTTGCCAGGCCCTCCCATCTCTATAAAAAACAAAAACCAACTCCCCCACGCCTAACAAAAAAGTCTACATTAGGAAAAAAAACCGTACAAAAATGGTTGTTATAATTACCTCTTTAAAACACACTTTTGTAGGAGGTCAAAATCTTGCTCATTTTTAACTGCTGGTATAAATCTAAGAAAAATTTAATAAGATCTAATTTTTTAACTTAAAATTTAATATTTAAATTATAGATATATCATTGTTCAATTTAACCTTCCTTAAAGCAGTAAGCCAACACTTTAAATTTTCTTGACCACATATCTTTCGTCTCTCTTTCTTGTTCTCTCTCTATAAAGTTTCCACTGTACTATTATAAAAAATACACAAAAGCATATAAAAAAGAATGAGATCAATACGTATAAATACAAATTCTTCACCAAAGAATCGTCTTGTATTACATAAACTACTGCTTTGGGGAACGTTATTATGGACAATGAAACAGAAAGTCAGACGGAATATACTGAAGGTTTGATATAATAAGCCAACTTTATAAACTGATTTTTAAGAAATTCAACTGTTTAAAAATACTAAGTTTTTAAATAAAATTTTACCCATACTATTTATTAGCACTGCCCTAAAGAGCATACACATTTATTTGATGGTGATGAAAAGAGAAAAATCAGTCTTTTCTGGTTAGTTTATAAAATGAAGTATGGGTTATTATTACACTTCATGAAGCAGCAATCTTGTGGACACTGGCTCTATTCTACCAATATACTTAACAAAGAGGTACAACAAATTCTCTCAAAGACTAAGATCTAACTTCAACTAGAATACTACATAGCATGACAAGCCTAAATATTATTATAAGCAGAGAAAGATGAGATTCAAAATTAGACAAAACACACAGAACTAACTGCAAAATGTGAACATAATACACATTTGTACATGTTTTTGAATGTATAATTCTGAGTTTACAAACTTTAGTTTGGAATTCCTTCCAAACAGTAGTATAAATAAGAAAGAAAAAAAAAATGTAACCACTCTCATTTTCTGCCTCTTTGAAATAAATTCAATAGTTTTAATTAAGTAATTAATTAAATTTACCACTTCCTGCCTATCTGGGATGGATCATAATCAGCATAAGGGCCTTAACCGTGCCAAACTTCACTTTCACTACACAGTGAAGCCCTTAAGAATTCAAGAAATTATAAAGTAAAAGTTACTTAGTTGTGGGTTACCTCAGAACTGAAAAGCCTTAATTAAAGAAAGCCCTGTAAAATAAACAGCGAGTATCTATAATGCTTTTTCAAGCCACCTTTTACTTACGTCAACAGGGACCAGAAGACTCTTGCCAAGATGTTGATTAAAAGACAGGCACCAGGCTTCAGTGTAACCATTCATGTTAGGCACATACTTCTTTATTGTCTCATCATTCAGCCTTAGCCACACACCATCATCATTATGGATCTACACAAAAAAAGCGACAGAAACAAGCCAGACCTTCCTGTAACTCCTATGAGGCTAGCAAGGTCTGAAAGTCTGCAAAGCAGGCAAATAATGGTGGACGTAGAGATTAAGCATTTAGTTTTTGTGGAAAGTAAGTCTGAGAGACCCTCCAGGGAAAAAAAGCAGCGAAGAATGCCAACACAATATGATAATTCATGTGGCAAGATTATAAAGACGATTTCACTTAGGAATAAAGCACAAGGAAACCACATTACATAGTTTAAACAGTAAAATCAGATGTTTCCCCAAGGAATATGAGTCTTCTTTCCCTTATATTTATATTTTAACAATCAGAAGATACTTAGTTGTAGTACCAAAAAATATACTGTCCAAAGTTAAAGCAGTGCAAGAAATACATTTCAAAACAAACAATATTTTTAAATGTCATGAAAAACTGTACCTATTTTCAGTGAATACTTGCATAGGTTCTGAATACTATGTTGAACATTGTTCTTTTCACGTTCAAAATACAATTTTAGTTATTTTTTATTGATAAAATAAACGAAATGTTTGAAACTCAATGAATACATTCTACAAAATAGTTTTAAAATATTTCCCAAACTGCTTAAAACACATTCTGACAAAAAAACTCAGTAACATTATTATGCAAATAATGCAAAAAATTTCTGTCCAAAATTTACTACCAAGAGTTCCTTTATCAATTACCTCATCAATAAAAGTGATAGTTCCATTGACTTTCACTATGCCTATCTGCTCACTCTGCAAGGAAGGGTGGCTACGGATGCGAAGCCCTGCACTGTCCTTGGCCACAAATTTTCGGACCTGAGAAAGGCAAAGATAAACAGTAAGAAAGGAAAAGCATGGAACAGGGATCTTGTAAGTAGCAAGAAGTAAAATTAAGCAGATTTGAAAGTATAATTCTCAACAAGTTTCCAGAATTATTTGTAGTAGGGCTCGCTCTGCAAATAACAGTGGTTTCTCAACACTAACAACAGAACTTTTAAGAACTGAAATGAATATTACGGAAAATAAAACTTAGAAAATTATTATATATATTTTTGAAGCTATGTGTTAAGAAGGATGAAAGCCACTTGTTCCTGTTAGAGAAACATGATACAATTTCAATTACCAATATTCCTTTCTTTAACAAGCAGTTTACCAAAATGCCTGTACTTACTCTTAGATCTGAGAAATTATTTTTTCTTTTGACAGTACAGGACATTTTCACCTTGAAAACGTTACACTTAATTTCAGCAGACTTTTTGTTCACTGTAAATGTTCCATAGCAGGAAGAATACAACATGTATGAATGACTATAGTGTTATACAAAGAAATAAAAAAAAGTATACATTCTATAACTTAGAAATATTACTGTGAAGCACTCATTAAGTTTATTTAGGGATATTTAGAACTCAATTCCTGAAATCAAGTAAAATATTAGATGTTTACTGGCCATTTTGAAGCCATCAGTGAAAAATATGTAAAAATTGAATGATTCCAGCTTCGAGTTCATTCTACCCTAACCTTATTAGGCTGAGGTTCAGTCTTTGGTTTGACCAGCTGAGTTCCTGGTGGTATCATCCCTTTTGGTGGGTCTTTTACTTTTACTTCCAGACCAGCATCTGTGAGAAAAATAAAGAGAACTGTTACATTTGAGAAAAAAAAAGAAGGAAGATTCTTAAACCTAATACTATAAACATTCTCAGGCTTTTTTTTTTTTTTGAGACAGAGTATCGCTCTGTTTCCAGGCGCCAGGCTGGAGTGCAGTGGCACAATCTCAGCTCACTGCAACCTTCGTCTCCTGGGTTCAAGCAATTTTCCTGCCTCAGCCTCCTGAGTAGCTGGGACTACAGGCATGCACCACCATGCCCTACTAACTTTTGTATTTTTTAGTAGAGACGGGGTTTCACCATGTTGGCCAGGATGGTCTCGATTTCTTGACCTCGTGATCCACCTGCATCTGCCTCCCAAAGCGCTGGGATTACAGGCGTGAGCCATGGCACCCGGCCCCTCAGGCAATTTTTAAAAATTAACACAAATATCTGATTTCTGTTCTTTTCTTTTATTTTATGGGCTAAGCAAGAGAAATATTTTTAAAAAGGGAATGAGATGCTAAAAGGGTATCTCAGTATGTCAAGGAAAAAAAGGGGATTCCTACCTTTAACTAGAACATGTGAAATGATACAGAAAAAATGGAAAATAATAATAAAAAAAGAAACCCTTGAGAATTAAACCTTATCTGACAATATCAAATCAGAATACCACTCATCATCTATATCAGTCATCTCTATGACAATATAGCATGGTTGTGAGAAGCTGAGGTTCATTCTCATGTTAGACTGTTTTGGTTACTCCAACATCTGGCATTAACTGTTTGACTCTGCCCTGATTTCTTCATCTATAAAATGGGAAAAATAATAGCATCTCACTTACTGAGCTGTTGTAGGAAATACATGACTTAAAATGTACAAGGGGACAGGTGCAGTGGTTCACACTTGTAATCCCAGCACTTTGGGAGGCCGGGGTGGGTGGATCACCTGAGGTCTGGATGGAGTTCAAGACCAGCCTGGCCACCAGAGTGAAATCCTGTTCCTACTAAAAATACAAAAATTAGCTGAGCATGGTGGCATGCACCTGTAATTCCAGCTACTCAAAAGGCTGAGGCAATGAGACTTGCTGGAACCTGTGAGGTGGAGGTTGCAATGAATGGAGACTGGCACCACTGCATTTCAGCCTGGGCAACAGAGTAAGACTCTGTCTCAAAAAACAAAAAATGTGCATGTAGAACAAGGTTGGATATATATTAATTGCACAATAAATGTTAGCTATTAGAATTGTAATTATTCTAATGAATTATTATCTCTGTTGGTCTATGGTCAAGTAAGGGACAGCCCACTGATGGTATGGTAGAAAGCTTACTTCAGAAGAAGAGTAGGGAAGTTGAGTATGGAAGAAAAGGGATTATTTTAAGCAAGCAAGTGTTTTTCTTCAGCCTCATTCCAAAAAACAAATATAAGTGGATTTTTCTTATCTACCTTGTATTAGTTTCCTTCATCCCACTATTAGATAAGATGATGAAAAAAATTACTGAAATTTTACCAGAATTTTTAGAGACAAAAATCTTTACAAGGTTATTCTTGGCTATCTCTAATTTTGAGTTCCTACTGTAATTTGTATCTCCTGTGTGTCACTACTTATAATTGATATAATGTTTATTTGCCTGTTTTATTTTGGCGATCCTCAGTAAAGTGTTAACAATTGACAGGAATTGTCTTGCCTAGAACAATGTGTGCTCAGAACCAAAAAATGTTTGCTGAACTAAAGCCTTTATGGATATGCTGAAATAAAGAGTGCAGCAAAGGCTGCTGATGAAGGTCTCTAGAATGGTACAGATGAAATGGATATATCTGAGTCTATACAGTTAGTTGTATTAACGTATGAGAACACACAATTACATCAAAGTACCTCTTTACCTCCACTGCCAAAGCAAACTACTTAAAGCAGGGTTTCCCAAATATTGTGGTGAAATATTAATCAGTATTGTTGATATCTCCACCTGTTTCTCTCTTCCTTACTTGCAAGGGATCTCATGATAAGGATCAAACAAAGGCAGAAAGTTTCTTAATTTCAGAACTTCTCAGAATCCCTAATATGTTAATGTAGATTGTGTGAATGTCTCAAGTGAGACTACCATATCTAAGCTGAGCATCTCTAATTTGAAAACCTCAAATCTCTAAAATCTAAAACTTTTTGAGTGTCAACATGATGCTCAAAAACAGTGCTCACTGGAACATTCTGAATTTTGAAATTTTGAATTAGGGGTGCTCAACTGGAGACTACTATACAAATATTCCAAAATCTGAAAAAGTTCAAAATCTAGAACACTTCTGGTCCCAAACATTTCAGATGAAAGATAATCATCACACATCAGGTTTCTGAAATCTGTCTGATCACAGAAATCCCTTTTCTTGAGGAGTATCAGGAAAAATAATGTTATAAGAAATTCACACTGATAGGTACTATTGTTTTCTCCTTGTTATCCTGTTACACAGACAGTTTAAAGGTAAAGGTAAGAAAAGATTAATGCCCAAAAGAAAAGCAATATGTTTTTCAAAGTTAATGGTTGTGATGATCAGTTCCAGATGTCCACTTGACTGGGTTAAAGAATACCTAGAAACCTGGTAAAGTGTTACTTTTGGATCTGTGAGGGTGTTTCCAGAGAAGACTAGAGTGTGAGAGTGAGTGAAGTAGGTGGGGAAGATCTGCTTTCAATTTGGGAAGGCATTGCCCCATCAGCTGGGGGCACAGAGCAAACAAAAACAGAGGAGAAGTGAATGTATTTCTATCTTCTGGAGCTTGGACAAACACTTCCTCTCCCGTCCCTCAACATTAGAACTCTAGGGTCCCCAGCATTTAGACTCTGGGACTTATTCCAGTGGCCCCCCTGGACTCTCAGGCCTTTGGTCTCAGACTGAGAGTAACATCATCTGCTTCCCTTGTTCTGAGGCCACCTACATCCCAGGGTCTCCAGGATGCAGGTGTGGCCTGTCGGGGACTTCTCAGGCTCCATAACTATGTGAGCCAATTTCCCTAATAAATCCCCTTTCATATATCTAATACAGTCATGCATTACTTAAGGATGGGGAAATGTTCTGAGAAGTGCATCACCAGGCAATTTCATCACTGTGCAAAATCAGAGTGGACTTAACGCAAACCTAGGTGGTACAAATTACCAGATTATATGGTATAGCCTATTGGTCTTAGGCTATAATCCTGTACAGCAGGTTACTCTACTGAATACTGTAGGTAACTGCAACACAACAGTAAGGATTTGCATATCTAAACATATCTAAGCATAGAAAAGGTACAGTAAAAATCTTATAGGACCACCATTATGTATGCCGCTCGTCATTGACCAAAATGCTATGAGTAACATGACTGTATATATATCCTGTTGGTTCTGTCTCTCTGGAGAACCCAGACTAATACAACGATAGGTTAAAAAAATTCATTCATTTACCCATAATTACTGTCATTATGTGCCAGGCACTGAGCTACACTGGAAGATCCAAACATGAATGCTTTCTGCTCACAGCCAGGAGAGGCAGACAAACACACCCACAAGGGGGTAACACAGTAACACAGAAGCATGGAAGAGAGCACACCTGACTAGTCACATCAGGGAATGGAAGTAAGGAGTCATGAGGGCTACAATGACTGGGTGGACAGCATAAATTATTACAAAATGTTAATGCATGAATTAAACACTCATTATGAATGAGAAAAGAAAGCCTCAAATAAGTTATGAAAACTATCCATATGTAGGACGCAAGTTGAAGACAAAAATAATTTTGATTCTAGTTATCTGAAGTAAGTAACTCATAGCTTAAAAAAAATACCAATTTCAATGCCATCAATGGTAACATGAATAGTGTAGAGTCCAATAGCCCCTGGAGTCCAATTTGCACAGTAAGTCCCATCATTATTGACACGGATCAGCATATTCTCACTGGGTCTGAAAAGAGATAAGATGGATATTGGAAATTTTACTTTTGGTTAATCAGCCAACGTCATTACGATAGTTCAGCAAACATTTAATTTGCTTGCATACTGCTTGGCAATCCTACCACCCTGCCACAGTATCCTTGCCTACCCTCCAAAATGCTTGAATTTCACTTCTTTCTTACCTCAAACTTGCATCACCCCTCTTCCTCACTCTCAGGTGATCATGACCTCACCTCTTTCTTGCATGAGACAAGAAACAATCAGATACAAACTCAAGTTGCAATCAGATTAATAAATCTACTTACCTCTGCCTTCTCTCGTGGTTAATGGAGAATCTGATCCAAAGCTAGCCCCTCCCCTTGTGCCGCGAATCTTACTCCCTCAACATTTTCATGCTGCAATCACTGTTTTCTCTCTCATGCAGCACCAATTACTCTCAATTTACTGAATCATTTCCATTAGCAACAAACTTTGATATTACCGCCCCCTCTAAAACGTCTTATATCTCTTCTCCTATTTATATCTCACTTCTACTTCTCTTCCACAATTTATCTGTCCTAGGCTTTTGTTTCCAACATTTCATTACAACTGCTGATGTCAAAGTCACTAATGACCACCATGTCCCCAAGTTCAATGGACACTTCATCCTCAGCGATCTCTCAGTAGCATTTGCTAGCTACAACTCTTCCTATCTTGAAATATTTCTGGCTTTTTGTTTCTGTGACGTTTTCTGGCTTTTTTCTTCTCTGACTGGCCTTTCTTTGTCAGTGCGTTGTTGGCTTTCCCTTTTCTCACCACTGTATAATTAAAGGAATGCCCCAGGACTTGGGTATGGGTCATCTTTTTCTTCTATCTATGCCATCTTTCCTCAGTTTTAAATGCCATCTCTATATAGAAAATAAATTCCCAAATAAATTTTCCCCATGAGTTTCAAACTGGTATTTCCAGCCTATACACAATTCTGCTATCTCAGATTCACTTCAGAGATTTTTCTAAATTCTACTCTATGGAGGTGATCTCTCCAAACTATAACGCATCTAATCATTTTTTTTCACCGGACTATTTTAAGAAGTGATGGTCCTAACAAATAAAATACTAACTCAAAAAATGTTAATTTTGAAGTTAATAGAATTACTTATGGGCTGAAAAATTAAGACAGTACATTTAAATACAAGTATACCACATGCTGAAATCTCTCCACAAGTCATTGGAAGGAGAAGAGAAATAAGATTTAAATAGCAAACAAATGAAAATAAACTAATTAACCCTGAACAAGTCAATGTAAACATTTTTAGATACTAGATACGTACTTTAGATACCCACTTTCACTAGTAGGCAGTATTACATAACATATTGGCAGCATTATAGTTGAACGTAAGCACATTTTTTTTCTGCAAATTTACACAGTATTACAAGTGAGAAATCTCTATTGACAATCTAGAAAAATGCTATAAAGTATTTATAGAAAATAAAGTTGAAACGCAGGATGATTTTAGTTGCAAGCAGCTTACAACTTATGTTTTGGTTATACTTTGAGAAAATGATCCTTACCTCTTAGGAGTTGGTGATGCAAAACGTAGTTCTTCAAATGAATAATTTTCATAAACCTTTAAGAAAGAGACCAGTAACAACCGTAAAATCATTTAGAAACATTCTCAATTAATAGAGTGATACATTATTCAATAAATGCTTGTGAGACAATTGATTATTCATATAGAAGTAAAAGATAAAATTCAATGATCTACATTAGACCATTTATTAAAGATAAATTCTGTGTGGTTTCAAGATCCAAAAGTAAACACCAAAACTTAAAAGAACAAAAGAAAAAAACAGATAACATCTTTCAAGTATATTAAAATTTGAAAGTTCTCCAAAACAAAGATACTATAAAGATAGGAAAAGCCTCCACCTCAGAGAAGATGTGTGACTTGTACAACCCAAAGGTGATATGCATCCATAGTACACAAAGAATAAATCCATACAAAAGAGATAAACAATACAAAAGAAAAGAGAGTCAAGACAATTCTCTGAACAAGAAATCTGAAAGGTCAATAAAGAATAGAAAACTTATTTAACTAAACTTGGAAGAAAATACAAATTAAAACAAAACCAAAATAAATCATATCATGGTCATCAAATTGCACTGATAAGAATCTGGCACTGAGGAGAACATGTAGCACCTGGTACTTTCATACATTGCTTGTGGGAGTGTGAGTTTTGGCAATATTTAATGTAGTTGAAGACATGCTTGCCCTACAACTTAACATATCCAATTCTAGGTATGTATCTTCCAGAAACTCTTGCTCATGTACAAAAGGTGACAAATACAGAATGTTTATTTCAGTACAGTTTATAATAAGTGTCCACCAATGAGAAAATGGACAGATTATGGAATAGTAACCCAATAGACTACTGCAAAGCAGTTAAAATCAATGAACTATAGCTACATGGCTGAACCTCAAAACCACATTGAGCAAAAATCTGGCAAAATGATATGTACAATATGATACTATTTTATAAACTTCTGAAAAACATATTGAACAATCCAAAATATACTGCTTATGAATAAATTTGTATCCAGTAAGAGCCTAAAAATATATACAGGAATGAGAATCACTACACTCAAGAGAGTGGTTACCTCTAAGGAAGGGTGGTAATGGGGTTGAGGAAGGATTTATGCAGGCTTCAATTGTACCTGAAGCAACATGTTTCTAAATAAAAAATAACAAAATGACCTGAAACAATTATGGTAAAATGTAAAGACAAAAATGGGCTGTGGGTACATGAAACTTGGCACATTATTCCCAATACTTCTCTATGTCTGCTACATTGCCAAAGAAATCATTATCTTTCAAGGTTCAGGGCAAGATGGCCAACTGCTCATCCACTTCTAACTTCTCCTGTATTTACAGTAAAAAGATGCACACTCAAAGCCCTCTTCTTCTCTCTACCCTTTTTGTTTTCATAAAAATGAATCAGAACTGATTTAGCTGCCTACCTACTCAAAAGTTACACATGAGAAAAACCCAAGTTAAGGTTGAGTCTTTAGCCATACAAAGGTGTGAAAAGAAGGAAATTCAGGTTTCTAGACTTTCAGTACAATGTATTTTCCACTTCATCATTTTCCTTCAAATACATATTATTTTCACACTTAGTAATGAAAGAAGAGACCAGATCTCACTTTTCCATCCTCTACAATACTCAGCTCGCTACTAGGTGGGTACATAGTATCTATGAATAGTTGATAAGAAAAATTTCCTTTCCTGGATCATGAATTAAAATTTCACAGAGACTGTTTGGGCATGGTATTTTATACCTGCTCTAAATCTAGGCTACTCAGAACATGTTTAAAATATTGCATTCCATTGTGGTAACAAAACTTGCAAAAGAAATTTTACAAATTGAAGCACGTTCATAGGAAACTAAAAGATTAGGGAGGTAAAAAGACTAGAAACTAAATTCCTTAAATAAGTGTTAGAATAGAGAAGAATGTTTAGCCTTGAATTCTTTAGTAGCCAGTGGACAATTCATCTTGAACTCTAGCTTTTCATTCCCTGATTTCTTTAACCTCAACAACTTCAACTTTATTTCGACCACTCACACCGAAAGTCACAGACCTGTGACATTACTCAGAACTGTTCTATCTCTGAAATCAAATAAAATGGCCTGCTCAGTTTTTTTTACCTCAATAACCACTCCTGTATCTACTCTGATGTCTAGTCCTTCTTATTTCCTTGATTTTCTGAAATTTCTTCATTTCTAAACTAAGTTAGGTTCCACTGTCCTCTCTTTAGCTACCATATGCTCAACTTCCTTGTTCCACTGTTCCTCTGCTGATCTAGCAAAATTTTAATGCTGGATCAATCCAAATTATTATTTTATCCATGCTCATATGACTCACACTGTTATTCACAAATGATCTTCAATTTCAACTGATTATTCAAAGGCCTCTGATAAATCTTTTCTGATCAGTGCTTTCTTTCAATCTCTCTGATAACAATTTCATTTTTTTCCATTTGTTTCAGAACCTTGACCCTAAGATTCATCACTTCCATTTCCAACCCAAACTATATAATTACTGTTTTAAATAATTCCTTTGGCTGCAAAACCTACAAATTTACTAGAATCTGTATTAAGTTTTCTTTTTCTTTTCCTGGTAGAATGAAACATCAGAGTAGATACAGGAGTGGTTATTTTGAGGTCAAAAACTGAGCAGGTCATTTTATTTGATTTCAGAGATAGAACAGTTCTGAGTAATGTCACAGGTCTGTGACTTTTGGTGTGAGTGGCTGAAATAAAGTTGAAGTTGTTGAGGTTAAAGAAATCAGGGAATGAACTTCTTTAACCTCAACAACTTCCTGTGATCACTCCTCCTCCTATTTAAGGCCAATGCTACCACTTGAGCTCTAAATCCTATTTTCATATTTCAGAGTATCTTTGTTGTTTTCTTTCTCTCAATTATCTCCTAATCAGCACTCAAATATGCAAGTCGGTCTCTATTAAGAAGACCCCATACTCCAAAACCTTCACTCAATTCCATTTCCTCTGGTTCTTTCTATAGTCAAACATCTTGAGAGGCTTATCTACACTCACTTCAGCCATTCCCTTAACTACGTGTTGCTTCAGCCATTCCCTTGACTATGTGTTGCTTCTTTGGCTAGCATTCTTACCAATATAGATTGTTTCCTTTTCCTTTCTTTTTCTCTTATCTCTCTTGTGAATCAATGCTTCTCAAGTATAGGTTTTGAATTTGAATCACTCTGCATATCTGTCTCAGGCAAACTCCTGAACTTCTCTCCAAAGCCACTGAATCTAAATCTTTGGGTGCTTGGAAATCTTTTTATTTTAAAGTACATGCTGCAGTTACTTCTGATGTAGACAAGAGTCTGAGACTTAGTGACACTGGTGTTTCTTAGGATCCTGCCCTGGGGCTTCTGTCTTTACTCACTATAGACTTCATAAGTAATGTAAGTGCTAATGATACCCGAATCCTTTTCTTGAGGTCAGACTGTGATCACTCGGGTCTGTACATCCAACTTTGTTTCATACATCTTCACATAAGTATTTCAGAAGTATCTAAAACTCATCACATCCAAAACTGACTGTTTTCTCAACCAAAACCTGCCCCTCTTCCATTATCAATTGGACACAAGCTCAAAATGTGAATTTCATCTTTTATTTCCTTTCTTCTCTTTACTCCACCTCTACTAGCTACCAAGTTCTACTGATTCTATGGAATCTATACTGATGGACAACTCACCAGTCTAAGTGATCAGCGTATCTCATCAAATTAAGTCAATAATAGTCCCCTACAGAGACAAAAATCAAGCCATGTTTCTTGATCATCTGCCCAATTACACTGTCCATATTCTGCCATGATCTTTATAAAACACCAATCTAATCAAGCCATTCCTCTACCCAAAAGCCTTCAATGGCTTACCACTGCTCTCTGAAAATGCCAAAAGTACAAATTTTAGCTTTGAAAAATGACTATCTTGATAATTTAGACTAACATTGCCTCTGATGATAACTAAAACATCCAAAATATTCATTATTAGATAGCTAAAAAGCCTGAAACATTCTAGGAGGTACATCTGGCATTTGAGAGAACCCAAAATTGAAGGGGGCATAGGTAAACCCTGAAATCCTGAAGAGATACATTCTAGCAGGAATAGTAAACTGCAGATAGACAAGTACTTAGAAATTTTATTCTATTTTTATTCTTTGTAGAGATGATGTCTCACTATATTACTGAGGCTGGTCTTGAACTCTTGGCCTCAAGTGATGCTCGCTTGAGCATCCAAAGCACTAGGATTATAGATATGAGCCACTGTTCCTGGTCAAAAGTAAGCAAGTACTTTCACAGGACCTAAAACTCAGCCTAAACCACCTGTATCTCTGATTAGATTAACTTGACCTGTAATTGGTGATCCTCTCTGGACATCTGCCAAAAACCAATGAAAACCCTCTGTGAAGATAGAGAAAATCATCTTTAAAGTGTTGCTGCAAATTTAATATCCATCAAACACCCTTTGGACTTATAATTTCATGTCTGCATCTGAATCATTGAAATGTTGGTTAAATAAATGAATGTTAAAACTAAAATTTTTCTGATAAGTAAAATAAATTACCTTCATCATTGTAATGGCAATATATCGAGCTTCCTTCACTATCATTGGTTCATATGAAACATCTAGCTTTGGTGATGCCAGCCCTCCAAAAGTCATGTCAGTATTAGGAGGTGCAGTTGTTACTGCAGGACTGCCAGGAATCCTTTGAGGTTTCTTTACTTGATCTTGCTGTAAAGACGTTTTTTTCTGAGAAACAGGGACAGCTTTCACTTCCACCTAAACATGGTATTATAGAAACCAAATACTATTATTATTTGTCGTTGACATCAAAAGAAGCAACTTACAGTTATAAACTCATAATTATGCACACTTTATGTTAGCATTGGTCTATCTCAGGCATTCCCTTCAAAGGCTTATTCGATAGAGTTAGAATGACCTCAAGATGGGCTGAGAATACGAACTATGAACACAGTGTAAAACAAGGCCTTATATTTTCAGAATACATATTCAGAGGATAACAAAACATAAAAACAAATGCACCATTACTAAGTTACAGAAAAGATAGCAGAATGAATCTACATCAAATTCTTGCAGGGACTAACAAATTATTTTATCAGGTAATCCAAGTGTAAATGCTTTCCCACAATCTCAACACATTTTAAAGCAGTAATGTCAGTTTCAGCTGCACTGTTCTACAGAAGAAAATGTACTCTATTGATAGAAGTTTTAAAAATTAACACAATAAAACAAATTTTATACCTAAAGCCCAAAGATATTTCTTTACTTTGGTGAAGAAAGAGTATTATTAGACAGCTCTATCATCAACATAAACATTTAATTTAAGCAATTAATAAATTTAAGCAATTAAACTTTGCAACTCAATTTTTTAAACAATAAAACAGGACTATCTTTCATCTACTAACTCTACTGTATAGATGAAAGGACAGATTTGTTAAGGGATATTAATACATTAAAAATATAAATTGTCTTATAAAAACACTTTTCAGAAATATTTTTCAGGAATTATAAGAAAACATTCTGTTTTTATTAGCTTATGCATTGGCAGAAAAACATTTGAGTCCTAGGCAAGCACAAATTTACACACAATTTGAATACCACTTTAGCTCTTCAGCAAGTATCACCATTCTGAGCTTTATTCAAACTTTCTTCTGTTCCTTATAGACTACCATTTTGTGGTTGGCACAAATAATAATAGGATTATTACAGAAATAGAAAAAGTAGCAGAGATAAAAGTGACAGTATTATTTAAGTAATTGGGGGCTACCTCTGAACTACAAAATGTCTTTAACGTTTATTGTTCTTAATAATGCCATTCTATGGAATCCGTAGTTTGAGACTTTCCCTATTTACATAATGCTAGGCACAGGTGACAAATATGTTCCATTAAGTGACCACCATCTTCAGGTGAGGTTACAAGAGATCAGTACTTGGACTGACATAATCCCCTGGCAATATTAAAAACCCATTCTTATATTCAACAAACAGCAGTTTATAGGTATATGGTAAAAATTTCAACTCAAACATATGTGCCAGCATTAAAAGCTTTAAACTTTAAATATAATTTAAAAATGTGAAGATGAAACAGACAGGAGGTAGGAAAATACTGGGTAGAAGAAGGTGGCTCCCCAGTAAAGGCTCCACCCTCAGGCCTAGAAACCACGGCCCTAAATGAGAATAGTTATCCTTGTATTCTCATCCAAATGTTACCTTTTTGACCCACTGTCCTGCCCCCCACCTTGTGCCCATATAAATCCCAGACTTCAGCTGGCACAGAGACAAGTGGCTGAAAATCAAGAGAAGAAGCAACTGACAGATGTGGCCTAACCTCAGGCATGACTTCGGAGAGAAGCCTGGCTGGAGATGGCTGAGCTTCAGGGAAATATCACCTTCTCACACTATCCCCTTTCCAGTTCCCCTTCCGCTGAGAGCCACTTCCAACACTGCATTCGTCACTTTTCAAACCTTTTGTGTGACCTGATTCTTCTTGGGTGCTGGACAAGAATTCAGGGCACACTGGGTGCAGAAACGCAAAAAGGCTGTCATGCAGACTCTTCACTGAGCTGTTTAACACAGCCATCCACGGACAACAAAGCTTAAAGAGCATTAACTGTGACACACCCCTAGATGTGAGGCTGTGGGGCTAGAGACCAAAACCACTCGCTCAGGCCCTGGCACCTACTTGCCTGTGTGCTCCCCCTCCTGCAAGGGGTTTGAGTGCAGTGGTCAAGTAAATGGACCACAACCCTGTTGCAAGTCCCATGAAGGGGTAAAGGGAACTCTCCTGTCTCAAACATATTTGATTTTAAATTACACACACTATTTTTATACATACTATTTCAATTTAACCTTTCTGTAAGCAACTATATTTACCCTAAGTATTTTATAAATTATCATTAGAGTCTATGTGTATATGCACCATGAACCTTGAAGTAAATCTCTGAATAATTTTATACTCTAAGAATACTGAGACACAATAACGATTCTGCTTTCTTTTACAAACTGTGCTACTTAAAAAACTTTTCATTCTTTTATTTCTTATGTGACTTTATCTTGTCAATAAATATGATTTCCTTAAAACAAACCTCTTTTTTTCTTTTGAAACAAGAGTTTTGCTCTTCTTGTCCAGGCTGGAGTACAATGGCGCAATCTTGGCTCATTGCAACCTCTGCCTGATGGGTTCAAGCGATTCTCCTACCTCAGCCTCCCAAGTGGCTGGGATCACAGGCATGCACCACCACGCCCGGCTAATTTTGTATTTTTAGTAGAGATGGGGTTTCTCCATGTAGGTCAGGCTGATCTTGAACTCTCAACCTCAGGTGATCTGCCTGCCTCAGGTTCCTAAAGTGCTGGGATTACAGGTATGAGCCACTGAACCTGGCTAAACGTTTTTTTTTAATTCACAGGAAGTTTCAAAAATATATGAAATGTCCTATACGCCTTTCACTCGGGTTTTCCCAATGGTTCCATTTTATCCAACACTATCAGTTATTGATGGCACAGAACCAAAACCAGGAAACTGACATTGGTACAATATGTATGTTGAATTCTAAGTCACTTTATCATATACAGGAACACTCATTTTATAAGTAAAAAATTATAACAACAACATTTGCTGCTTTTGAAAGCATCTGGAACTCATGAAATATTAGCTGCAAATCAATTTTTATGTTTCAAATAATTAGCTATTACTGCATAAAGATTTTAACAATTTCTGAAGAGTCTAAAGTACTCCTAAGACTTTATTCATCTACTATCAGGTTGAAAGTAAAATAGGTTAAATTAATTTTCTTTTCAGCTAATATGATAATGTGATATTAATAAATTAAACATCACTAAGAGCACAAATCATGTAAGCAATGTGCTCTTATTTTCTATTCAGTCAGGTAAGATGTTACATTGGCATTGCATCTCTTCATGCTATAAATGAAAGAATGCATAAAGTAGATGAAATAGTCCTACTGAAAACAATATTGAGGCAAAATTAGCCACCCTATGAGCAAAGAGGATTTTTGTGGCTTAATAAACTCTAAGCTTCAAACAACCAATTTCTCTATAAGACAAATATGAAGGAGTAGAGGGCTGGGAACTGCCTATATAAAATTTTATTCAATATAACTTTTTTTAGAAATAAAAATTTTAAATGAGATATTCATATTAACAATTATATATAATATGCTCTGGAACATCATTATAATTAATATTTCAGGTAAGAGGTATCCTAAAAACTATATATTCATCAATATGGTATACTATTTCCATTCCTCATTCTTTTACAATCTAAACTCATATATTTCTATCTCATTTAATGAGTATTATTTTCAAAATGTGGTTTCAGTAATATGAAGCACAGAATGTATGTCTCTCAAAACTACATACAAATTTAAAAATGTATTCTTTCATGCATTTATTCCGTCAATACACATGGAGGGCCTTCCCTCTATGTGCCTAGCACTCTATAGATGAATACTTTCTTATGCTTCCTTTGAATCACCACTAACATGTAGCAAAATGTAAAAAACAAACTCACAAAAATCCATACATAACTTGGATTTTTATTAATTAATTAATATAAACAAGTCACTTAAACTTTTGGCGTCACTCATTATATAAAGAGGGAAGAACAAATGAGCTCTCAGCACTTGGCATTTCTCAAGTTTTATCAGTCACTGCAGCCAGTATATAGACATCTGCTAATTTAATTCACTTATAATTACCTTCATATTGGGAACATGTACCACATCCCCATACTGGTCTTTCGTTTGAACGGTTATGGTGGTAGGCCAACCACAACGAATATCATCTTTATTCAGGATCAAAGATGTTTTCTGAGGATCAGCATATGAATCTGGCTGAAGCCACCTAACAGTAATGAAAAACAAACAAAACCACAAACATTGATCAGCATCTCCAATGATTAATAGAAGATTAAGCAAAATGAACAAAACCTGTATCAAACAAAATGCTAAAACAGTATCTTCATTTCCAATTCAGTGACAATCACGAGTGTCTCCCTTGGAAACTGTTAATGACAAATCAATTAAAATAACATGCCAAAGCACAGGTGATTTCTGATATTTAAATATAATATAAAAAATACTTTTTAAAACCAGAAAACTTGAAATTTTAACTATGGCTAATTTAAAATCACCAAGAACATGAATGTAGGTTGTGCAAAATTTGAAGTCCTAAGCAGGCTCATTCTCTCTGAAGGAGCTCCGCTTTACTCTGCCAATAGTAAATCACTATTTTGTGATTTTTAAAAACTAAAGAGTAATTTCTGCAATTTTAAAATTAAAACCAGAAAGAAGTTAGATTTTTTTTTTTAATTGTAAAATCATGCAGACCAGCATATTTTTTCCTTTTCATCCTAAAAACAATAAGCAAAAAAATAAATAATCAATGAACAACTATAATACATTTAATTATTATTATTTTTTTTGAGACAGGGTCTTGCTCTGTTGGCCAAGCTGGATTACACTGGCACCATCACAGCAACCTCTGGCTCCAGGGTTTGAGCAGTCCTCCCACCTCAGCCTCTAAGTAGCTGGAACTACGGTGTATGCCTCCATGCCTGGCTCATTTTTGTATATTCTGTAGAGACGAGTTTCACCATGTTGGCCAGACTGGTCCCGAAATCCTATGCTCAAGCAATCCACTTGCCTCAGCCTCCCCAAATGCTGGGATTTCAGGCATGAGCCATTGCACCTGGCCTTATCATGTATTTTAAAACATTTTAAAATGCTTTAAAATATTAACTATTCCAGCCTGGACAACATGGCAAAACTTTATTTCTACAAAAATGACAAAAAAGAAAAATAGCCAGCTGTGGTGGTATAACTGTAATCCCAGCTACTTGGGAGGCTGAGATACAAGAATAGCCTGAGTCCAGGAAGTGGGGGTTGCAGTGAGCTGAGATCATGCTAATGCACTCCAGCCTGGGCAACTTTTTTGAGACCCTCTGTGTTAAAACAAACAAAAAACTCCAAAACCATCAAACAAACGAAAATATTAACTACCATTTTGTATTTCAGCAAGTTAATAATGCATAAACTAGATTTTTTTTAATTAGCACTTTAAAATCCTAATGACTCCCCTCTTTCATTTCAGAAATGAAGAAAGACAAAAGGCCTAAAATAGAGTAAGTAACTTAAAGCACATTTACCTTGCAAGCCTTCCACCACTTGATCCTGGGACACAGGCAATAAAATCATCCAGAAAAGACTGTTCATTGCTTTGGATTTGGAGTGGTAAACTTCCCTCAAGTGCTTCTAATATAGTTGGTGAATGAGAAAGAGCTAAACCCCTTCCAAGAATGCCAGAATGGGTTTTGCACACCTGTTAAGAAAGAATATTGATATATTTTTAAAGATAAAACCTTAATTACATAACATTTTTCAACATGGAGATACTTTTAGATATGCCTTCATGGAGAAATCACTTTCTCCCCATACCCCACTGTTCCTTCTTTTAACCCACAGAATAGGAAATTTCTAGGAGAGAAAAATGTGAGACAAATTTCCAGTCTCTCTTCTTCCTCAAAAAATAAATGCCTTGTCAGAGATCTGCATGCTGGATAAAAGGTGTATCTCCTCCACGCCAGTCCTCTATGTATTATATCCTAATTTTTCAGGACCAGAGCTCCCTCTGTCAAAAGCTGTGGATGTCTCCCACTGTTTTCTTTTTGAGACAGGGTCTCACTCTGCAACCCAGGCTGGAGTACAGTGGTGCCATCATAGCTCATTCCAGCCTCGACCTCCTGGGCTCAAGCAATCCTTCCACTTCAGCCTCCCAAGTAGCTAGGAAGACAGGTATATGCCACCATGCCTGGCTAATTTTTTTTTTTTTGAGACGGAGTTTCCCTCTTGTTACCCAGGCTGGAGTGCAATGGCGCGATCTCGGCTCACTGCAACCTCCGCCTCCTGGGTTCAGGTAATTCTCCTGCCTCAGCCTCCTGAGTAGCTGGGATTACAGGCATGCGCCACCATGCCCAGCTAATTTTTTTATTTTTGGTAGAGACGGGGTTTCACCATGTTGACCAAGATGGTCTCGATCTCTTGACCTCGTGATCCACTCGCCTCGGCCTCCCAAAGTGCTGGGATTACAGGCTTGAGACACCGCGCCCGGCCCAATTTTTTTAAACTTTTATGTAGAGATGGGGTCTTTCTATGTTGCCCAGGCTGGTTCTGAACTCCTGGCCTCAAGCAATCCTCCCACCTTGGACTAAAGTTCTGGGATTATAAACCCGAGCCACTATACCTGGCTTTCCTCTTTTTAGGTCCCCTTTATAGGTAGCTATCATGGGTAAGCTATGTCTGTTCTCTTGGGTGGGAGAGTATCAAGATCTTGACTTGGGTGAAAACTGGGTAGAAGCCTGATTGTGGCGGCACACAAACCTCACTAGCCTGTCTAAGCCTTATTTAAGTTAAGAAAAAGGGGCAGATAAAACAAATTTTAGGTTTCACCTATATAACAAGCAAGTCTTATGTTTTTGGGAAGACCTGCTTTAAATGCTGAAACTAAAAACTTTTTACTGACTATAAAATAAATTCCAAAAACATTTCTCATAGAAAATAATTATATTTCTAGTACTATCAAATTTATATAACAGTAATTTCTGCCTTCTATAAATTATGCAGATGCAAGAAACATCATCTTTGGAATCAAGCAGACTTAAGTTCAAATCCTGGCTTTGGACAAATTATTTGCTGTGTGGTCTTAAGCTAAAAAGCTGCCATCCCAGAATCTGTGAAACGTATAAACTGGTGGTCAAATAATCTCTTAAAGAATTATTATAAAATTTAAGCTAAATAATATATATAAAATACACAATATATTGCCTAACAGTGTTTAGTACATGTTAGATTACCACAATAACTACCTTACATGCCAAAAAGACAGGCAATTTGGGACATCTTTTTTTTTTTTTCTTGAATAGTAACACAATAAAGATCTCTCCATATCTGGCTTAGATGACATTTTATATAGCATAACAATCCCTGAAGTATAAACAATATATGAGCTCTGATATAGTTTGGCTCTGTGTCTCCACCCAAATCTCAACTCGAATTATAATCTCCATGTTGTTAGGTGAGTGACCTGGTGGGAGGTGACTGAATCATGGGGGTGGATGATGGACTGCCCCCTTGCTGTTCTTTTAATAGAGTTCTTACAAGATCTGGTTGTTTGATAAGTGTGTAACCCTTTCCCCTTCTCTCTCTCCTGCTGCCATGTAAGATGTGCCTTGCTTCCCTTTTGCCTTCTGCCATGATTGTAAGGCCTCCCTGGCCATGTAGCAACTGTCAGTCATTTAAATCTCTTTTCTTTATTAATTACCCAGCCTCAAGTGGTTCTTTATAGTAGTGTGGAAATGGACTAATGCTCTTTGATAGCTCTCCTTTAACTAAAATGTTGCCTGACACATATTGTTTATTTTTGAATCTTAAGGTACAAAGATTTAACTTTAAAAAAAGAATACACATAAGATGCCAGTGGCTTTTTAAAACTCAGAAGTTTCTTAACATTAAAGACAACATTACAGCTCTGTATGCTTAGAACACAGTGTTCAAAATCATGGACTTTTTGTCACAAAACTGCCAGTGGCCATATCCCAATGCAGTTGCTCACTAGCTGTGAGATCATGGGTGAACTGCCTAAAGGCTCTACGCCTCATCTGTAAATGGAGATAAAACTTTTTAATTCATAGGGTTGTCATGAGGTGTTAAAAATGCAATTACAAGGTCTGGGCACCAGTCTTTGTTTCCCACCCAAGTCTTCAATAAGTTATGTAACTTCTTTGAACTTCAGTTATTATAATCGTAAGATGCAAGACCTAATATTGATTTCAAAGTGTAATTATGAAAACAGAGAGATAATATTAAAGATGCTGAAACCTATGAAATGCTCTTCAGCTATTCTTTAAATCACTACTACTAACTGCATATAGCTAGTACAGAAAATAAGTATGATCTAAATCAGTGTTTTCCAAATGTGGGCTCAAAGTTCTGGGATCCATGGCAGAATCAGAAAAACTAGGGATAACAAAGTCTTCCTTTCTAAGACTCTATCTATCTATTTTTGGCTATTAAAATGTCCTTTATTTTAAAAGATACTGCTTATAATATGTAGCACATTTTCAAGGAGGGTTTTCACCTAGTAAGTTCCGGGGAAAAATAGTTTTGGAAAATTTTACAAATCTATCAAATCCTACAGTCTGAGTACCACAGATCCCAGATGAGTGACTCTCAACTTTTCTTCTGTCTTCATACCACTGCTAGACGCAAAACTTTCCCCATCACTGATGGTCTCAGTATGTGGCTGGCAATGGTTCTCACTTAGCAGTACATCAGAATCTTTGGTTTGACCTAAGTAAGTATTATTACAATTTGGAAAATGCTGCCTATAGATTCTGATATTTCCATCCTATTAGAGATTACTGGCTAGCTAAAATCAGGCTAACGAAGTAAGAAAACAATTTAATTGTCTCTAAGCAATTTTGAGAAATATTAGGTTGACGAAACAGAGCCAAAGGGGGTACCGCACTGAAATATAGTACTCATGTATTTCCATTCAGTGCCAGATGTGCTAGTTAATGCCTAAACAAGCAAAAACATAAAGCAAACAATAATAAAAACAACAAATAATGGCTCCCAATTGTCTACATGCAACTGGCCCTAACCACTTAATATGATATAATGGTTTGTCACAGACTGAGCTCACCTCACCAACTGTTTACCAACTGAACTACCTCACCTTTTGCTGCTTCCTATCAAAATCTATAACATAACCATACATCCTTTGTGAAATGTCTTTCTCCTTTCTCTAGCTGGAAAAAAACCAATTCTTTGAAGATGCAATTTAAATGGCCACAGCTCTCCAAGCCATCCTCTGTACCCTTGGCACTTGATTTGTTCTTTCTCACAAACGATTTTCGTCTAACTCCAAAGTTAATTATCCACCGCATACATGGGGCTCACATGGGGCTCTCCCACCAAAAGGAACAATTATAAGTTATTTATCTCTATAATACCAATGAATAGAGTGAAGTACTTAATGAATGATCCCAATGGTCAAGAAAAAATAGGCTAATATGACTGATAATACTTTTTAAATTAGAATACAAAGTTTATCCTTATTACATTTTGGGACAATACCTGTAATGCAGCCTCCTCGAGAATTTCAAGATCTTCCTCTAATTCGTTACCTGTCGTGCAAATAAAAAGTTTTAATATAATATGTCAATATTTAGTTTAGTCTAATTTTCTAGTCCTTTGTATTCATTACGTCTCCCCACCACCTTTTTTCTTTTTTTTTTTTTAAACAATTCTGTTATTCCAGATTGAAAAGATTTGTCATTCTGGATAAATCCCAGTGGCATACATTTTAATATATAACATATTTCCAGTGGGAATATAAGCTACAATTCTCAAGGCAATACTCAAGTAGGATCCATGGGTGATTTGCCAAAGATATATCCTACATTTATTAATGTAAATATATACTTTCTGAACTTAGTGTATTTGTTTTGTCTAAAAAAACAGGGAACAAATTATTTCAAATCTGAACCTTTATATTTTGGTTTGCCTTACAGAAGAGCTATAACTTTAGTAAACAACAGGGACTCCCAGGAAAATGTAAGGCAGTGACTGTATCCCTTAGCCATTTTCTCCTTTATTGCTTAATATAGAACATATTTTATTTATTCATATTTCTTTTAAATGTTACTAATAAAGTAATACTTGTTCTATGGGAAATACTCAAATTGTACAGAAGTGTAGAACAAAACATTCTACATTCTAACCAGTGCCATGGCCTCTTGAAACTATCCAGCGTCAAAAGCTTATGTTCTAGAAACTTTGTATGAAAATCATAAATGTATGTATGTTTCAGCTACACATAAACATGCTTTTTTTTTTTTTCTTTTGAGACTGAGTCTCGCTCTGTCACCCAGGCTGGATTGCAGTGGCACAGTCTCAGCTCACCGCAACCTCCACCTCCCAGGTTCAAGTGATTCTCCTGCCTCAGCCTCCCAAGTAGCTGGGACTACAAGCACCTGCCACCATGCCAGGCTAATTTTTTGTATTTTTAGTAGAGATGGGTTTCACTGTGCTAGCCAGGATGGTCTTGATCTCCTGGCCTCGTGATCCACCCATCTAGGCTTCCCAAAGTGCCGGGATTACAGGCATGAGTCACAACATACTTTTTCGTAATATACAGAATAATGTGTGCAAAAATGGCACCCTCTTCTGCAACTTACTTTTCTCACTTAACATAATTTGGACATCTTTCCCTGGTAGGCCATATAGGTCTACTTTTTCTAAGAGCTGTATAGACTACCATTGAATGGCTATGCCATTACTTATTTAACCAGTTCCCAACTGAAAGACATTTTGGTTGTTTCTAGGTTTTACAATCACAAGAACTGCCATATTAATCCATCCTTCAACATATCCTTTTATTTGTGTAAGTATGTATACAAATTTTCTATGTCAAAAAAAGTATATACAGGTAAAATTTAACAACTATTGACAAAAATAGGTTGTTAGCAATTTTCCTCATGTGCAGAGAATATGAGGTCTCACATCCTCACACATATACCAATATTAAGTAGGAGAAAAGGAACTGAGAAGAATAAAAGACCCCAGGAAGAAAAACGGCAATAAGGAAAGAAGGAAAGGCTGAGGAAGAGAAGGAAGAAATAATAGAGTGGGAAGGATAGTCTTAGAGGAAGGAGTAAAGACAGATTTTTGGGAAGGTAAGAATTAGCTGAATACAATAATACCTTTTGGTCCCAAATACTGTGAAAATAAAACTTTAAACCATGTATAAACATTATAGCATTAGCAAGCATTTTTATTTTCAACTTTACTCTCTTGATTATAGATACATATCCTACAAATTTGCTGCATATAAAAAAGCACCATTTCTGCCATGGCCTCATCTCTGTTCTGCTCCAATGAAAAACTCTTCTAAAGAGCGACCTACATTCAAATGAACTCCCTTTCCTTATTTTCCATTCTCCCTCTCTCTACTCTGAAAGACTTATTTCACTCTTAGTTCTCTCATTTTACTAAGATATTTCCTATTAGATATACAGGCAACCAATCAATAAGTCTTCAAATCCAATGACAGGTTTTAATTCACTCCCAGAGCATGCAAAAATCCCAGGAACATCCCTTCTCCTGGTTTTTCTCCTACTTCATGGCTGTTCCTTCAGTGTCATTTGCAGCCTCCTCTTCCTGTTCTGTGCATCTTTGAAATTTAGGCAAGACACAGCTTTAATCCCAAGCTATCTTCTCTTTCTTATCTACATTTTCTGGCTCATCTTTCATACAGTCCCATGTCTTAAAATAACAATCATATTCAATTACATTTCTATCGACCTGTCCTTATAGACAATGAATATCCAGTTGTCTACTTGATATTTCCACTAGGATATTTAAGAAACATCTAGAGCTTTTGGTTTAATACTAGAAATTCAGTGCTTGGCTGAATACAAATACTATGCTCACTGCCTGGCTCAAAGCATGTATATGTATAAAAAGGGTGCCCATGTGAGTGTGTAAATTAATGAGGACCAGAGGATACCCTTCAGTCTCTAAACAAACTCAAATTACCAGTACATTAAGCAGTTATTGCTCATGAATATATGAGATTATAAAATTCAATTTGTATATCTATTTCACACCCTTTATAATAAATACATTCTACTCTTAAAAAAAAACTATCAAAAAATATCTAGAATTGGCACACTTACCAATAGGAAGTGCTAGGTCCTTCTTCATCAGAGCTGCCGCACAAACCCCACCAAGATTGGCTAATTCTTTTTCCAACTGGATGACTCCCTATGGAATTGCATAAAAAAAATTGCTGCTTTAAAAATGTTTGAATGATAACATAATTTATCAACAAAATGTGATTTGAGTTCAAGCATTACTTCTGAAATTAGAAGGAAGCACATGGAGCTAATGGTTAAATCATGAGTAGAAGAGATTCAATACTCAATGTTGCATCTCAGGCTGGTTACAAGGTTCAGGTTTACAGGTTCATTGTCCAAATAACTGTTCATTCATTACTTTGGTCAACTTTGTCCTTGGTTTTATTTATTGTATGATTTAAAACATTTAGACAAGATGATAGTCCCTTTGTGAAAACAGGTTCTACTATTTACTCAGAAAGGTATAGCCAACTGAGCAGGTTCAGGGCAGGTATAACTATACTTCAAAGGCTGGGTCATGTTGCATAAACTCCATCCTCTTCATGTATTAAAGTAGCAAAACAGACCACTGCACATAATTAAATTACAAAGTATTTAGAATTATACACCCCTAGGTTAAAATTAACTTCTGACTTTTCATTTTTTGTAGAGAAAGGATTTCAATATATTGCCTAGGCTGGTCTCAAACTTGCTTCAAGTGATTCTCTCGCCTCCCAAAGTGCTGCAAATATATGTGTGAGCCACTGCACCTGGCCCTGACTTTTTGAATATAGGCAACAATACAATTTAAGTCAGAAGCACAACTCGCTGGCCCTTAAAACATAATCTTCCTTAAAAGAATATAAAGATAATACATTCTTACCTCATCAGGTCCAGGGCTAAATTCATATCCAATTGCAAAACACTTAAAACCATAGAAAGAAGCTTTGTCATCTTTCACATAATCTGATGCAGTTTCCAATGAAAAAAGGGCCTCATTTCCTAATAAAAATGCCAGAATTGAGTTCAAAATCAGAAACAACTTTATAAAAATTTTCCTGTCTCTTATCCAATGGACTTTCTCTTTTATCACAAGATAGGTAGAAACACAATCATATACTATGCAACTTAAACAGACTTTTGGCAGGGAGAGTTCCTATATTTATTAGAGGAAATTGTACCAAAAATAACAATAGAAACAACAGGACTATCACAAATGAGTTGTTATTTTTCTTCTTAATCAAACTCCCTTGCTTAATAAAATATCTTTAGTTACATGGGCAATCATTTTTTCATTTATTTGTCAATTACTGAAGTTAGCCTTTTTATTTTTCAGAGTGGGCAATTCTGTACCCTGGCGTGTAGCTTTTTCTTTTCTTTTCCCAAACAAACAAACAGGCAGGTCAGGGTAGAAAGAAGTGGTTTCTGAATTTCAACTGCCTTAGTTTGAAGGATCACCAGAGTAGTCCTGGTTAACTGGCTAAGAACGTGACAGACCATAAGTTTAAAAACATGGTTTTAAAAACTTACTGAAATAATTTTCATTTACAGAAAAGCACAGTACCAGCAATAACAACTGTGCTTGTGTGCTCATCTCTCCTGATCTCACATACCCTGAAGCCAACTGAAACAGTTTTTGCACAACTCAGAAGGTGGTTCACGAATTCTCTTATAAGAAAGGACTTCAGTCCTCAGTTAAGTGCTAAAAATTAAGCACTTCCTGGGAAAATAAAAGATCTAATTCGTTGTTTTCTACAGTTTGGTCCCAACTACACAGACAGCTAGCTACTCCTCAATGTTAATACTCTGCTTCAGTCAAGCTAATCATTTTTTCACAAAAATCCTTAAAATATTCTCTTCTCCAAAACTTGGATCAGGCTGTGACCCTTGTTCAGGGTACCTTATTTATTTCTCAAATGCAATCCAGATACATAGTAGGTCTTTAATAACTTTTTCTAAAAATTACTTAAACAATTTCAATGATACGCCCTTACTAAATATACATAAATGTACACACTTTACCACATAAAACAGAAGTTAAAAAAAAAATTTACCTGGCAACACCAAAACCATAGTAGGCCACCCAGAGGATCCTGAAAATTTCTTTAATTCTATCCATGAATTAAGATTTTCATGAACAGATGTCAATTTCGGTCCATATCCTGAATTCTGAACAGTTCTGACAGGAATCAACAAACGAAGGACATCTTCTGACTGTGCAGTGCCACACTGAGGGTCGAATTCTATTGTCATCCACCTTACACATTCTGGGAATGTCACCTGAGGTCAACAGGCAAGAGGACATGAATAGAGATGCATACACAAAGCACACACATCTACATCTGTATGTCTGTGTATGTCTATGCCTTTATTAAAAGATACAACAGGATAAACTACAAAATTAAAATAGAACAAAATGTTACCTATGACAGAGAAAGAGGAACAGAGTGAAAAGGACAGAGATAGAAACTATATTTGTTTCACAAATTTGACTTCAAACTATGTAATTATTTAAAGAATTATAAAACAAAATCCACATTTAGAAAACAACTCCTAAAATCTAAAGTAACCCTCTAAATATATATCCAGTTAACTCATAATTATGCAGAGAAGGAGCATTCCAACTTACTTTAAACACAGTAATTTGACCATACCTCTTAGATGGAATATACCTCCAAGACAAAACACAAACACACACACAGACACACACACACACACACAGAGAGAGAGCAAATGAAATAATTTAATGATTTTCTAATTCTGATATTCCAGTGACACTGATAATAAGAATCTTGGATGTAAGAGAAAGGAGATTGACGTGTGTCTATGGTCCTTATTTTGAATTCGTAACAAGAGTATAAACTCATAAGGTATTTTATCTTTAAAATACTACATATACACGAAAATGTATCCATACATAATCATATATACATTTATGTGTGTATGTATAAAAGAAATCAGAACACTTTGAAAAAATGGTTAGTTCCAAGTCTGAGGTATTAAACATAAGAGGAGCCTGGAACAACTTATACCAGAGAGCAAGGAAACTAGGAATGACTGCAAGGGGTGTCTCGGAAAGACCCAGCAGGTAAGCTGAAGAAGCTCCCAACTAAAAATACATAGGATCAAGTTTCTTCAATAAACAGAACTCAAGGGAACAACAACAACAAAAAAAAAGCGAGACAGAGGGAGACTTAGAGATTTAAAGGGACTTAAGATTAAAAGGAATGTAAGAGAAATACTAATCACAGTGTGTGGATCATATATGGATTCTAACTCAAACTCTTAAAAATTTACATGATGTTTGAAGACATTGTTTTTTTCAGTGTGATAATACTATGGTTATTTTAAAGGGTCCTTATATTTTGGAGACATCAAATCAATAAATATCATAAATGTGCTTTAAAACAATATAGGAAGTAAGGAAGTAGATTGAAAATAAATGAGACAGGTCAAAGAGTCGAAACTGCTGAATCTGGGATGATGGATACACAAGTGCATTGTACTAGCTTGTTTACTTTTATATGCTTAATAGTTTCTACGATGAAAAGTGCAATATTTTGCAAGCACACAAAATATAAATTTATCCTTCTCCTTAATTTGCATGATACAATGTAAAAAACAGACTATGGATTTTGAATATTCTCTAATAACATTAAATTATATATGTTTGATACATAATTTTTTTTAACATTTCATATAGACTACTTTAAATCTACACACTGGCATTGTAAATTTTCAGAGCTCAGGCTGTAGTACCAACAATGTCAGTTCAGAAAATAAAGTTTAAAATTGTTAATGCTTATATCTACTACTATTACAAATCACAGCCTGAAGTTTAGCATTATATACCATGCTATACTTGTAGGAAGATTTAAGAACAACTCTCATAAACCAATAACATTTTAAACCTTTGAGATAAAAATTCTGTCTTAAATTATTTTGTATATCCAACAGTGCCTAACCACCTGCTGATTCTCTATATTTAAATGTTATAAAAGAAGCTACACTCATAAATACAGGCAAGGCATTCTTTAAGATATCATCAGAGAACCTCAAGCCAAGTTTTACATTTGAATCACTAACTGGCCCCTACCTTGTAGTGCATCACACAGGCAGGTTTATATGGGTGCTCACTCTCTATGACAGCATAGTGACTGGAGGTTGTACAAGCAGAGAGACCCTGTTCAGGCTGGTTTCCTGTGGTGCTATCTGTTGACTGATTAGGGTTGAAGGCAGGGGGTGCATACTTCTGATTCAAAATGGCAACTGATGGAAGCAATTGTTGCACAAGGCCAAAGACTTCTACAGCCACCTAGTACACATATAAAAATATGGTTAAATGAGATACATGTGAAAGTGGTCCTAAAATTATAAATTGTAATAATTGTTAGTTACCGTAACTCATAACAATTTCCATCTAGATTTTCTACTAGTTAAGTTTTTGTTCAAAGAGAACTCTGTTCAATTGATTAAAAAAGATTTAGATGTTACATGACAGTCTAAATCTATATTTTAAAGTACTTTTGTTTTCTCGTGATCTGAAGTAAATCAGATTTTACTTAATTATGCCAAAGAATCAACAGTTTATTGTTTCTTCCATCTCTTAAATACATCAGTTTTAAAACACTCTTATCCTTTAACACTGCTACGGTTATTAATGAAGACCATTGGGCATCAACGTCAAAAATCTGAAAAATCTCAGTTAATATAAACTTTCCTTACATAGAATATTTCTAAAATTTCTAAAATATAAAGCCAATAAATAAGCATAGCAATCCAGTAAACAATACTAAGAACAGAAAAGTTTAAGAATTAGCATATCTATTTCTGCTTGTTACCTATAACCCAGGTGCTCAAAGATGCAAGTTTTTGTAGAGACAAGACACAAAGTCTTTTTTTTTTTTTAAGTATTAAGGAAAAAAACCATTCAAAGTTTATAGAACTAAATTACATACCTTGGGAATAGCAGCAGCTACTGGTCCTATGTATGCTATAATAAGAGGAAGCAGCATGGAAAACAGGCTGGAAGAACTAAGTAGTTCTGGAATGTCATCAGCTAAAAAAGGCATAAAAGGTATTAAAACTATAGTTATAAAGTAATTTCATTGTACTGTATACATGCTATACTAAATCCATATTATTCTGTTCTTTTGAGCAAAACTGTAGCTGACACTAATTGGGTGCTTGTCAAGGGCCTGGTACCATTCTAAAGGCTTTTTAGAATACATACCTTATCTCAACTAATCCTCACAATAGGATACTTTTATTACCTCCAATTTTTATAAAGGAAAACCAAGGCACACAGTGTTTAAGTATCTTACGCAAAATACTTAATACATAAGTACATGTACCTGAAAAATGACAGAGCTGCAATCAGAACTGAGGGTAATGGAGCCATTATTTTAAATTACTATTCTGACACCAAACATGGCTGTATTAGTGACATTAGGCAAATTACTTAATCTGTAACTTAGGATAACAACAGTATGCCCCTCATTTGGATGTTGTGAAGATCGAATGAGGTAATATAAGTAAAACACTCAGGACAACACTTGCACATATTCAGCAATCCAAAAGTGTTCACTGTTAGTAAGCTGTATCGCTTTCTCTTTCTCCAAGAAAAGCACTTTGCTGATTAACATTTTAGTCAGTTACTCATAAACATGGTGCTGGAACGATAAGCTGAGTCTAGACTGTGAAGAACTTTATTTTATAGGCCAATTATTCTCCGAAATCCTGATTCCTAGGTCTGCTGTTGCAATAAAACAGGCTGCATACTTATTTAAAAAATAGTTTCTTAGCCTGGCTCCAGCCCCTGGGGATAGGCCCAGTATTCTTTATTTTTAGCAACTTTCCAGGTGGTTCTAAACTAGCTCTAGGAATTAACGTTATACAGTAAGGAGGTGGAGATAACAATATTTTTATAATGCTAACTCTGCTGCCAGTGTGAAGAATAACTAAACTAGATGGGGAATGGGGGAAGGGTAGCAGTGAGATTACTGGAATATTATCCCTATATTTAAAAAAACGACATGTACTTGCACCACGTCAGCCTAAACGCCACAGTGGAAGAACTGAAAGAGAGGAGAATACAAACTAGAGAGTTTCCAGTGGAAAAACTCATAGAGCTCAATTTAGACAACTGCCTCTGAGGAGACGGTTGGGGTTACCCAGAGTTTTGGGTGGACAGCGACACGTTACTGGGACCAGAACAGAAAGGAAGAAACAGGTTTTTGACTGCTGAAAGAATAATACACAAAAGACCCAGTTTAATCAAAACACAATTTTTCTTTCAGTAAGTTAACTGAGAAAATAAGAATATAAGGTAACTCCTTCTGAACATTCTAAATAATTCTTCATTAGAGTATGGAGAGCATGACTTATCTAAAATTAACGCATGCGGAGATCTGTAATAAAGAAACTGCTTAGATTCTATTAAGATTGTATAACAGAAGGTTCCTCTTCAATAATTTTATGCAAAAATTTAGAAAACAAAGAATCTAAAATATGACGATTGAGAAAAAAAGTCTTACCATCCACAGCAAGAGCTCTGTGCAGGAGGTCCTTTGAGGCCCGAACCACAGTGCTTACCACCGACAGCGCTCTGCTACAGTTTTTATCTTCTTCATTGGCTTTACTCAGAAGTTGGGATTGTAAATCTCCATCAAATTCACTCCTGTAGCATGACCAAACGTGACAGTATTTTACAATGATAAGTAAAACATGATCCAATGCTAGGAATCGTATCCAGATCAGAGATCCTCATTTAATTTACAGTTTTTTTAGAAGTTAAAGTTTAAAAAGTAAACACGCAACTATATAATTATAGGGAATGATAAAGGCTTTGAAGGAAAATAAAGCAGCATATGGCATAAAGTGAAGGGTGTTACTTTAAATAAAATCAGTTCTCCAAGGAACTAATATTTAACAAAGACCTGAATTATTTTATTTATTTATTTGTTTGTTTATTTGTTTATTTATTTATTTTGAGATGGAGTCTTGCTCTGTTGCCCAGGCTGGAATGAAGTGCACGATCTCAGCTTACTGCAACATCCACCCTCCTGGTTCAAGCGATTCTCCTGCCTCAGCCTTCCAAGTAGCTGGGATTACAGGCACGTGCCACCACACCTGGGTAATTTTTCCATTTTTAGTAGAGACGGGGTCTCTACTAGTCTAACTCCTGATCTTGTGATCTGCCCACCTCAGCCTCCCAAAGTGCTGGGATTATAGGCATGAGCTACTGTACCTGGCTGACTTGGATTATTTAAAAAAAAAAAAAAAGGTCCATGCGAAGAGCTGAGTGAAAACTGTCAGGGCAAAAGGAACACATTGGTGAATTCAAGGAACAGAATGAAGACATGTATGGCTGGAAGGAAAGGAGAAAGAATGAAGGGTGATGAGTGGGAAGGGAAACATAATGATAACTGTGCTGCCTCTGAGGAGAGGCAAATTGTGTGAGGTTTGTGGGCCACATAATGACTGTACATTTTATACTGATATGGGAATGGGAGACTACTGGGTTTGGAGCAAGAGTGGAACTGGGTATGATAGACGTTTTTATCAGATCACTCTGGCTGTGCTGTGGAGAACTGACTGCAGAAGTCCAACAGTGAAAGGAGGGAGACAAGTTTAGAGGCTTATTACAGTCAGCAGGTAGAGGTTGCAGTGGCTTGGTGTAAACTATTAAATATGGAGGTAGGAGAAAAGGTCAGATTTAGGACATTTTAAAAGTACAGCTGACAGGATTAATGAACTAGGTGTAAAGTATGAGGGAAAGAGAAGTCAAGAATGACCCCAAGGTGTCTGGCTGTAACCATGGAAGGGAGATGAATATTCTGGCCACTCTAAGCCTCAGATGTCTACTAGCCAGCTATAGAGAACATCCTTAAAGAGAATGTGCAGCATACTGGTTAAGAGTGTATCACCTGAAATCTGACTTCCTGCCTACAAGTCACAGTAGTATAATTTACCAGAGGTGTGACTCTGGACAACTCAGTGTCTCAGTTCCATCATTTGTGAAATTGTACCTACAGAAAAGTACCTACAACTCCTGGGGTTATTGTGAGGACAAGCTGAGGTAACACAGGTAACACACTCAAAGCATGGCCTGGCACAAAGTAACTAACATCATCTCCATTAGTGTCATCCAAATGAAGATGTCAGAGAGACTTGGAGTCCAGAGCTCAGAGGTCATGAAGGACAGGGATATAAACTTGGGAGCTACCAGAGTAGTATGGTACTGAAAACTAAAGGAGTTTAATATTTTTCAATTAAAAAAAAATTAAAGCTAAGGGTATTTAAAGCTTAGTAGAAATCATGAAAATATTCAAAAAACTGTTCTTTGTATAAGATGTAAAATTTGGATGGCAGATGCTGTTAGTGGTTCTCCAGCTTTCTGAAATAGGTAACTCTGGTGCATAATAGAGCTGTTAATCTATAGTTTGAGAAAGACAGTAACATACTATTTATTGTAGTGCTTATGTAACGAAGTTTTTCTTGGCTGGGACAAAAGACTAGACAGCTTTTGTATTTCAGCAACACTGAACTACGTAGCTATTTACTGCCTGTTATTTCTGTTCTATTTCTCAAGGAAAGAAGAAGCAGAAAATCTATATCTATGGAAATTATTTTATACTAGGCACCATCCCTAGACTCTTTCTGAAGGAAACAGAGGAAGCAGCAAGCCTCTGAAAGTGAAAGGCAAGTTCAGTGATTTAATGTTGAGTCAGGCTGAGGACAAGTGTGGTAAACGGTACTCATGACTACCTAAGATGCCAGCTGTGCTGGTACAAGAAAAGTTCAGACACAATGAGAAATGTGTATTTAAAAGGTTTTTTTTTTTAATCTAAGGGTTGTTATCATTCTTTTATTTTCATGGTTTACGTAAGGAATGCTTTTATTAAAAATGTAAGAAACACACTATTACATATTCAAGGGCCCCAGGGGCTACATAGATAGTGCAGGTCCAAGATTCACAGACATCAAAATATTCTGTGGCTGGATAACAGGATCAAGGCAGCACCACTGAGCAAAGTCCATCTGACCGATCACTAGTTTAAGGTATTTTATAAAAAGAAATGGATACCATTTAAATTTGAAATTGCAGACCAGAATTTATAGAGTGACAGCAATAGTGCATTATGCTTAGTGCACCAAAATTTCGATATTAAAGACATAACAGCAAAAAGCATTTTAAAACATTCACTTTTGTAGCAAACATCAAAATTATATATTAAAATGAGATTTCTTTATATGAATTTGTACGAGTAAGTGCTAAGAAGACACACTGTATAATTTAATTATAATTATCCAGTTAGCAATATTACCTGATAGTAGACTGTGTATGTTCTACCACTGTAAAGTACTTCCCTTAACTCTACATAATCACCTACCTATAGTAGAGTATCTGTGGGATCTGTCCTCTGGTTTGGTTTGTGCCGTTACTGCTCAAGCTGCATGTGCTGAATGTGAACGTCACACCATCAGGGCACTGAACGGTGGTCATTCCCCCATCTCCGTTGGCTGTACGGCTTCCATAGTTCCTCAAGCGCACAGCATATTTAACATTTTCCTTCATTATAAAGACGTAAAACATGTTTATATTTATTCACAGTGTGTAGAGGATAAACAAAAAGAACTCTAGCAGCAAAACAGGCAAATATTTGAAATTCTTTGTCATATTTGCAGATGATAAGTTTTTAGTAACTCAAATATGATGAGAGCTAACATTTACTAAATGCCTATTGCATAAAAGCAAATGTCCTCAGTATTTTAAGGAATTTAATTAATCCTTAAAATGACCTCATGAGGTAAGTATCATTACTATCCCTATTTTATAGATGAGAAATCTGAGGTTCAGAGAGGTTAAGTAACTTATTCAAAGCCACAAAGCTTCTAAGTGACGGAACTAGGTCTGAACACAAGCAATCTGCCTAGCGCCTGCTCTTAATTTTACTGCTAGAATATTAGCCATAATAACTGTTTTTTTCCTGAGATAGGATCTTGCTCTGTCACTCCAGCTGGAGTACAGTGGTGCAATATTGGCTCACTGTGGCCTCCTCCTCCTGGGCTCATGCGATCCTCCCACTGGAGCATTCCATCACTCAGCTGATTTTTTAAGAACTTTCTGTAAAGATAAGTCTGACTACATTGCCCAGGCTGGTTTAAACTCCCCAGCTCAAGTGATCCTCCCTCCCTAGTGTCTCAAAAGTGCTGGGATTACAGATGTGAGCTACTGTGCCCTGAAGTAAGTGATTTTAATTTCATAAGCTGATACTTTTCCTTGATTAGTTTAACTTTTAAACTAATTTTAGATGTGTGAAAAAAGTAATGGTGAGTCTATTATATTTTTAAAAAGAACTTAGAGACAGAAATACATAGGCAAACAGACATGAGAAAAAAAATCCATAAGAAAAAGGTTGTCCAAAATATAATGCACTCTCCTTTGAAAATGTGGCTATAGATACTAATACTTTATGACCCATGATATAAACTTCACAATAAAACTTTTTGATTTTAAGTATCTAAATTCTTCTTGATGAAATCTCTTGTGAACTGACCTTATCCAAAATTTTGCTCTATAATGAAATTTATTTCAGTTGAATTCAGAAATACTTTAATGTTACTTTAATAATTACTTTGATGTGGTAAAACTTCTCTATTTTGCAGTTGTTAGAAAACAGGCTGGGCATGATAGCTCATGCCTGTAATCCCAGAACTTTGGGAGGCTGAGGTGGGTAGATAACTTGAGGGCAGGAGTTTGAGACCAGCCTGGTCAACACAGTGAAACTCTGTCTCTACTAAAAATACAAAATTAGCCGGGCATGGTGGCATATGGCTGTAATCCCAGCTACTCAGGAGGCTGAGGCAGGAAAATCACTTGAACCTGGGAGGCAGAGGTTGCAGTAAGCCAAGATCATGCCACTGTAATCCAGCCTGGGTGACATAGTGAGATTCTGTCTCAAAAAAAAAGAAAAGAAAATTAAGTCATATAAAGTAATAATTTTAACAGTTAATACTTTTTAAGAACATTTGTTTTTTAAATGAGTTATGACACAATAAGAGAAGACAGAGGCTAATATCTTCCACAATGTGCTAGACATTGAGGCAGGTGTTTTATTTCCATTATTTAATTTAATCTCAACAATTCTACAATGCAGGTACTATTCTTCCCAACATACGGATAAGTCTTAAAGTGGTTAAATGATGACCTGCCAGTGTGTTAAAGCTAGCTTGTAGAAGAGCAGGTATCCAAAGCTAAGTCTGTTTGACTGCAAAATTTCCTACTGTTCCAGACTTTAAGAAACATTATGCAAAAATATAATATAATGTGGTACAACATCAGGTACATAGTAGGTAATCCATAAATATCTGAAGTACCATATAAAAGATAACTTATAAATAGCTATATCTAACAAACCAAATTCATGGATACTCTTCACTATTTTAACTATCTATTAATACCTCTCATTTACAATAGAAACATACAGTTGAAACTACCTTTAAAGGAACCACTTTGTCAAGTCTGATTTCAGCTATATCACTGGGTGAGTCATCTGTTGTGTAAGTTCCTTTAACTAATTCCAGAGATGTCCATCTGTGGGAATGAGTTGAATCTCCTGCATGTTCACTCTAAAAAAGAGAAACAAAAATATTCCACCAGACTCTTAATTGTATTGTATGAATAATTTTGATTTATAATTATTATTTTTAAAGTTTATTTTCTTGCATACAAAATTAGCCATTAGTATTTCCCCATACATACTAAAGAAGAAGTTGGAGTACTGTATACATTTTTATGTGATTTCTTGAGAAGACTACAACATAAATAAGCTTTTCTCATCTGTTGTCTTAAACTATTTCTACTTCTTCACATTTATAAAGCCTAATGAAGTGGGAAATAAATTCAAATTAACTGTTCAAATGAATCAAGTTAGAGATAGAGATACTTGCTATTAGAGAATGATTTACATGTTACCCCTTTCTGTCCCATTTTAGTAAAACTCAGGTGCTTTAAGTTTAGAGAACAATAAATATTGTCTTTACTAAGGATCACTCATTAGTACTCTATGACAAAGTCCAACTGAACATTGTGTTTCTTGAAAAATAACAATATTAAAAAAAAAACTACTCAAGACTTGTCAGTAGTTTAGGAATTAAATACTTTTCAGTCTTTAATTACACTTTAAATCTTTCCAAAAGTACAAACAATATGAAGCAGTAGTGATCCAAGATGGAGAGATGGAACACAAGCAATCACATAAAATCATTCTCTTTCAATTTCTTTTCTTTCTTTCTTTTTTTGAGACAGGGTCTCACTCTGCTATCCAGGCTTGAATGCAGTGGTGTAATTATGGCTCACTATAGCCTAGAACTCCTGGGCTCAAGTGATCCTCCCACCTCAGCCTCCAGAGTAGCTGGGATTACAGGTGTGAGCCAACACACTCTGCTAGTTTGTATTTTTTGTAGAGATGGGGTTTTGCCGTGTTGCCTAGGTGGGTCTCAAACTCCTCTGCTCAAGTCATCCACCTGCCTCAGCCTCTCAAAGTGCTAAGATTACAGGTGTGAGCCACTGTGGCCAGCCTTTTTCAATTTCTTTAATGTCATTCATCTGTGATTGATCTGCTAAACCCTTGAAGGTATGGACCCAACATACTATGACAATGGTAAATCCTGATTCACAACTCACTAATCAGGATAGATGCTAAAAGAGTAATACTTACATCATCAACCAACACTTCTAATTCATATTCATGAATTCCACCTCCTCCATAGACAGAGAAACCAACCACAACTACTCCAGGTTTGTCTACTGAAAAACAGATTGCATCAGGGGACCCGTTCCCAGTGTTCCAACTTCTGCCCTGACTTGTTTTTGTAAATCGGTTAGCGCTAGCTTTTACAGAGTGAAGAGAATTAAGTCCATCAACCTGTGAACAATAAAAGCAATTGCATCAGTAATTAACAAAACCATCTGAAGGTTTCTAAAAAGTCTAATAAAACAACCTTTATTTAATATGTGGGTATAAACATTCCTAAAGGTATGTTCTACTGAGAGATTAACTCATAATAAAACCAGATTTATCATTCTAAATTCACAAATCAATGTCACTTGACAGTATTTTCTTCCTTTAGCTATATGAAACTATACTTTCCATGTAATTTATGTTAGAAGTACAAGCTTGTCTTATAATGTATGAATAAATCATCAGACTTTGAAAAGAGATGCTAAAAATTTCATCGAAATTCTATACGTCAATAGTTTTCAAACTATGAGACACAGAGCTCTAGAAATTCTGCAGATAGGTGTGCAAGGAAGAGGTAAATTTATGGTTCCCTTCTTCAAGCAGACTATCTCCTCTCCTCTCACCTGTGAGTTTCCAAGTAGGCCTTCACCGAAAGAAAATGGTCTACACCCTAAGATTGAATACTACAAATACATACAGTGGTATTTTTATGACAGCATTTCAGTATTTGAATACATATACATACACATGTACCACCATACTAATTACAGACTTTCATTAGAGAGAATTAGAGAACTTATTTTGGTTTGAATCTGCTCTTTTTACTTACAAAGCCTACATCTAATCTAAGTTAGCTGCAGAATTTTCAGAGACTAAATAGAGATTAAAAAATGGAAGTTGATGATTCTAACAAAAATTGCAAACTGCTCTGAGAAAGAAATACTCATCTCTAAGCTAGGACCTGTGGGAACTCCAAAGTTGTATACAAGGCACCCTGTAACTTTCAGTATTCCTTTACATTGGAAAGGTAGGTTCAAAGGGGAGAACGCTTTAGTAAACTTTGGAAGAGGATCAATATCTTATGGACTCTCCTGCATCCTGCAGAGTACTGTACCAAAGGAAAGTATTACAGACTAAATGAATAAATTTTAAAAATTAAAAAATTTCTGACAAGGGCTTCAATGGCCTCTGAGGCCAAACTCAAAGTTAACCAAGAAACTTAGAAAGTGCTTCCCAGGATGAGCGACTAAAATTAGCTCAGTTGTATGCAATGAACCAAAAATTCTAAATGCTGAACTGTCACGATGAGTCAATAACAAGTATACCTTGGATAGGTTAATTCAGAATAGGTGCTAAAATAAATTTAAAAGAAAAAGCAAAGATTAGGTGTTATAAAAGTAAAACAGAGAAAAGAAGTTCCTTGACAAGAACTTGAGAGCTAGGGCCACTGAATATATGCTGGTTATTAAACATTCATTTGAATGATGTAAGATACTTCACATTAGGATATGATTTTCCAAACCAATCTACTGGTTTTTTTTTTTTGGGAGAAAACAGAAACATTCCCCAAATTCAGTCAAAATATTCAGTTAAATTATAAAAAAGAGTAAGACAGTGAAATGGAATAAAATAATGTTATTTCATAAAATGTAAAGGCATTTTGTGATTTTCTCAAACATAATAATATTTGATACTTTGAAAACTTTGTGATAATGGCTGTATAACTAAGTCTAACAAAGTGGATGGATTTAATGCCATTGAACCGAACATAAAAATGATTAGAATGGCAAGTTTTATATTATGCATATTTTACTACAATTTCAAAAAACCCTGAGGTAGAGGTGAGATAAAAATTATTATTCTGATTTTCAATGTTTTTATCTATGGTCAGTTGAGTGGGCAGAGCTGAAGTCTGAACCTCGTTGCCTTTTCCACACCATGTGTGCACTACGAGTAGTGCTTGACTTTAGCAAGGTTACTCATCTCCCAGCAGTGAGGACTATCTTTGCTTTTCCCAGGGCATGGCAGTGGGCTTGTGCAACGGGGCAGATGCCAACCTGCTCTGTAAGGAAGATGTATACTGCATATTCCTGTGGATGCTGGGTAAACTGGTGGGGGAGTAGTAACAAATCAGAGCAAGCAGGAAGTAGAGGGAAGGGCAACAAAGAAACACAATGCATTGGGTCTTATAATCCAATTTGAAATTAGCTTCCACAAAGTCAAAACATATGTGTAAAAAACTTACACCTGTGCTTTTTATTCAGTACCAAAATATAATGTATTACCTCAGATCCCAGGGCTGACGCTGTAAGTTCACTGACAATGCTGGCCAGTAATCCACAGGTGTTAGAGACAAGGTGGGAGGAGAAGAGTTCATTTTCTCTCCTCAGGCTGTTCCTGACTGGTAGCACAACAATGACCAGCATTTTCTCCAGAACTTCACGGAAGCTTGTCATCCCTGAGATATTCTCTTCACTCTGTGATACAGAAGCAAAAGTTCGAAGTACTGCTTTATTTTCCAATTAAGTACTCAGTTGGAAAATCTTGTCTTTCTGATACTCTTAAAATTTAGACTTGAATCCATTTCTACACATCTTTCTGGTTATATGTGGAGCCACTATATCTACTTTTCACTTAGAAGTTCTTTTTTGAATTATTAGTCTCTGTGTATCAAAGTGCCACACATTCACAAATGTGTGTTATTATTAGCTTTGACTCATATTTTATTCTCCTCTTTAACTTTCCATTTACAATCCTATATGACAGACAGAAAACTTTTCTTTCCACTTACAAAGTTTTTTTTGGTTGGGTGTGGTGTCAGTAATCCCAGCACTTTGGGAGGCTGAAATGGGAGGATCACTTGAGGCCAGGAGTTTGAGACCAACTTGGGCAACATAGTAAGACCTTGTCTCTACAAAATACTTTTTTTGAAAATTTAGCTGGATGTGATGGCATGTGCCCAGCTACTTGGGAGGCTGAGGTGAGAAGACCGTTTGAGCTCAGGAGACTGAAGTGGCAGTAAGCCACGATAGCTCCACTGCACTGTAGACTGGGTGACAGAATGGGCTTGTCTTAAAAAAACAAAAATAAAAAGCTTTTTCAATAGGTCAAGATCATAATCTGAGATAGTAATTTCTAGTATATTTAGCTGTAATGTAACTCTAGTCTGTGTAAATCAATTTTTAAAAATAATTCTTTCTGTACACACGTGATTCTTATGTAGCTTTATTTAGCTGTAATGTAACTCGTCTGTGTAAATCAATTTTTTAAAATAATTCTTTCTGTACACATATGTGATTCTTATGTAGCTTTATAATTTCTACTGTATTTAATTTCCTAGGTAGAGATAAGAAAATTCCAACCCTTACCAGTAGAAAAATTTCAAGAAGTCATAGACGTTCAATAAAGGAAAAATACTTTATTTTTCATAAAAAAAGGGAAAAGATGATTAATGTAGCTGATTTCCAGCATGAAAATGACTTATCTGAATATTTCCTATGCCTATTGTTTACAGTGCTTATTTTAATATACCAAAATGTTACTCAGAAAATATTTTTAAAATCCTTTATTTTCTTATGATTCCATCTTAGAAATCTAAAATATTACATTAGAATGTAAAAGACTGCTTATGGTATCTGCAACTTACCTTCAAATGGTTCAAGAAAAACAAATATGTAGGTATTCATTGTAGAACTCAATTTTTTTTTTAAAGGCGAGTAATTACGTAAATGATCAGAGCAAAACATTACATTTTATAGGTAAATATGAACAATTTCCTAAAATATTATTTCAAATAACAGATGTCATTCATTAAATAATCGTTTTGTAAATATACTTAACAACAGAGAACAAGCACCAAGCTAAACACACTTCCATTGGCAGTTTTATTGCCTCTGTATAAAAGCGATTTCAGAGAAAGACTTACCTGGCTGAGTTTTTCCATATGTGCCACCAAAAGGGGAAAACGATGAACTAATGTTGAGTCGTTCTCTGTGCTAACTTGTTTAACAATTGATCGTAGCAGTACTTCTCCATCATATGCAATCGGGAAGATGGAAGTCAGCTTAACAGACGTGTGACACAGAGCTGACATAACGGCTGCAAGGAGTCGGCTACTTGATGTCTTGAAGTTTGCTTCTTGGATATCCTTTTAAAAACAAAAATATGCCCCCCACCAAAAAATACTGCCATCAGTATAATCTAAGTTTCTGAATATATAAAAGACAAACAATCTTTTAAATTATACCAAAATTTTCTGTCATTCAGCCATTTAAATTGTCTTGTTATAGAATAATACTAGATCAATACATTAAAAAACAACTGTTTAAGTTACTATTCGATGAAGATGAAAAATTAAGTCTGGTCAAGAAAAATCAGCATCCTGTCATCTAGTAAATGAGCATTTTCATATTTTCATATTCTCACAATCACAGTACTCTCTAGCACTGTTTCAAAGGGAGATGCCAAAAAGGCCCCAATTAGAATGTACCTAGGGCATTTTCAATGAGGACTGAGACTATTTTTCTCAAATAATAAATGATGCAAATTATAATTTCATGCTGCTACAACCACATTTCACTAAGGTCACAAAATGACATGATCACATTCCATAGTTTATCAAAAAAATTAGTAGCATACTTATAAAATTTTATAACAAAACATTAAAACCACCACAGGATATCCTAATTCACAAAAATTGTGTACACATTAGCTAGTTCTTCAAACATCTGTGTTACAAAGTTAAGCATAAAAGCAGAGTAACATTCCATATGTTAAACCAACATTTGCTAAACCTAGCTTGATCTGTAGCAAAGAAAAGAACACATGAGACTAGGAAGGTTCACAGTGAGAGAGTAATTAAGTTGTGCACTAGTCCAGGCAATAATCTTGCCCCAGGAAACTGAGTGGTAAAATACACTACCCTGCTACATGAATGCAGAGTTGCCTGGGATGCACTGGTGATGACAATGAATTTTTCACGAGGGAGGGAGAGCAGGCCTAGGACTTCCAGTGTACCGCTGAATAGAAGTGGTAAGAATAGATGCTGTGAGTCTTGTTTCCAAACGTAGGGGCACGTGCAGATTTCACCATTCAAATTTCACAAGTGGGATGTTGTTAGCTATAGATTTTTTTGTAAATATCTTTTTATCAGATTTAGGAGTTTCCTTTTATCCTACTTTCCTGAGAAGTTTTCATCATCCAATAACTGCTAGTTTCATCAACCACTGTTTCTGTAGCTATTGAGGGAATCATCAATTTGCCCTCTTTTTTCAGTTAACATGGTAAATTACAGCATTTCTAAGATAAATCCCACTTGGTCATGATATATTATTTACACTTTCAATTTGGTTTGGTAATATTTTTAAGAGCTTCTATGTTTCTAAGTGATATTCATCTGTAATTTTTTCTTGTAGTATCTAAATTCGGTTTTGGTACAGGATAAGGCTAACCTCATGAAATGAGTTGAGAAGTTGTTGCCTCCTATATTTTCCAAAAGAGTTTGTAAAAGGTTGACATTATTTCTTTCTTAAATGTTAAACAATTCATAAATGACAATATCTGGACTTGAAATTTTCTTTGTAGTAAAATTTTTGATAATTTTTAAATGAATATGAGGCAATTCAGATTTTTCTATTATTGTGTTTTGATAAAATTTTGTCAAGGAATCTGTCAACTTCTTCTAAGGCTAAAAAATTCACTGGTAATAAGTTGTCTGTAGTGATAGTCCCTATTTCATTTCGTTTCTTTCTTTTTTTTTTTTTTGAGCCAGAGTCTCACTCTGTCACCCAGGCTGGAGTGCAGTGGCACAGTCTGGCCTCACAACAACTTTCACCTCCTGTGTTCAAGCGATTCTCATGCCTCAGCCTCCTGAGTAGCTAGGGTTACAGCTGTGCGCCAGCATGCCTGGCTAATTTTTGTATTTTTGCTAGAGACAGGGTTTTGCCATGTTGGCCAAGCTGGTCTTGAACTCCTGATCTCAAGTGATCTACCTGCTTTAGCCTCCCAAAGTGTTGGGATTACAGGCATGAGCCACCGTGCCTGGCCAACTCTATTTCATTTCTGATTATGGTATTTCATGATTTTTTTTCTTTTGCTCTTCTCTCACAATCAGGTTTGCTAAGAGCTTACTAATTTTTTTTCTTCAAAAAGCCAACTTTTTTAGCTGTGTTAATTTTCTCTATTTTCTATTTCATTGATTTCTGTTCTTATCTTTATTATTTCCTTCCTTCCTTCTAACTTTGGGTTTGATTTGGTTTTCCTTCTAGATTCTTTACATAAAAACTTAGTTCACTGACTTTAAACCTTTCCTTTTCATATAAGCATTTAAGGGTATAAAGGTCTCTTTTAAGTGGGCTTTAGCTAAATCCCACAAATTCTGATGTTATATTTTTATTTTTCTATGTCAAATATTTTAAAATTTCCTTTATAACATCTTCTTTGATCAACTGCTTACTTAGAAGTGCTGTCATTTTCCAAATATTTGGTGCTTTTCTTGATATCTTTTACTATTGAGTTTTACTTTAATTCTATATCCTGGTTTATAAATGTCAGTTAGATCAAGGTGGCTGATAGTACTGTTCAAATCTGTATCGCTTATTTTTTGGCCTAGTTCCTCTGTTTAATTACTGAAAGAGGAGTGCTGAAGTCCCCAGCTGTCAATGTGAATCTATTTCTCCCTGTAGTTCTGTCAGTGTTTGGCCCCAGGTGTTGTGAAACTCTGTGACTTGGTGCATAAACATTTACGAATGTTATAGCTTCCTCATGAATGAATGAACAATGTTAGTATGCCAGTTCCCTCAGCTCTCTCTCCTTGTTCTTACAGATGAGGGTGGCAGGCGTCTCCTGGTGCTATCCCTGCTCTCACCTGGTCACTACTGATCTCTTCCTCTCTCCCTCTCTCAGAATCACTCACTCCAATTCAAAGACCAATCAGCTACTGTACAATGTGCCTACCAATTTTATAACTAAAAGATGATAAGGTAGATTTAAAAAAATTTAAATTTTGCTAATGTAAGTCACATATACCAAATGATTTCCTAATTTATCTTTTATGAAAGTCAAGAAGATAGGATAGCCAGGCACGGAGGCTCACACCTGTAATCCCAGCACTTTGGGAGGCTGAGGCAGGTAGATCATGAGATTAGGAGTTCAAGACCAGCCTGGCTAAGATGGTGAAACCCCATCTCTACTAAAAATACAAAATTAGCTGGGCATGGTGGCAGGTGCCTGTAATCCCAACTACTCGGGAGGCTGAGGCAGAGAACTGCTTGTACCTGGAAAGTGGAGGTTGCAGTAAGCCGAGATCGCGCCACTGCACTCCAGCCTGGGTGACAGAGTGAGACTCCATCTCAAAAAAGAAAAAAAAGAAGAAGATAGGGCAACTGCAATTTATTTTCTTGAAGAGTATTAAGCAATATATCAGATTTCAACTAACATTGTACAAACTTAAATTACCTGATCCAAACAATTCAGCAGATCACAAAGGCAAGCCCATTGTAAGGCAGGAGTTGGGTAGAAAGAATGAAAGCAGGCGGTGAAAGTATTATGACACTCCTGAAGGACAGCTTCTAGGAGACTCAAGGGTTGACTGAGATATCCTTGAGGATCATTATCCAATTTCACCATGCAGTGATCAACTCCTTCTGATAAAATTTTTCTTAACAAAGTTCTGGTTTTTCCAATACACTCTGCTAATTTGCTTGTTTCTTCTACAACTGCCTTTCCTGTAGCTTTGAGGGGAAAAAAAGCAGATTGGTAATTTAGCAAAATATTAAATATGAATGAAAACAACCAATATAATTCAGTAATTCCCTATATAGCTAAACATCACAAGTATGCAAATCTTAGAAATGAAACAACTTAGAGATTAAGTGTAGTCCCAAATTATTTTTTAATCTAAATGGGAGGCAGAAAAAAACCTAGTTTCAGCATTTAAGTCCAAATTACTTGTTCAAAATATTTCTATTTTTACACAATTTGTTTAAAATTAAACTTTATTAGATTATTTAATTTTGGCCCACAATTACTTTTCTTTATCAGAATGGCATGTAATCTATTTTATTCTTTATAAGCAAATACATAAGCATCATAGCAAGCTGACTTTGTCCTCTCGTGTTAGAAGCAGCTTAAAGGCAGCTGGGGATCATAAACTTTCAGTTATCTCAGAGTAAATCTTCTCAGTGTCTCTAATGTCTTTTTTCCCTACAATCATCTAAAAGAATGCATCATACCTGACACTGGGTAAATTTCACAGGTATAGACACGCAATAACCTCAGACAACAGGTACCCACAAAGCGCAGTCTCTCTAAATCTAGAAGTGTAGCTGTGAACTGGAATCCTTTTAATCCTCTAAGTTCTTCAACTCCTAAGACTAAGGTGGTCCAGCTCCAGTGAAGAATACTCAACAATGACTCAAAACATTCCTAATCCAGAATATGAAAGAACAGACAACAATTAATTCAAATGATACCATAAACTGAATCAAATGGAAAGGCAATGGTAGACAACTTCAAAACTTGCTCTTGAACTTTTCTACTGAGATTTTACTTGAATTTTTTTACTGAGCCCAAATAATAGACACTTTTATAGTTCATTTATTAAATTACCCTTAACAGTAACTTGGAAGTCTGTTGTAAAAAAGGTAAAGCAGTTAAGCATTTATAAAAACAACATTCTTCAATATTTATCTATTTAAAAATAATTTTTTCAGTTTTCCTTCTACCAAGGCATCTAGCTTATGTAAACTAGGAAAAAATGAGAAACACTTATAAAAGAATCCATGTTTACTTGAAAGAAAGATTAAGCTCTATACAGGCACTGTAGTAAAAAATTAAGTAAGAGTTTTAGTATTAGGGAGTATCAAATAAACATGTCTATATATTAAAATTTACAATAAAACTATAGTCAATTCTTGATAAACACATTAACAGAAGATAAAAAATTGACTAGAAAATACTAAAAAATTCCTATTTTTAAATTTAAAATTCTAGAATATGAGTTTAAGATGGCAGACTTTCTTTGCAGTTCTAGCTAGTCTTGGTTTTATCATGGTTACATAATGACAGACACTCATGAATCTCAAAGCAGAGCACTTACTGCCCCATTCCCACCAAATCCCAGACCACCTGAAAATGAGTGTATAGATTCAATTATAATTTTTTTTTTTTTGAGATAGAGTCTTCCTCTATCATCCAGGCTGGAATGCAATGATGTGATCATGGCTCACTGCAGCCTCAACCTCCTGGACTCAAGCTATCCTCTCACCACCTCAGCCTCCCAAGCAGCTGGCACTCCAGGTGTGCACCACTACCATACCCAGCTAATTTTTAAGTTTTTTTGTAGATAGGGGTCTCACTTTATTGCCCTGGTTGGTCTTGAACTCCTGAGCTCAAGCAATTCTCCTGCCTCAGCCTCCCAAAGTACTGAGATTATAGGTGTGAGCCACTGGGCTCAGCCCTATAGTTTACTTTTTAAAGTAATGCCTGAATATAAAGTCTACAATTACCTAATGGCCACAAAACCACGTAACTACAGAGGGGTTACCAAGCACAGAAAAATGAGATCACTAAAGAAAGCCTAACAGAGTTAAAGATCCTTATTTGAATCAAAAGATACCAAACTTAACACTAAATTAGCAAGAAACCAAAGTTCTCACAGTCTGTTATTCAAAGCATATGTTCTACAAATTGCCATGGCTCTTTTGGATGGTCAACTTGAGAGACTATATCAAAATTTAAATGGGCACATTTCCAGAAGAAGTATGCACATAAGTACACAGGTATGTAAAGATACATGTGTATAGATGCTCATGAAGGAAGATGTAATGGTAAAAGATGAGAATCAAAGTGGTTCTTTGATATAAATTGGGTTAAATAAATTAGCATAATACCATTCTAAGGGATTCTACACAAATAAAAAAGATTGAGAGAGTCAAATGTACTGCCAGGAAAGGATATCCATGATGTATAATATGAAATTTTCTAAAAAAGATGAAAACTGTAAGTATCATAAGAAACAAATAAGAATGTTGTAGAGCATACTATATTTGGTACATACTAACAAGTTTGTTTGCATATAAAAATAGCCTGGGAAGATATACGCCAAAATGTAAATAGTAGGAATATACGGTGATAATGGGAATGTGAGAAAAACTTTCATATACTTTTAGCATACTTTTATCTGGACTTTTATCTCATTCTACCAGGGATATATATTAACTTGGTAGGTTAAAAAATATAATTTGAAAGGGGAAGAAACATTCTTCCTATACATTTTACTAATATGAAAGACTAGTAGCTTCATTAATAAATCACAGTCAGATGGTGACTTGCAGTTCCAAAAACATTTTATACCTTTTATTTCATTAGAATTCATAATGCTATAATGTAATTTACTTAGATAACATACATAAGAATCCTCAATCAGTAAATGAAAGATCAAGACTTTAATTTATACTTCCTTTCATTTATATCATGTTGAGTATCCATTCTATACTGTTAACCTCAATTGCTCTGTGCTTCTTCGAGTATACAATGTGGATGGTTAAACAAACTTCCTAGATATGCAACTCTTCCACCTAGTTCCTCAAGTATTATTAACACTTTTTTGGGCCAGCACCATCCTTAACTGTTCCTTCATTTTCTAATTCATTCAGCATATGCATTCATATATGTGATTGATTAGAAAAGCAACCAGTTATTTCAAAAACAGCTAGGCCAATTCATCTGGTCATGTTAAAATCATAGGCAATATCTCCATTATTCTATGATTTAAAGTATACATTATCTTGGTCTAGAATATAAATGCTAATACAAAACCAAATCTGAGTTTATAAATCTATGCTGAGATAAACTTAGAAGAGCAGCTGAACTCTAAAAATCAAAATGTATCTGAGAACTGAAGAGAAAAGCTGAAATTTAAAAAAATGGCTTACCACTGAGACAGTTCTTGCAAATGACCTCTTTAAAATGTGTACTGGTTCACTGGTTTGCTGCTTGCCTTTTGAAGCACTGCCATCACTGGTTGGAAGTCTAAAGGTAGTGGCCACACATGAAATTATGTTGGAAAGTCCAATGACATTTTTTCCTTTTAAAGTATATTATGCATTTTTGAATGGGAAAATATATTATATATTTACATTTTTTTGCTATGTAGAATGCCAATACAGGGTTGTTTTGAAACATTTTTCCAAGCTAAACAAAGTTTTGAGCATATGGGCATTTCCTTTAAATCCTACCTTTGTAAGACTGAGTAGTAGAGGCTTCTTCCTCTTATTAGAGAACACATAAAACTTACATAATATATAACTTATAACTTACTAGACAACACATATAACTTATATATATATATATAATATATAACTTACTAGACAACACATATAACTTATATATATATAATATATAACTTATGTTCTCCAGTAACGCTACTGTTAATGCTATTCAAAAGTTACTCAACCAGTAGTACCCAAGAGTAGTCCAATGCAACTTGTTCTGTTCATAAAGCTGCAATTAGAAGCAGTAACTACAACAGATTGCACACAGCATAAAACAAAACAAAAATCCCTTCTGGGGAAAAATAAGGTTTGTAACCATCTAAGTCACTAAGTGACTACCAGAAAGAAAGACAGGGAGATAGAATCACTGTTCTAGATTATTTTCTTTGATTATTTACTACTTAATGAATGACAACATTTTTTAGCGAGGGTTTATAACCATTTGAATTCTTTATTCTGTAAGTATTTCAGCAGTCTAGAAATAGGTAAGACACACACCTAGGCATATGCCTCTATACATGTCTAAATTATTTTAAGTTAAAATTGTAAAATAATGTTAGAAACACAGTAAATATTATTATATAAACAAATTTTTATTTGGTATTTCAATTAAAGGTGAAAATTTATCAACAGTAGGGGATTTTCCAATTCATTTCATCACCAAATGAACAGGGAACATAAGACTACAACATCAACCAGGCCTATATCTACAGCCCTGCCCATCTTCCCTGAAATTTCACTTCTCGAAGACAAATTTTATTCTTTTATAAAATTCGAAATCGGTAAGAAAATCAATAGATACATTTGAAAAATTGGCAAAAAAAAAATCAATAGATACATTTTTTAAAAAGGTCAGTAAAATACTGTTATTGGTATAAAACAGATAATCTGAGTAATCAGGCAAAGTTTAAAATTAAGCCTGATATGGAAAAAATGTTTAAAAATATTCAAAATATTAACTGAATGTTTTTGTTAAATATATTTATAGTTCTACCAGCATATTGTAAATTTGCTGAATGCTTCAAATAATTTATCCCTATTATGCCATATATTTTGTAATGATTCTACTTTATTATAGCAAAATAAACCATGCTAATTAAGTATAAATATGCTAAATACCTGTATAATAACTGAGGTATCTGACCAGCATTAACATCTGTACCATTATTTGATTTCTTTGAACTCTTGAACTGGAAAACAACCCTAAGAAGAGAAAACAATGATGCCAAAAACAACATGATCCAAGAGTCATTACAGGAAATAAGAAATTTAAGAAACATGTTTTCAAATCTTTTGTCAATGAAAATGATTCACTCTTTTAAGTTAAGAAAAGAAAAAAGGTATTTTCTAGATATTCATTCTAGCTCTGAATGGGTTAGTCAGTAAAATGAAGGAACTGAACCTGATCAGAACTCCTAATGAGTAGCTGTCCTGTCCCTCCTACCTCTCCAACTCAGCTGTAACCACAGCAGTAAACTTCTATTTCTACTTACAAGTAGTAGTAGTATAATATCTGCTTGACCAGCTGCACGATAAGCTTTAGTCTCAGAGTGCCATGACATTGCACGTCTGAATGAACTGTCTAAGAAAATCATACAGTCCAGGGTCAAAATAATATCTCAGTTCTAAATACATTCTTAAGTTGAAGGGATGCACACAACAACAGATTTGATTTTTCTATAGCAGTATCCTTGAATATTCAGCAACATGAAATTCACCTCACGAATAAGTCAATTTCTTTTTTAGTCAGCTTTGTTATGAATTGACCTGCACTGAAATATATACTGTTATATAATTTCAACTGATTTCAAATAGTTTATGCTCAGGAGTAATAAAGAATAAATTCAATTTATCTTAAAAATGATAGTCCTTTAGAATACATAAATCATAGTAATAGGATATTTAAAATGTTGGATTTAGAGGCAAAATATTCTAGGTATGGATTTGGTTCTGCCACATAGTAACCATAGGACTCTCAGCAAATAGCAAATAACTTCACCTTTTTATTTCTCTAGTCCTTGGAGTATAAAATGGGGCTAATAACTGCTTCACAAAGCTACTGAGGACATCAAATCAGATAATACATAAGAAAGTGTATAAACTGAAAAGTACGCTATACATGAAAGTTATTTCAAAACAGCAAAATTTTCCCTACATTTTGCTAAAATAATACACATGCTGAAGCTCTGAAATTTTAAACTGTTTTCTCATGCACCACCAAATGTAATATCACATATCTACTTCTTTTCTATGGTTTCAAACACCTTATTTTCCTTGTCACCTTCCTCTATGTAATTTCTAATTTGGTATTCAAGCTCATAAACAATGTAATACTCAGAAATATATACAAATAACATCTGACAAGAGCCAAGTACAGAGGACTTATTATCTCCTTGTTCTCTTTAAACTTAATTTGTCATGAGGTTACTTGAATTTAATTTTTAGCAGTTATATTATGCTCTCGTCTTCCTAAGCTTTTTAATTCCACCGAAAGTCCTTTGAGCTTTCAAAACACTAGTCCACTGACAAAAATAAGAATTGCTTAAGTAACACCTGACACTTACTTACCCATCATCTGTGGTAATAGACGCCTGTCCATGAGATCCACAGTCACTGCTGGGTCCTGACACTCGGGCCCATGCTACATACCACCACCCAGCTTGCAGGAGAACAGGCTCATCAAACATCATTGCATATTTTTCTCTGAGAAAAAAATTAGTGAGTCAAAGATATTGTTTTTGTATTTCTCTGTTGCATATATTTATTTTTTCAAAATCCCTTATAAACAAAAACATGAAGCTAACTGAATTGTAAAATTCTTATAAACCAACATAAAAAACATTCTATTTTAAGAAGTCTGGAAGAGAATGCAAGCAAATAAGAGATTATCTGTTATTTCTTTCTCCTCTTCTTGAATTCTACAGTATCCTTAAATCTTATAAAACTTTCATATTAAAATAAGGTAGAATGTTTTAAACTGATGTTAAAAACATGCAAATTTTGTCTGGGTGCAGTGGCTCACGCCTGTAATCTCAACATTTTGGGAAGCCGAAACGGGCCGATCATGAGTTCAGGAGATCAAGACCATCCTGGCTAACACGATGAAACCCCGTCTCTAGTAAAAATACCAAAAAAATTAGCCAAGTGTGGTGGCACGCACCTGTAGTTCCAGCTACTTGAGAGGCTGAGGCAGGAGAATTCACTTGAACCTAGGAGGTGGAGGGTGCAGGGAGCCGAGATTGCGCCACTGCACTCCAGCCTGGGTGACAGAGTGAGACTTCGTCTCAGAAAAAAAAAAAAAAAGCAAATTTAGCTGTAAAATAAAAATCTGAACTTTAGTTCTAAAGCTCATTCATTCGGCTAAATAGTTGTGAGAGGCAGCATGTTAAGAAAATGGCCCTGGAGTCAGGCGGCCTGGGTTCAAGGCCCAGCTTTGTGACTTCCTAGCAGGGCAACTCGGGGCAAGTTACTCTATCCCCTCAGTACCTTAGCTTCTTCACCTGAGAACTGGGGTGAAAATAATGTCTAGCTCACAGGGTTGTCCTGAAGACTGAATTAAGTCAGATAGGTGTTTGGAGTCTGTCACACGATATCTACACAAAAAAAGTTATTAATTTAGAAGGAGAGAAAAAGACAGTAAGTAAGGGCATCTTCTAAAGGATATAAGCAAGTTACAAAGTTCTAGGTAACAGAGTGGATGTAATGTTTACTGGTTGTAGCTGGAATTAAGAGAAGAATAAAGGGCATTTAAAGAAGCTGGAGAATATCATGAAAAAATCTGTAGAGGTATCGAAGTACAAAAGAAGTCGGGAAATGGCAAGGTGTTATATTTCATTAATGCATTAAGACAGCTATAGAAGAATAGAAGGTAGAAAGTAAAAAACGATGCTGGGTGTTACGGAAATACTTCAATGTTCCCAATGCCTTAAGAATCTGGGCTTTGTGCATAATCAAATGCAGAAACCCTAGATGATTCTCAATAAATGAAACTGTGCTTTACATTTCTGACTCATAATCATATGCTCAAAAACAAATGGTGGCCAGACACAGTGGCTCATGCCTCTAATCCCAGCACTTTGGGAGGCCAAGGCAGGCAGATCACTTGAGGTAAGGAGTTCAAGACCAGCCTGGCCAGCATGGTGAAAAAGCCCATCTCTACTAAGAATACAAAAATTAGCTGGGCTCGGTGGCGTACACCTGTAGTCTCAGCTACTCGAGAGACTGAGGCATGAGAATTGCTTAAACCTGGGAGGCAGAGGTTGCAATAAGTTGAGATCACACCATTGCACTCCAGCCTGGGTGGTAGAACGAGACTCTGCCTCAAAAATAAATAAATAAATACAGCAAATGATAATAATACCTTAAGGCTTTGGTAAAAATTAATCAATTAACTTTCTTGAAAATTTCCCTAATATTCATTTGTATAAAACATTAAAGATTACTAAAAAAAAACTTCTGATATTAGTTAATGCCTAAGTGAAGAAACAGTCCAAATTTTCTTTAGACTTACTCTTTTGTTTTCAAAAGTATGTATCTTGTACAAGCAGTCAGTATCTTACAATCATCCTTGTTTCTAAAAATATACATTTTCACAAGCCAAAAACCTATAGGGTTTTTTTAACATAATTATTGTTGGGAAACATCGCATATTATGACTACTATGAAGCTCAGTTTATAATTTTTCTTATCATAATATTCCCTGCTTCAAACCAGGGAACATTGATCATAAAACAATATTGAGATAATTCTTAGGATTACATAAAAAGGGCTGATATAAAGTGTAAGTCTCTTAATGAACTCATAAATAAACATACTAATTTTGATAAATTACCAAAAAGTTTCAGTAAAGCTGGTTACCTCCCTAAGTGTGTTATTATCAAGTATATCCTACTGGCATGATGTCAGGGTACATCTGAATTATGACCGAATATAACCGCTTGACACTAATTATTTATTACCTGTAATGTTAGGAGTAATAAATAACTGTACTATCGCTAGAACACTAGCAAACTAGGTGTTCTGTAAGAGATTCATGAAAGTAAAGGTGTGTAAAATATATGCATATTTCCATTTTTATCTTCAAGTTTGAAACAGTTGAATTAACTTATGAAATAAATTTATGAAGTCTATTAGTTTAAATGCAGCATTTTTGAAAGCAATACTTACATTGCTTAATATATAATTTAATTTCTCAAGCATCTGATATTCATAGCAGATTATTTAAAACTTCCTTTTAAAGTTCTGTTTATTCATTTATAATAAATTTTTAAATACACAAGAGTTACAATGAATAATGCACAAATTATTTACCTAGCAGCACAGTCATAAGCCAATACATCAGTCTCTGCAAGAAGGTCACCATCAGTTTCATGATCTCCTCCATCAGGACCCAATTCAAATAGCTAAGGGGAGAGAAAATCATTTATATAAATCAGCTATACAAATCTGAGGAACAATGTGTTCACAATTTTGTGTATGTTCCATGTATGTTGGACCATACCAAATGTAAAAATCAGAGTACCTGCTTTTTTAACATATGTATTTATATTAGGAAACAAGATTTTATGGCCTACATAAACCTGTTTTCCTAATTTATATATTAATCTATTCATATCAAATGCTCCGAATAGTTCTATACAAGTTTTGAACCTGATATAAGCATCTGAAAAAGGTGAGAGAATGCAACCACAAATTTTTACCTAAGAGAGTTTCTAAATGAGGTAGAATATTGTTTCATCACTTACTAGCTCTGAGATCCTGGGACCTAGTTTCCTCATCCATAAAAGGTGGGTGGGGTCTAATAGTTCCCACCTCAGAGTACTTTTAAAAATTAAGTGAATACTGTATAATTCTTAAAAAAAAAAAGGATAGGATAATATTAGCTTCAGAGACAAAAAGCAGAACAATGTAAGAATCCTTAAAAAACAATAGGTAACAAAATATAGTTCAAAGTAATATGGCAAGAAAAAAGATGAAAAAAGCATGAAAAAAATTGCGCTTAAAAAAGAGGGGAAGATCCCCTGGGTAAGAAAAAAAGAAACAGAAAAAAATATCCAATAGGAAAAGGTTACGAAATTAAGAGAAAATAAGAATTATAAGAAAGAGGTCTTTTTTAAAAATGCCTGTTTAAAAAAAAACAAAAACCTTTTCCTCTGGATAATTACAGCAGATGAATTGCAAGAGAGGCAGATAAAGATTAAAATGAATTAATATTAACTGGACAGGTACTGTGCTAGGTGTCTAAATTCTTAAATTATATGCTAGTGACTTAGAATATCTTTCTCCAGCTCAGATCTTACTCTCAACAGTAATTGGATTCCCTTCATCCCACTAGTTCTACACCCTCCTCCTGGCTTTACTTTTCTAGTTAATGGTACTTTTATTCACCTAGTCATTCACATAAAAAGCCTGAAACAGGCCGGGCCTGGTGGCTTATGCCTGTAATCCCAGCACTTTGGGAGGCTGAGGCAGGCAAATATATGATGTCACATGAGACCAGCCTGGCCAACAAGGTGAAACCCTGTCTCTGCTAAAAATACAAAACTGAGCTGGGCATGGTGGCACATGCCTGCAGTCCCAGCTACTCAGGAGGCTGAGGCAGGAGAATCACTTGAACCCAGGAGCTGGAGGTTGCAATGAGCCGAGATGGCATCACTGCAATCCAGTGTGGGTGACCAAGAGAGACTCTGTCTCAAAAAAAAAAAAAAAAGCCTGAAATAATCCTTTTTCCATGTTTATTGGCCATTACTGTATCTATTCTCTTACTGGTACCAAAGCTTTTCAATTCAACATATTCCCTATTGCTGGATGGAATATTTCAAAGACAAATTAGTCTTAACTCCATTCTCTTCTTCTTCTAACCCATGTTCCACAAAGTTGAGGGTTTTTGCATTTGTTTCATGATCCTTAGTACCCTTATAAAAACGATTATCTGACCAGAAAACTTTCTTAATCTAAAAGTATTCCTTGGTTTCTCATCTCCTCCATAGCATGATATGAAGGTTGCTAATAATTTTCCCCTAACCTGGCTCCCCTATTTCCATTCAACAAATATTTCTGAATACATACTGTATATGCCAAGCACAGTTCTAGAAATTGGGCATAAAGGGATAAATATTACAAAGAACTGGGGGCTAGTGGGAGTAATTTTATGGTTGGGAATCAAATTTACAGTTTTAAATAGGCTTACCAAGGAATGAAGCTCTGAAGGCAATGAGGAAGTGGGCTATGTAGGTGTTGAAGTGTAGAGAGCTGTAGTTAAGAGGAAACAGCAAGTGAAGAGGTACTGAGATTTGACTGTACCTAGAATGCTCGAGAAACAATAAGCAGGCCAGTGTCATGGGATCAGAGTGAAACAACTAGCAGAACAAAAGGTCAGAGAGGTGATGACAGCCAGTTCTGATGGGGACTTTGCAGGTCCTTCTAAGGCCTTTGATTTTCATTCTGACATAGGAAGACACTACAGGATTCTGAAGAGACTATGATGCACTCTCTTGTACATTTTAAGAGAATCACTCTGCTGCACTGCGAACAGAATAAATGAGGTGAGGACAGACAAGTTGGGAGGCTATTTTTACAATCCTGATGAGAATGGCTGTGGCATGGCCCAATCTGATACCAGTGGGGCAGTTTTCAGAAGTGGTTAGATTCTGGATTTATTTTGAAAGTAGAACCAACAATATTTGCTGCTAAAGCAGATGTGTGTGAAAGAAAGAGTGGAATCAAGGATGACTCCAAGACTTTTGACCTGAGCAAACAGAAGAATGAAGTTAACTCCATGCTGAGTCAGTTAACTGGGATGGGGAAGAACAGCAGGTTTAGTCAGATCATCAGAAGCACAGTATTGAATTTGTTACCTCCAAAATGCCTATCAGACATTCACGTGGAGACACAGCATAGGCAGTTGTACCTATGGGTTTAAAGTCAGAGAAGAGGTCTATATGTTTAAAAGTCATCGGAGATAAAAGTCCATGAGGCTGGACCACCATGCGGAAGAGAATACTTTTAAAAGATGTCAAAACTGAGTTCTTGGCACTCCAACATTTAGAGGTCAGGAAGATGATGGGCAACCAGCAGATACTATGAAGAGCAGTCAGTGGGACAGAAGAAAAATGAAATGTGGTGTCCTGGGGGACAAAGGAAGAAAATATTTCAAAGAGAACTCAGTTAGGTTAAATTCAGCTGATTGGTTAAGGAAGATGAGAGCTGAGGCTTGACCACTGAATTTAGCAATATGAAAGTCAGCAGTGTCCTTAACAAGGGCAGTATCAGCGGTGGGGGCAAATATCTGACTGGAGTAGGTTCAAGTAGGAATGGTAAGAGAAAGAATGGAGACAGAAAATATAGAAAGAATGTATGCATCTAAAGTAAAATAAATAAACTATAAAAAAAAGAAAGAAAATGTGTACAGAGACTAGCTAGGTGGCTAGTCTAAGACAAATACCTTTGCCTAGGGTAGTGATAGAAGAGTCTTTTTTTTTTTTGTGGGGAAGAAACAGATAAGGAGGCCTATCAAAAAAATGTCTAGGCGTTTGGCCTATGTACCAAGCATATGGAGGGTGGTACTAATTACGAGAGAGAGATCAGTAGAACAGCATGAATTTAGCTGAGATATTATGATTGATAACTGATGTGCTTTTAATGTATTTACATGAAAATGCATCAGAGAAGTCTGAGTTGGAGATATAAATTTGGGGATTATGGTATGCTGATGAATATTAAAACTTTGGGCTTAAAAGAGAATACATATAAGAATATGTGAAGAAAGAGAGCCTAGAGCTGGGTTTTTGAAGAACTCCTACTTTCAGTGGCCAGGTGGAAGGGGATGAACCTACATAGAGATAGAAGAAACAACTAGAGGTATGAAAACAAAACAAAAAAATAAAGAAGGGCTTAACAAATGTATACCTTAGAGGTGAAGGGAGGAAAAAACCTGACTACTGTTGAAAGGCCTTAGTCCACTAACTGGATAATTGAATAGAAAAGGCGGCATCATTTCCAGAGGACAGAAGGAGTGAGGCAGAATTTGAGGTTGAAAAAGAAAAGCAGGGCGAATATAAAAACTACATATATAGAAGGCCTCTATAATTCTATACACCACAATGTTTGAAGACAAGGTCCACTATGTTATTCACTATTCCAAATATAAAAAATCTCTTAGAGCTAGGAAAAAATAGATCTTCCTGATGAGCTTATTAGACATTGTCAAGTACACATTGGGGTTGCTTTTCTAACTTGAGGATGAATCAAGACATCCTAAAATAATTTTGTAGCAGTTGCACTGAAATGAGCCAAAGACAATCTCCTGTTTTTCTTATTATCAACATACATGTGCTACAAGAGTCCTTAATCATTATTCTATTACTACACTCCATTTAACTATAGGAGCTTTAAATGTTTATTCATTCTTACATTATCTGTTTTTTTTAGCACATGTATTCTAACTATAACCAGAAACAAGAAAATACTTCTTTAAATTTGTCAGTTCTGGTTGGGTATCCAGGGTATCCATGGGGAGTGTCCTTGGAAACCATCATTATAAAGGAGTGTTAACATATTGATATCATTTTTAGATATTATTAAGAGAGCTAAGAAAATACCTCCTGAATAGATGACATTTAATTGAGATTTTTTTTTGTGAAGCCTGCTATTGAAATTTAGGCAGAAATTATGGTTTTCTTTTTGATTTTAAGAGCAAAATTAGGTAATTTGAGAAGCAGAACATTCAAACTATTAGTGAATGTTCAAAGAATGAACATATACTTTGCTCAGGATAATTGTTGGCCCTTTTAGACATGAATAGGTATGGTAAATATATGATTTTTAGTCTGTCTACCAGATGGAATCCTCCCCTAATATGATCTCTCACTCATCCCTGGTCTCCATTCCTGGGGTGAAGATGTCTGTTTACATACTATTTGGAACTAAAAATGCTCAAAACTTTTTTGCTACATCAAAATGTCCCTAAACAGTTGCACCTTCTCTGTCATTAAAATGGCTATAAAAAAGTAGCCACATAAAAAGGCACTGGTATTGCTAGACCTCCAGGAAGTTCCATACAAAAGACTGAAATAATAATAGCCTTTTTTCAGTTGTAAATTATTGAAAAATAATTTTCCTTTCATTTCCTCTCTTCTTAGTAAATTATATTTAATGAGTTTCTTATTTAGTATTATTATAGTCAATTTTAGCAATACTTCCTCTATCTTTAAAGAGAAGCATTAAAAACAAAATGAACATTTTTAATTTTAAAAGAAAAAATGAAACATTAAATAAAATAATAAATTAAGACACAATCAGCATCTTCAAACAAAAAAGGGCAATACTGTTGATGAACTTTACCTTAATTTTAGCAGTATATTCTCCTCTACCTCCAAACAGACCAAGACCACCAAGTAAAATATCAGTGTCGGCACTAAAACGTATAGCTTCTACCGAATGGGCAGAATAACCCCAGCCTCCTCCATGACCTAGATGATATAAATAATAATCTATGTTTTAAAATATCTATATATATTTCAGTTGTAAGACAATATTTCCTAAACCTAAGTATACATACTTTCAAACCTGTTTACCACACTGTAATCTTCTTTAGAATAAACCTTCATTACTGCTTGAGTCTCTTCCTCTGTACTTGCAACACCCATTTTTAAATCCTGCATAGCAGCCAAGGTATCAAGACAACCTAAAACAACAAATAAACAAAAATGAATTCCTTGAAATCAAAAAGTCCTATGGTATTATTGATGACATTAAATGCTATAAGGGATATATTTAAAAAAATAAAATTGGAATGTTACTCCAAGCTTTAAACATCATTTCATGGAAGAATACTTAAAACCAATACAAATTCTCCCTTGTCTGATTAATGATCATATTTAAACATGCCATATGACAGCCTTTTACACAAAACTGGATCGCTGAAAAGTTGAAATCACTTAGCCTTTGAGTTCTTACAAGGTTCTTCCTCTTTTATGAAATTCTCCAAATTAGTTTGATTCTGAAAGTACTATGTGAGGAAGACACATTAGCATCACATAACCTTAATCAATACTAGTTTTGGATGTCTACAATAGATACCAAAATGAAATTAGAGAAAAAAGAAACAGAGTTATATTTATGATCTAGTACTTATACTTAGGAATATGATTTCACAACTGCAAGTGCTAGAGTCTTAAAATGAGTTTTTTTAAGGATCATTTTCAAAAGCAACAAAATACATAGTTATGTAGAGTGATATAAAATTTCCAGCTACAGAATAAATATGTTGCAAAAGTACTATATCTCAAAGTAATTAAATGAGAATAAAGCTGATATGCTGTGGAAAACTGTGTTATATAAGAAGAGATGGAAGTAGTATATAAAATAAATTATATTTTATAAAATTTGATATTTAAAATAATATACTTAAACATATATTTGAATATTTTATCATACCTTTAAAAGTTTATACATTCACGTTGAGCAAACACATTATTTTTAAGGGTCTAGATCTGGGAAAATTAACTATTTGGGCATACATAAATCTCTCATGGTGTTGGTATAGGTCTCATGTATTGTTTTCTGTGGAATTAGCCTCTTAGAGGAGTAATTTATTTTGTATATTATTATGTTTAACAAACAAGATAGAATTACATATAAATTTAAACATTCTAAAAAATAAAAATAAAAAAAAAACCCAGGACAGCACACATTAATGTGAATTAACAGTACATCAAATCGCAACCCTACCTAAAATGTGCAAAGCTGCATGAGATCGAGTAGTGAGTGCCCTTGATCCTGTTGGTAAGGCAAGCTCAGGACTTAGAATACTACATCTGGACTGCATGTCTGCTGCAGAGGGAAGTCTGGCATCAGCCACCACTGCATTGTAACACCACAGTTCTCTAGTATTTGGTCGAAACCTTTAAAGAAAAAGAATAATTACAGCACCTCAACGTGGTTTTGTTTTAAAAAACTTCCTAAAACATAACTGATGATACAAAGAGAATAAATAATACAGTCAGCTTAAAGAGGACAAATGTAGCTCATTGTCTTCTAGATAAAAAACATTATATCACTAAAACTGAAATAATTTGAAAACAGTAATGTAGATTATAATAAATAATAGGGCAACTGACTGTATACTTAAAGTTTTGATACATACATATAAATATGACACTCAACAAATGCCCCATTAAAAACGTGAAAGACAAAGAACAAATTGAAGAAAAATGTGAAGTGTATGTGAGACAAAACTATAATATCCCCAAGAGTTAGAAACAATCAATCCATAGCAAAAATAGGCAAGGACATGGAATGCTATTCTCAGAAAGGAAACACAGTAGAATGGATGTGGCTGTTCGACCACATGAATAAACAGTAAACACCAAAAGAAACTATTAGGAACCCACAACGTCCTCATCATTCCATTTCTCTTAACTCTTTCCTAACAAAAACTTCAAAAAGCTATCTCCACTTCATGACCTCTTTTGGGGTCGGGAAGTGGGGATGCAAGCTGTTGTTTAATAAATACAAAGTCTCTGTCTTCCGAGGGAAAAAAGTTCTGATGATCTCTTTCACAGTAACATAAATATACTAAACACTACTGACTGCAGACTTTAAAAATAATTAAGATGGTAAATTTTACACTGTATTTTTACCACAATTTTAAAATTTTTAAAACACACTTAAAATAGCATTTTGAAAAAAATAAATTATAGTGGCTTCTATAATTAGTAGCATTAATATTATTATATTATTGCTTTTGAGAAGTCCTGTTGATCTTACTGTTTAGGTGATCGTTCTTTTCTCTCTGGCTGCTTTTAAGATTTTCCCTTGGTCTCTAGTGTTCAACAGTTTCACTAACTCTCTTGATGGTAAACAATGGAAATACATGGTTTCTAATTATCTGTGGATTCGAATCTCTTTTTGGTTCCAGAAAATTCATGGTAAGGGACAAGAAGAGACCAGAAATTATTTGCCCCCCTAGACAAATGCATATTTGACTGCTTCCTCTACTCTATGTTTACGTTACCTCCAGACAAACACATAATTCACTGTTCCCTCTACCCCTTCCTTTTCATGTGCAACATACAGATTCAAACCCTTACAAGAATGTGACCACATCCTCTCTTTCTTTCTTTTCCCTTCATCCTCCTGCTCACTTTTCCTCTTTAAATACTGAAGCCCTCAAACCTCTTCAGAACAAGTACAGGGAACAGATCCTACTGTGGCTTGTCTTTTCTTCCCAGGCATGTTCTCTTTACAAGATAAAAACTTCTAAAGTGATGGAGACGTACCTCAGTCATTTCACAGCTCTGTGAGCCTATCTTTTAACTCAGCAATTCTACATTTTAAAAGCTAGCTTGCAGAAATACTTGCACATGTGTATAACTCTGTGTGTAGATATGTATTTGTTTACTGTAGCATTATAGGTAATATCGTAATATTAAAAAACAACCTAAAATGTCCACTAATGGACAAACAGTTAAGTATATTTGGTATATCCAGACTATAGAATTTCACAGCTTTAATAATGAAGCTCTTTAAATACTGACTTGGAAAGATCTCTAAATTATTTTTGAGCAAAAAATCTAACTTTTAGAATAGGTATGTTTTTATTACATGAAAAGAAAAGCATTTTAAAAGGTGTCAGACAAATATAAACCAAACTTCATACTTGTGATTCACAGAGAAGGTTATTAGGATTTGGTATGGGAAAAGAAACAGATACAGAGTATGACCATCCTTTTTCCTCTATGTATTTTTGCTTTACTTTTTAAAAACTAACACAAATTCACGTATTATTTCTGTAAATTTTATGTGCAAAATAAAATAGGTATTCTTAACATGTATCTGTTCTTTATAGATGTTGTTTCAAGTTATGCAGGCGAAGCTGGCCTCTAAATAATATAGAAGGAAACGATGCAGGCCAGAAGGAAAGTCAAAGCAAGCTAATAACGGATGTGCAATGCATATGACAGCCGGAAAATGCAGTGCCCCACTGAAAAACACAAAAGACACAAAGCAACCAGAAGTCAGGAAAACAGAAATTCTCATCCTGATTTAAAGAAAAATACCTCTCGGCTGTTTTACCAAAACATCTCTTAATCTCTGTTTGCTGACAATGGAGAAATTGACCGAGGAGCTGGCAAGGTATTTGAGATCATCTGTCTATTGCTGTCACCATAAGTGAAAAGACAAGGTTCAACCAGCTGAATATCATACTTCAGAGTTCTGTTAAGACCCCATGAAAATGGTTCTAGTTCAAGTAAGTTTTTACTGTTAGACTTAGTTATACTGAAATTGCTAAGTTAGTGAATGTATCCAGAAACAGATTCCATACTGCCCATTTTTATTTTTGTTTTGTTAATGCAAATTTATTTCATTTAAAAATAAAACATATAAGAACTACAAAGCAATAAAACATCAATTTACACCTAAGTCCAAACCAGAGCCTGCTCTTTGGTAACAAAGACCATTGCACACTGACTTCTCATCAGTAAGTAACTGCAGCCAATTCTATCTTTATATCTGTTCTCTCTATCCCCTCCATTCTGTCCCACTGTGACCACTCTAGTTTTGGTTCTTAATACCTCATGTCTCCATAAGAATGACCACAAAAGACCACTTGCCCATAGTCTCTTGTTATTTCATCTACCTTGCACAATGCAGCCAGGGAGATGTAACTGGTTTGAGATGTACGCAACCCAATCCTGGCCTGGGAAGTGGAGTAGTCTCTTCACTCCAAATGCAAGCCTCATGATTAATCTCTATTTTGGAACAAGGAAGAAAATTATGAAGGAGATGGCAAGTCATTCCAGATCATCTATCCCACTGCTACCACATGGCCTCTCAGGACTTAGCTGTCTGATGAGAATGCAAGCAGGCATGGGCAGCAGAAGGAAGACAGAAAAGAGTCTCTTCATTCACACCACTTCAACCTTTCAATTTACTGGAATCCTGCCTACCAAGACCGGCCACAAGAGGAAAGTAGTGCTCAGCCCTGTGATCAGCCACTCTGGCGATGGCAGCGTAAACCCCCTATGAGTATCCAAAGCTAGAAATGCTAGGAAGGGTAACATCTTTATTTCTTTTGTACATAAAGCAACACAATAAATTTTAAACAAATGCAACATAATTTCTTGAGTCTCTTTTGTACCTTATTTATCTCTACGTTTTAATAATTTCCAGAGTGCATTCCAATTTTTTTTTACTATTCAATAAGCATACTTTTAATAAAAACATTGTGTTATTTGTAAACTATATGGACATACATAGTAAAATAATCAAGTAATTGAATTTGTTAATATTGTTAAAAACAGATTTTAGCATACAAAAGAGACAAATATCAAATTAATGAAGTTGAGTAAAAGTCATACAACCTTAAATTTGGATATACCAATATGAAATCTTAATGTATTTTACTTTTTTTTAAATTACATTTTAGGTTTTGGGGTACATGCGAAGAACATGTAAGATTGTTGCATAGGTACACACGTGGCAGTGTGATGTGCTGCCTTCCTCCCATCACCTATATCTGGCATTTCTCCCCATGCTCTCTCTCCACAACTCCCCACCCCGTGCCGTCACTCCCCTATTTCCCCCCGACAGACCCCAGTGTGTGATGCTCCCCTCTCTGTGTCCAGGTGTTCTCATTGTTCAACACCCACCTATGAGTGAAAACATGCAGTGTTTGATTTTCTGTTCTTGTGTTAGTTTGCTGAGAATGATGGTTTCCAGGTTCATCCATGTCCCTACAAAGGACACAAACTCATTGTTTTTGATGGCTGCATAATATTCCATGGTGTATATGTGGCACATTTTCCCTGTCCAGTCTATCATTAATGGACATTTGGGTTGGTTCCAGGTCTTTGCTATTGTAAACAGTGCTGCAAAGAACATTCATGGGCATGTGTTCTTATAGTAGACTGATTTATAATCCTTTGGATATATACCCAGTAATGGGATTGCTGGGTCAAATGGAATTTCTATTTCTAGGTCCTTGAGGAAGTGCCACATTGTCTTCTACAATGGTTGAACTAATTTATACTACCACCAACAGTGTAAAGTGTTCCTATTTCTCCACATCCACTCCAGCATCTGTTGTCTCCAGATTTTTTAATGATCACCATTCTAACTGGCGTGAGATGGTATCTCAATGTAGTTTTGATTTGCATTTCTCTAATGACCAGTGAAGATTAGCATTTTTTCATATGCTTGTTGACCTCATGTATGCCTTCTTTTGTAAAGTGTCTGTTCATGTCCTTTGCCCACTTTCAAATGGGCTTTCTTTCTTTCTTGTAAATCTGTTTTAGTTCTTTGTAGTTTCTGGATATCAGCCCTTTGTCAGATGGGTAGATTGCAAATATTTTTTCCCATTCTGTTGGTTGCCTATTCACTCTAATGACTATTTCTTTTGCTGTGCAGAAGCTGTGGAGTTTGATTAGGTCCCATTTGTCTATTTTGGCTTTTGTGGCCAATGGTTTTGGTGTTTTGGTCATGAAGTCCTAGCCTATGCCTATGTCCTGAATGGTTTTGCCTAGGTTTTCTTCTAGGGTTTTTATGGTGTTAGGTCTTATGTTTAAGGCTTTAATCCATCTGGAGTTAATTTTAGCGTAAGGTGTCAGGAAGGGGTCCAGTTTCTGCTTTCTGCACATGGCTAGCCAGTTTTCCCAACATCATTTATTAAACTGGGAATCCTTTCCCCATTGCTTTTGTCAGGTTTGTCAAAGATCAGATGGTTGTAGATGTGTGGCATTGCCTCTAAGACCTCTGTTCTGTTCCATTGGTCTATATCTCTGTTTTTGTACCAGTATGATGCTGTTTTGATTACTGTAGCCTTGTAGTATAGGTTAAAGTCCAGTAGTGTGATGCCTCCCACTTTGTTTTGTTTTTTTTTTTGCTTAGAATTGACTTGGATATGCGGGCTCTCTTTTGGTTCCATATGAAGTTCAAGGTGGTTTTTTCCAGTTCTGTGAAGAAGGTCATTAGTAGCTTGATGGGGATAGCATTGAATCTGTAAATTACTTAGGGTAGTATGGCCATTTTTACGATATTGATTCTTCCTAACCATGAACACGGAATGTTTCTCCATCTGTTTGTGTCCTCTCTTATTTTGTTGAGCAGTGGTTTGTAGTACTCCTTGAAGAGGTCCTTTACATCCTTTGTTAGTTGTATTCCCAGGTATTTTATTCTCTTTGTAGCAATTGTAAATGGCAGTTCGTTCTTGATTTGGCTCTCTTTAAGTCTGTTATTGGTGTATAGAAATGCTTGTGATTTTTGCACACTGATTTTGTATCCTGAGACTTTGCTGAAGTTGCTTATCAGTTTCAGGAGATTTTGGGCTGAGACAATGGGGTCTTCTAAATATACAATCATGTTTTCTGCAAATAGAGACAATTTGACTTCCTCTTTTCCTATTTGAATACCCTTTATTTCTTTTTCTTGCCTGATTGCTCTGGCTAGAACTTCCAATACTATATTGAATAGGAGCAGTGAGAGTGGGCATCCTTGTCTAGTGCCAGAATTTCAAAGGGAATGCTTCCAGTTTTTGCCCATTCAGAATGATATTGGCTGTTGGTTTGTTGTAAATAGCTTTTATTATTTTGAGATACGTTCCATCAATACCGAGTTTATTGAGGGTTTTTTAGCAAAAAGGGCTACTGAATTTTGTCAAAGGCCTTCTCTGTATCAATTGAGATAATCACATGGTTTTTGTTTTTGGTTCTGTTTATGTGGTGAATTACGTTTATAGACTTGCGTATGTTGAGCCAGCCTTGCATCCCTGGGATGAAGCCTACTTGATCATGGTGGATAAGCTTTTTGATGTGCTGTTGCAATCGGTTTCCCAGTATTTTATTGAAGATTTTTGCAATGATGTTCATCATGGATATTGGCCTGAAGTTTTCTTTTGTTGCTGAGTCTCTGCCGGGTGTTGGTATCAGGATGATGTTGGTCTCATAAAATGATTTGGGAAGGATTCCCTTTTTGCATTGTTTGGAAGTTTCAGAAGGAATGGTACCAGCTTCCCTTTGGATGTCTGGTAGAATTCGGCTGTGAACCCATCTGGACCTGGACTTTTTTTTGGGTGGTAGGCTCTTAATTGCTACCTCTGCTTCACAAGTAAATCATTCCTCAGCAAATGCAAAAGAACAGAAATCATAACAAACAGTCTCTCAGACCATAGTGCAATCAAGTTAGAACTCAGAATTCAGAAACTAACTCAGAACCACACAGCTTCATGGAAACTGAACAACTGGCTCTTGAATGTTGACTGGATAAACAATGAAATGAAGGCAGAAATAAAGATGTTCTTCGAAACCAATGAGAATGAAGACACAATGTACCAGAATCTCTGGGACACACTTAAGGCAGTGTCTAGAGGAAAATATATAGCAATAAATGCCCACACGAGAAGCAAGGAAAGATCTAAAATCGACACCCTATCATCAAAATTGAAAGAGCTAGAGGAGCAAGACCAGAAAAACTCAAAACCTGGCAGAAGACAAGAAATAACTAAGATCAGAGCAAAACTGAAGGAGATAGTGACACAAAAAGCCCTTCAAAAAAAAAATCAATAAATCCAGGAACTGGTTTTTTGAAAAGATCAACAAAATAGACTGCTAGCCAGATTAATAAAAAAGAAAAGGGAGAATAATCAAACAGATGGAATAAAAAATGATGAAGGGGGTATCACCACAAATTCCACAGAAATACAAACAATCATCAGAGAATATTACAAACAACTCTATGCACATAAACTAGTAAACCTGGAAGAAACGAATAAATTCCTGGACACTTGTATCATCCCAAGCCTAAACCAGGAAGAAGTCGATACCAGTAATTTTTGAATGCATATTCCTAAAGAGCAAGCTCAATTATCTTCTTTCTTCTATATTATCTTTGGCATAATTTTCTCCTCATAGTTGATAATAATTCCAAGAACAAAAAATAGAGTAAATTCTATATAATAAAAACAGGATTGATGACAGACTAAAAATAATTTACAACAGAACTCTTGATAGTCAAATTAATAATTATATTACCAAACACTTCTATGGCACCTACTATTAGCCTTTGTAGTATTAGTATCCCTATTTCATATATGAGAAAACTGAGGCACACAAAGTAACTTCTCCAGGGTGACACAGAAAGCAAGTTATGGAGCTGGGACAAACCTAGGTAGTGTTGCTCAAAATGCATGGTCTTAACCACTATGCTGTACTATAAAGGTCCCTGTGAATCACTGAGACAGAATTGCAGTTATTAGATAAACGGAAGAGTATTGATGTGTGACAAGTCCACCTGTAAATAAAGTTTATATTACCGTTAAGAGTAGAATTGCATCAAAACTTATTTACTACTCTGTTTTATAAACTGAGATGCTTACCTCCAAATTACATCATAAACAGGATCAAGACACACACCAAATCCTTGCAGATCCTCTTGTTCTGAGTCATTAAAAGTTTTACAACTCCCATCTACTTTATTTATCAGAAGGCATTTAAATGGAGGAGGTTCTGATATAGAAGCAGGTACCAGGCCTTAAGAAAAAGAATATTTACATATAATTTTAATATATAGTATTATGCTTTTATATTCCCTAAAACCCATAAAGTAAGTATTATTATCTCCATTTCCCAGATGAGTAAGTGGAGAATGAAAGAGGCTAAGGAACTAAAAAATCTTTAAGTGGGAAAATTAGGCCTAAAACCTCAGGATGTCTAAATTGACAATACATTCTCCTAATCTCTTGCTATACCACTCTATTATATAATTATTCACAATATCATGGACACAAGTATAGACTGATATCTTAGTCTTCATGAAACTTCAAAGTTTGATTTATATAACCTCCCATAAAAATCAATTTCTAACATTTTTTTGCAAGAAACAATGCAGAAAAATCTCTTATGGATTTTATTCTACCAGAATTTAGTTTATAGTTTTACCACTGTCTAGCTGCCAAAAACTGGTTTCTAGATCTCCCAATTATTTCATTCTTTCAGCACACAGACATATAAACACAGACATTTACAGGCTTATTTAAATTTCTTCGAGCAGAAAGAAAACAAAAAGCTATAAAAGTATATTTCATCATAGAGAAAGATAAACCATTTACTATCAATCATGACAAGAGTTTGGAAGGAGCATTTGTTTATTTCTGGTATTACCTATTATGTGTTTACTGGCAAAAATTTCTGATGTAGCAAGTACATGAGAATTAATAAGTGCTTCATCAATTCGTAAGAAAGTCTGGTCCCCACTTGCACCTATCCAAGTAGCTTTTCTTCCATATTTTGATCCAATGTTAGGCATGGGAGCTGGCTTTGCATTCCAATATGGCACATCCAAAATTGGTCTGCCCAGTTGTCCTTTCTAAAAGATTAAATAAACCATATTAACAATATTGCTGTGTAAACAATCTAATTTTCATAAAATTAAGGAGGCAGTAGATAAAAATCACTCTATGAAACCTTATTTTTCACCACTTGTTAGTTTGGGTTTTTTTTTTTTTTTTTTGAGAAGGAGTTTCGCTCTTGTTACCCTGGCTGGAGTGCAATGGCACTATCTCGGCTCACCACAACCTCCGCCTCCTGGCTTCAGGCAATTCTCCTGCCTCAGCCTCCTGAGTAGCTGGGATTACAGGCACGCGCCACCATGCCCAGCTAATTTTTTGTATTTTTAGTAGACACGGGGTTTCACCATGTTGACCAGGATGGTCTCGATCTCTTGACCTCATGATCCACCCGCCTCGGCCTTTCAAAGTGCTGGGATTACAGGCCTGTGCCACCGCGCCCGGCCTAGTTTGGGTTTTTAAAATAAATATTATACCTACAAAATTTGGACCATACATTTATAAAGTAATACAGTAATTTCTATTATTCCTGGAAAGTCTTCCCCCAATAAAGTATAAAGTGCATCATTTCAAAAAAAAAGTGTTAAATATTTTCCAATCAGGAATATCTCCAAAATACTTTGTCTTCGCCTACATTTAAATGAAAAGTATGATAAATACACACAGTATATTAAAATATTAGTATTTCAAATTGTTCATTTAAAAAGTCACTCTGACATTGTAAGTTGATAGTATAAAAGAAAGTCACTATTAAACTCATACAATCTGAGAATATTCAAGTAAAAAGGCCAAAATAAACTAAAACTGTGAATACAATTAGAAAAATATGTAATGTTTTCAGATGGTATGTCCATAAGTTATTTCATTTATGTTTTAAAATAAACAGCACAATCTATGGTAAGGTATGATGTTTTAAGTACATAACTATTAACCATTTAAAAGTATGGCTATCTATAGGGACCTGGTCAGGTAAGTGTTTAATTTTAAAAGTAATAGGAAGTTTCTCACTACTAAGCCAGTAGCTGAAAAAAAATAAAAGAATGCTGATGTTGACTCAGTAGATATTCCTCCATCCCTGGCTCAGGAGCGCTCTACCCCCACAGCATTCTAGAACAAGGGAGCTGAGAGCACTGCAAACACTCTGGTCATATTCTCGGCCAACCACCAGGTAACACAGCAAAAAAACACATCCACAAACTGACTGTGGAATCCCTGGTCAGAACCAGGGAAGGAAACATGGCAAGTACATGGTAAGCGAAGCAGCCAAAACATTCAATGTTTATTTCTCACGCTCTGTAAAAGGGTTTTTATTTTTGACAAAGAAAATAAGAGCACAAAAATGTAAACGATGGTTTGGTGCAGTCACTCACGCCTGTAATCCCACAGGCTGGCACAGATTAAAGGTACCACAACACCTTGGGAGGCCTAGGAGGGCAGATCACCTGACATCAGGAGTTTGAGGCCAGCCTGGCCAATATGGTGAAATATCCTCTACTAAAAATACAAAAATTAGCTGGGTGTGGTGGCGAGTGACTGTAGTCCCACCTACTCAGGAGGCTTTGGCACAAGAACTGCTTGAATCCAGGAGGCAAAGGTTGCAGTGAGCTGAGATCATCACACCACTGCACTCTACCTTGGATGACAGAGCAAGATTCCGTCTCAAAAAAAAAAAAAAATGTAAATAGTGAGCAAAATATATCATATTCAGGGATATATTCACTTTCAGAGGAAAAATAAATTAGTATCTTTTTCATCGACTATTGAAATAAATATGTATTCCCTTACTACCAACTAATGTGAAGAAAAGCCGTCCAAAAGTGTGATAAGGTACCTGGACAACTCCATAAGGACTCAGAATGTGGTTATAAATGGCTAAATTTAAATTCATAAAAGTTCACAACTAAGACTGCTGGGACTGGAAGATAATGACTGTCTGACTTCAAATCTTGCCACTCACATAACCCCCTCAAAAGACATAAAAATGTGCTGTGTAAACAAATTTATAAGTGACTCAAACCTTCAGCAGTATAAGGAGACAGCAGGTGTCATGATCTCTATGTTTCCTATAAGCAGAAGAAGCCAAATTCCAAGAGTTCTCTCCACCCACCTGCTACTGCAAACCTGAACATGTGCAGAGCACAAAAGGGGAAGCTCTTAAGAAGGAAAACAGAGGCATGTGGAGAAGTTAGAAACAGCACAGGCAAATGCATCCCCGCAAAGGGAAAGTTAACCTTCAATGCCAAAATACTAAATATGGATGCAAACTATAAGGATCAGAGCACCAGCTAAAGGCAAAGGAACTTAAGCAGGACTATTCCTCATCTATCAGACTGGCACAGATTAAAGGTACCACAACACATTCCGTTGGCGATTCTGTGGAAAACAGGCAATCTCATACACTGTTAGTGTGAATGCAAAATACAAGAGAACGACATAGGCATTAACTTTCAACCCAGTAATCTCGCTTTCAGAAATTTGTCTCAAAGATACACTTCTAACAATATTCATTACTATCATTGCAAAGTAAGTAAATATACAAACATAAGAAATTGAATGAATAAACTACCATATAAACACAAAATGGAGTACTAGACTGAGGTTAAAAAACATGAAGAGCTCTATGAACTAATATGGAGCAATTTCTAGGTGATATATTGAAGCAAAAAGAGCAAAGTGCAAAAGAGCATATATAGACTATTACCTTAAAAGAACGAGGAAGGGGAAATGTATCTATGTATGTACAGTCACATGTCACTTAATGACAGGGTTATGTTCTGAAATACGTGTCATTAAGTGATTCGGTGACTGTACGAACATGAGAATGGACTTACACAAACCTAGATGGTATAGCCTACTACACACTTAGTGATACGGTATAGCCTATTGCTCCTAGGCTACCGCCCTGTACAACATGCTGGTGTACTAACTACTAGTGAGTAGGCAACTGTAACTCACTAGTAAGTATTTGTGTATCTAAACCTAAAAAAGGTCTAGCCAAGGTATGAATGGGAACACCTTAGCATATGCAGTCCATCACTGACCAAAATACTGTTCATGACAGTATTTTATGCAGTGCATGACTCTGTATGTATACACTTAATACATATATAGATATATATTTAATAGCGTGTGTGCATGCTTATTTATTTATCTTCACAAGAAGAAACACAGAAGAATAAACTGTAAAACAATGACATTCATTACGTACAAGTGTGGAGTGAAAGGTGTGGGAGGCAGAAATGTCAGGAATATGAGAGGAAGTGACACCTCTGAGTATACAATATTTGTATAACTTCATTTTTAGCAACCTGTAAATGTACTACATATTTTTTAAATGAAACAAAATTTAATGAAAGGATAGGGTGAGAGGAATCTTAAACTGAAACAAATGAGCCCCACTCTATTCCAAAGGAATTGTAATTTCCAGTGAACAAGAGAGAGAGAGAGAGAGAGAATCCAGGCCACTCATGGACAATGCTTGACTATATACCTTCAGACACTGGGAAGGAGCAAGACTGACCTTTCAGTGAGTTTGTTTTTTTGGACTTGAATAGGCAAAGCAAATGTAAAACTATTTTAGACATATTTGGGAACTAGGTGAGAAATAAATATACTGACATTGTTGAAAGCAAAGATTCTTACTGAGGAAGAAAGAACATAAATATAGAACAGAACCAGGTAAGAAAGAACCTTGTGGGAATGGATCAGAAGTAGAAGTCACAGCATGGGTTTATTTCTTTTTCTTTCCTTCTTTTTGAGACAGGATCTTGCTCTGCTGTCCAGGCTGGAGGGCACTGGTGCAATCATGGCTCTCACTACAGCCTTGACCTCCAGGGCTCAAGTAATCCTCCCATCTCCGCCTCCTGAGCAGCTAGGACCACCGGCACATGCCACCAGACTCAGCTAAATTTTTTACTATAGAGATGGGGTCTCACTATGTTGGCCAGGCTGGTCTTGAACCCCTGGGCCTGCCAAAATGCTTGGATTATAGGTATGAACTAGCATGCCGGGCCTATGATTTCTAAAATACAAACACAGATGTGTGAATATATATATATATATATATATATATATATATATATACGCATACTGGAGATGCAAAGACATCCTGTAGCACTGAACACATCTAGTGTCCCGTTGGTATCTATTACTATTCCCCACTAAGAAGAATCGGCGTTCTTGGAGAAATAGCTGATTTTAGGACTGATACAGGGCCTATACAAGATAAACGCTAAACAACTTGTTATGCTGGAAAGAAAGGAAGTACTCCAAAAAATGAAGGGGCATGTCATAATAATACAAGTCTGAGATAATCTAAGCACCCAAATAATTAAAGATGATAATGAAGAAAATACAAATACCTGAGTCTTTACCAATAATAAACAGACAAACAAGTAAACAGGAAAGGGGGGGCTCTTGCCTACAGTAAAATGCGAAGTGCCTACTGGGGCTGAAAAAAACTCACTATTTTTTAAACGTTAAAGACTAGTTCAAGAAGGAATGATCAATAGATGCTAAATCTAGGGGGAAATTTTGATGAGAAGGAGGCATCTTAAAAGCGTCCACCTACAGATTGCTTATAGCTGCAAAGGAGAAACAGTACAGAAACCAGACATTTGATCAGGTGATCAAAATGTATATAATCAATGAGAAACAGATGGCATTCTGTTGTGCTCCAGATGTGATGCAGCGAGGCAAACACAACATCACTTACAGAGTATCTTTGCCTTGGTGCACAACCTGCATCTAAACATGAGGAGATATCAGAGAAACAAGAATGACGAGCATCCTATTTTTAAAAACAGTATTATACTCTTTAAAAGTGTCAATGTCATAATAGACAACACATAGCTGTGGAAATGTTACAGATTAAAGGCGACTAAAGACACACAACAGGCAAATGTAAGGCCTGATCCTAGATTGGAGGGGAGAGACATGCCAAAAATAATTATTCGGTCAATTCACAAAATACAAACTAAAGTATGTACGAGGTAACAGGCCATAATGTATACAAGACATTCTTAAAGGATTCAAGAAAAAAAATTGTTTTATATACATACACACACACACACACACACACACACACACACACAGTGTGTGTGTATGAGAGAGAACAGGCAAATGTGCAATAATAAAGCAAATGCTTGATCAGAATGTTAACACTAGGTGAATCTGGTTAAAGACATTGACCATATATTCTATGTACTATTCTTAGTTGTGCAACCTTTCTGTAAGTTTGAAACCATTTCCAAATAAAATATTTTAAGTATACATTTAAATTTTTTAAAAAGTTGAAAGCTGTAAATGTCATCCCAGAGACTTAGGTTCTAGAGTTCTTAGTAATTACCCAAGTCAAAAATGGCAGAAGTATATCAGCACAGTCTCACAAAGATTTTTCCTGATATCTGCTATGCTCAAACTACACAAAATTCTTAGAGCATTTTCACTCTCTTTAAGCTTTGGTGCAGAGAGAGAGAGAGAGTGTGTGCACAAGCACCCATGTAACAGGCAGGCAGACTCAGAGGGTGGAAAAGGAAAAAAGAAAGTATAATTTTAAACAATTAAAGACAGAATTAGCTCTACTTAATGCTTAAAAGACTTTAATCTGAAATAAACATGTCCAATTCTAACAAAGCTGTTAAATTAAATAAATTCTAATACTGAGCTAGAAAGGAAAATTACTTCAAAGTATCATTCAAGTTTTGTGTGTGTTGGGGATGAAGGCATGAAATATTATGTAACAATTATAATACAAGAATTTCACTGGAACCAGAAAAAATAACTAACAGAGACAAATTATAAGGCAATGGTATAATGCAATATTATTAATGTTTTTAAAATTCCTTACAGAAAAACTTCCAAATGTGAAGACCTGTCCATCCATTAAAAGTACTGCCGTATGGTTGCTGCCTGCAGTGACTTGTGTGCTAGGGCCTGGCAATGCTTGAACAAGTGTGGGACATCCCCTAGGTTAAAAAAAAAAAAAAAAAGTAAGTCAATTTCTTACGAGACTCAACTAAAACAGTAAGTAAACAATGCAATAAAGAGTAGAAAAGATATAAGGCACTAATAAGAATATTCAATAAACATTTAAGTGCTAAATGCCTATGTCCATTCCAGGTACTAGATAAACAAAGATGAAAAAGACAATTGCTGGCTTTAAGAAGATCATTAAAAAGATCTTCTAAATTTAATGACCCTAACCATAGACATAGAAGTCTTAATATTTCTAAAAACTGATGCTATATTTATTTTTAATCTGGTACTCTGTATACTGACTGACCTGCTAGAGATCTTTATATTTATTGGATGAAATAAGAATCACGTAATGCCTTAATAGGAATTCAATCCAGGAACTAGATGAAATAATTAATTTTATGTCTCTGTTTTCTAACTCTTATCACTAAGCAATAAGTTTAGATCTTAGAATCATAGTTAATGAGTCAAAACATAGTATCATGAGAGGCATTAGAGAAGCGGCTATAAGCTCAGGCCTGAAAGCTAGACTGGCTGGGTGTGACTCCTGGCTCCCCAACTTAATAGTAACGTGACCAGGACTTTGAACAAATTTTTCATTCTTTTTGTATTTCCTTTTTCTCTCTATCATATGGAGAATACTAACAAACGGTGTCTGCCCTCACAGGGTTCCTGTGAAGAATGAAGAGGTCCATTCATATCAAGTGCTTGGATCAGTGTCTGGCACATAGTTTAATGAATGGTAACTATTATGATAAATAACATCCTAGTATCCTTTCCTACTTTTAATAGCCATTTTTAGTAACCTTATTTGTAATTAGAAAAACAACCATCACAGAAATATTCCACACATAAGAGGAGAGCTCTGCTTTTGAGACAATGTAATTAGAACACTTTAAATTTTTTAAATTATACAAAATATATGTTTTTAGTGATTACTGAGACTGCCATGAAAAACGAATTGGAAAAGGACAAGACTAGCAGCTGGAAACCTAGTTAAGAAAATTTCATAGCAGTTTCGGTAATTTATGATGAAGGCCTTAACTAGGAACAGTGCAGAGTGAAAGAGTTAGTGACTCTGACAGCTATGTAAGCAACAGAACTGACGAAACTTGGCAGATGATTGATATGGGGCAAGGAAGATTTTTTTGTTTAAGCAACAGAGTAGACAGTGGTAATATTCACTTAAGTTATGAGAAGGAATGAGATCTAGGAAGCCTCTTTGAGAGAGAAAATAAGAGATCCTAATTTCCCTTATGAGTCTCTTCTAACACTTTAGATATAGACAGAGGAAGAAGAGCTCACAAACATCTAGATTAAACCACACAGGAAGAAAGAACTCAAGGAGACTCATTGGAAGAACAGGTTTCAAGAATGGAAAATAATGTACATTCCTAATGCTCTAAGGAGACGTACAAGTAACCACTGGATTTAGCAGAAGGAGGTCTCTGTGGTGGAAGCAGGCAACAGCAGCAGATAAGGAGTCAGAGAATACACAGTCTCTAATTTATCCCAACACCACAGGAAAAAAGAAAGGAGAGCCACCAGCTAAAGGAATAATGAAACTGAAGAAGAGGATTTGTCTTTTTTTTTTAATTATAGAGATTTGAGGAAGTTTAAAAGGTTGACTCAAGATAAAGACGATCAGAGAGAAACAGGAAACAGAAACAGATCTCTAAGGAAAAGGCAGCTAGGTTTCATAGCATGGACACGACAGGTTCTTCTTTCATTGTAACATGAGGAAAGAAGCAGAGAAGTGGTATGGATGCAGGCAGGTTCGCAGGGTTGGTGGGCTGAATAATTTCTTATTTTGGTTGCAACGTAAATGGAGGTCCTATGCTGAAAGACAGAAACAGGTGAATGGAGAATTTTAAGATTCAAGAAAAGGTATGGTGGTAGGTGGAACAGATACATACCAACAGCAGGAGTTCTCAACCTAAATATAAAGTACTTCTAGGAAGTCCATGAGTGAGCTTCAAAAGATCCCCTAAATTTGCAGGCAAATTTTTAAGTGTATATTCTCGTATTTTTCTGGACTGAGACCACATGTCTTTCATCAAACTCTCAAACAGTCTTAAGTCAAATAGTTCAAAGCTACACAACAGGAGGATTAATGACCATTGTAGAGGGACTGGTTGAATCTACAAATTATGTATCAGTCTGCATAGGTATGGTGATGTATTTCTTTCCAGAAGCTTAAGTGGAGGGTTAGGAGATATAAACAGATTGATCCATGCTTGCAGTTTTATCATGTCCTAGTACCAGGTCCAAGAGAGTGGGAAAATTGAAGAAATTGGTAAGAGGATAGGTGAAGAAGTTAAGCAACAGTCTTTAACTTGAGTAGGAAATAAAGTAAAAAAGGAATGAAAAATAGTGAAAGAGAGTTGCGGGGCATAAAGTCAAAGGCAAGTAAAGTAGGGCTGCATCACAGAGGAAGAAAGCATCATCAGATTACGGATATTTAAACTAGAGAATTCACAGTTAGAGCTATGGCAGATCCAGCATGGGTTCACAGAACATCCTCTGTGAATGCAGAAGTAAGGATGGAAAAGAAAGAATGCTGTACGGGACCATTCATGTGGACATTCACATCACTCATGTCTATAACACGACTCAGGGTAAGGAAATCCTCTGAGCCAGATGCTAAATTCTCAATGAATGAAAGGCAGTGACTGAAAAAAGGTAGTAGGTAACAATAGCAGAGTAGAACGAAATGGTCCTGCCTCAGAAGAGCAGTAGTTTTTCCACTTGAGGATGTAATAATACAGCTAGGAAAAACAGTGGAAAGGGAAGTGGTTCTCAATTCTGAGTATGGGGAGTTTTTACAAATGAATAATTGTCATTTCAAAGGGCCGTAAGTGGACCTCATGCCCTCACAGAAACATCCAGTCTACTGCAAACAAGAAACTGAAGGGATAATTCTTGCAACTGTTTACTCATCTGCAATTTACGAATCACTTTCACACAGAAAATGTGAAATTGTATCACAACTGTGGTAACTGTACAACTGATTATCAAAATAACTCCCTGAGGACAGCTGAAGAGTTTGAAAGAGTTTTCCCAAGAATTGGTGGCAGGTCTTCTAGTACATAGTCTTCAAACTCTTTAGATGATAGCAGAGAGTCTATTCACTAAAATACTTGAAAAACAGAGGAAGAACAGAAAGAAAAACTTTCTGTGTATGCAGGTGTGTACAACAAGCACTTTACATACATCACATTAATTCTACAACAATCCTATGGGATATAAAAACTAAGGCTTAGAGAAATTAGTCACATTGTTGATAAGAAGTGAAGCAAAAGAGCCGAACCATGGTTCCAGGTTCATGACTGTGTAGCACATTAGTGCAGAAGGAGGATAGGAGAGCAAGAAAAAGATGAAACTTGGAAACACTGTAAGAATTATCAAAATTCTGCTAGAAAAGAGAATAAAAGCAGCTAAACTATACAGTTTTTCCCCCCTATTACTAAACATGGTAAAAGAATTTGAAATGCAGAAACTGAAGAGCACATCAAACAAAATAAACCAAAAAGAGGGTTGGTAGACTCATGTCATGACTGAACGTATAAAAGTCCTCATAAGCCTTTTGACATTCACTTTAAAAAGCAGCCATAGGAACAGCTAACATTTAATGAGTGCTGACTATGGGCTAGGCTTCTGTGCTAAATCATCTGTTCATTTCACTGAATTCTCACACAACCTTCTGAGGGAGAGAGGCTTATTTACATTTAATAATCGAAGAAACTAAGATGCAAGAAAAGTAACCTGGCCAAGATTACATAGCTACCAAGGGACAGAATCAGGACCCAACACAGACACCAAACTCAGTCATTCTGGCAATATAACACATTAAATAAAGAGAGTATCAATAACATTTTTCCATCTTCATTATCATGCACACCATATTTATCTTAACACATTATTGTGTGCTATATAGTACATTCAGTAAATTCCAGTTAATAGTTCTTGATTAGTACAGACTTTTCAAAAATATTCTACACGGTAACACTTTATTTCAACTAAGCATCTACAAATGTTTTGCTTTGTTGTAGTTTATACATATGCTATAGAACTTTGTTCCTCCCAAGATTGTTCCTCAATTCCTTTCTGAATTAATAATAGAGTTCTCGATTACTATTTTCCAAGTCCCACAAAGATCCAGACAGACAAGGTAACTGAGTGCTTAAGACTGAAGCAGTCTTGATGAATTTCTCATATACTAGGCACAGTACATAAGTATGACTACTGCATTACCCATTTTAGCTCTGCCCACACTTCATGTAATCAGTCTTTCAGTTGCCACTCAATGGAACCAGGAGTAAAACATTCCATGTTGGAAAATAACAACTTTGGGTAGTTAAAACAGATTCCACCAGTATTTAATATTCTTAAGAAATTATTGTCACATGGTTGGTAAGAAGTGAAGAGCTGAACCTTGCCTCTACTTCCAGGTTCGATGACTGTGCCGCATCTACCAGTCACTACACCACTGTGTGGATCCCACCAATGTTTAATCTTCTTAAGAAACCCTGATATTTTGTTTCAACATTAAATGCTATCATATTTCATGAAGATGATAAACTCAAGTTATTTAAAATACTGAGCATATTGCTATAATATTATCACCGGAGGAAGTCTGGCCTGAAGCTGCCCTATATCTCTTGAGACTTGCGAATCAAAGAATGGTGTTCACTAGTATAACCCTGGTTATACTAATACCACAAAATAATGTTTTTAGGTAACCTCTTCATTTTAAAAGCTGACATGAACACCTTCCCTCTCAGCAGCCATCACACCTCAGTGCAGTGTGGAAGGATGCCATGCTCATGCTGCTCATTCTTCTGAGGGCCGAGTGCACAGTAAGATAACATAACCTGACCATAACGTGGCCAGGCTTTTCACTATTTCCCTTTCCACTCGTAAGACCATGAAATACTGTTATTTGCCAATTATTTTCTGTGATGTGCCCCCTTTGCTGCATACATGACTGAGACCCAATCTTGTCTAACTGCAATGCACCTTTCCCAGTTTCTATGGCTCACAAAATAACCACCAGCTAAATAACAACGATAACAGCACTACTGATACAAATAAACTCTCTTCTTCTGTGTCCTAACTCTCAAATGAGAAACAGAACAAAAAGATGCCACGCTCTTCCCCACAAAGGTTATACTCATCCCTCAAAATCAATGGGGGATTAGTTGTAGCATCCCCCGCAGCTACTAAACTCCATGGATGCTCAAGTCCCTTATTTAAATTGGCATGATATTTGCACATAACCTAAGCACATCCTCCTGTATACTATAAAACATCTCTAGATTACTTACAATACCTAATACAATGTAAACTCCACGTTAATGGCTGTTATACTCTATTGTTTAGGAGATAATGACAAGACAAAAACATCTGTACATGTTCATTATACATGCAATTATTGTAGGTCTAACTATGTTTTCTGTCAAGGTTGATTGAATCCATAGATGCAGAACCAACAGGTATAGAGGGCCAACTGTAATTACAACACAGATTCACCCTCTGCATCTCAGTAATGTTATTCAGTTGCAAAGAAAATATCTGTTGGCATCTAACATCTGTGACAGTAATTACTCAACACTGTTGATATTATGTCATATCCAACAGACACATTTGATAAGTAATTCTGCCAAAGACATCTTTTGCTCTTTTCAAGCATATTTGTCATTAAATATCTGTGATTGTGATAGTTTTACAAACCTTTTGAGAGTAGCATCAATTTTATGTTGCATTTGTGTTTCTAATGAGAAGTTCAACTCAGTGATATCTCAATCATCTCTTACTTCTAGCAACAAAATTCATAAAAGGAACTCAAGACATTCATTTTCATTGTCACTTTTTATGTAGTGCCCATGGATCTGACCCTGCCTCAGCTCAAGAGGTAGACAGTGGTTCCCATCCTGAATACATATAGAATCTAGGGACCTTTCAGAAAAAAACTATGATGCTGGCATCCTATCCAGGACCACTCCCCACCCCTGTCCCAGCCACAAGCCTTCCAACATGTATCTCTCAGAAATGCTAGATGTAGAATCCATGTATGATATTTTTTCAAATTCCCTAAGTAATTCTAATATACACCCAGGGTTAAGAATCACTAGTCTTTACCATATAAATGGCAGAATTCCATCCCTGCTACAATAGTAGGGTGAGTTCAAGATACAGTGAAAACCTTGGATTTTATGTAATGACTCTGTGAAGAGAAGTTCTCTTTCTTTCACTCTAAGGAGAAATCATAAAAGTCTCCTTGATTCTGGCACATACACTTTGACTACAAGGAAGAATAAGGCAGAGTAGAAGGTCAAAAAGAAGGTGAGTTTTTGCAACAAAGTGGATTGCTGAGTGAAGTCTGGCTTGAAGCTGCTCTGTATCTTTCTAGATTTCATAAATACTCCTATTTCTATGGTGAGACAGCCACAGACACAGACCATTCAGATTTCCTTTACGACAATCTGTTACAGAAAGTAGAATTAACTATTATAACAGCCTCAGGTGCTGTCTCTTTGGATGCATGAGGACATTCATCCCCTAGGGTGCTATCAGCTGTGCCTGAGCATGGTGAAGGTATGAATGCTGATCTATTCCTGCCCAATGCAGGACCCTTCCAAAGGTATCCTCAGCTTTGGGACATGCCACTGGTCTGGCTAAAACTCTCTTAATGCTATGCTGTAATCTAGACTCCTCCTACCCAATTCCTCCCTTTCTCCTTTCATAGGAATCAAAACTACATCGTATCTGAAGGCCTTCCCTGTCTATGCTAGCCCTTTTCCCCTTTATCTCTCTCACAGGTGTTTTCCCCTAATAAATTCTTTGTGCATCTAATCCTGTCTTGGCATCTGCTCTCTGGAAGACTTGAACTAATAAAGATAAATTTTCTGTTGCTTTTGACCAAAAGTATTCTGACTGCATTACGTAGAATACAAACTCGGCTGCTGCAATGAAAGACAAAGTAAGAGGGACTTCAAGATAAAAGTTTATTTCTCAGGCAAGTAGCATGCAATTGTAAGAAGCTAACGGGGGCAGTTCGCGGTGTCAGGGACCCAGGCTATTCCTCTTATACTTCTGCCATTCTCAATACACAGTCTCCAACTAATCATCTCTATGATAACTTCTTTAGTTTCTGCTACCACGTATTCATTCCAAGCAGCAAGTTGGGAGGAGAGAAGGGAAAATGGAGAGGTACGCCCTTTCCCTTTAATAGCAAGATTCCAAAGTGGAACCTATCACTTAGGTTCACATGGCCACATCCTGCTGCAATGGAGGCTGAGAAAAGTAACCTTTAGCTGCATGATCATGTCATAAACTAAAACTCCACTACCAAATGAAGTAGGGATATTAGGAAATGACTACCAGTCTCTCTACTACAATTAATTCTTTACTATTTGCAATAAGTCAAAATAGTTCATCAGAGAGACTAACAGCTTCTGTTAAAAATTATTAAAGTTTCAATGACTGCTTATTATTAGATGAAAAATACAAAACAGACATCAGGAACATGATCAAATCCATTGCTGACCTTTTAAAAAACACAATTCACTGTCTTTTCTATTACCATGCACAGCCTTTAAAAACATAATTGCTAAGAATATAGTAATATTTTGTGATAATCATAATCACTTTCATATTTAAAATATGTATCAACTTTTCTCCTGAAACTACAAAGTCCTTTATTCCCCACAAAAGCACTCAACCACAAAATCTGAAACCCACCAATAATTCATGGACCACACTTTGCAAAGCAGTGGCATAATATTATTTTAATTCTAGAAATGTATAAAGAGAGAGAGAGAGAGAAAGAGAGAGAGAGAGAGAGAAACAAGAAGGAAAAGAAAAAAGAACCCAGGATCTTCAAATGAAAAGTTAGCAAGTACCTGGAGTTGACATCTCCATGTCCTAGCTGCCCATGCTGCCCATAACCAAATGTATAGACATCTCCGTTTTCCATTAAAACCACTGAAACCAAAACACATAGCTTTATTTTTTCATCACATGCATTTTACATTTCTATTACAACTATACTAAAAGCAGTGTAATTTTTACTATTTAAGATTTATAGCACCATTAAAAATAGGTAACTGGTAGGAAAATTTATATTTAATGACAAATAAATATAATTTTAGTTTATAAAGTATTTTTGTAGGTCATATAAATGTATAATTTTTTCATAATACATACTTTGAAACTCTTACAAATAATATTTACTAACAATTCAACACATACTGGTTCAGGTCAACTGTAAAATCTTCTTAATAATCAGTAACTATATATAAAATATTGTTCTATCTAGGATAGGAGGTCTGCAAAATTATGTACGACATCAATGAAATGGCAGAACTTTAATGTCTGTTAATGCCTTACCAAATAATCTTCAAGGAAGGAATTTAACATTTTTCTTTTTCTTTTTCTTTTTTTTTTTGAGATGGAGTTTCGCTCTTGTTACCCAGGCTGGAGTGCAATGGCGCGATCTTGGCTCACCACAACCTCCGCCTCCTGGGTTCAGGCAATTCTCCTGCCTCAGCCTCCTGAGTAGCTGGGATTACAGGTACGCACCACCGTGCCCAGCTAATTTTTTGTAATTTTTAGTAGAGACGGGGTTTCACCATGTTGACCAGGATGGTCTCGATCTGTTGACCTCGTGATCCACCCGCCTCGGCCTCCCAAAGTGCTGGGATTACAGGCTTGAGCCACCGCACCCGGCCTAACATTTTTCATTTTTATAAAGGTTGAATGGTACAGCACAGGATAACCCAAATGCCAATATTTACTAAGAATTTAATTATTTTCTACCTTGTAAGAAAGTAAATTTATTGACGCACATTTATCACTGTACATTAACGAAATATGAGAACATGTTACAAATATCACAGCATTCTAGAACTGAAAGAGATTTAAGGCATTATTTCATCTTCCAGAATTTCTTGAATTATAAAAGAAGTCCATAGGAAAACAGACTGGAAGTTAGCTTTCTAGACAAGTACCTGTTCCATCCTGCCACAGTTGTTTAAAGTGACAGTGTAATAAATACAAAGCTCTTACAGATTTGAGAGATTGCCACACTATAGCTTTTAACACATAGTTAACAGGCTACGTCCATCAAATCTGAACAAATAAGTTATTTAGCACAATTGTAAAAATGCAGTTATACCCTAAAGTTCCAGCTGCTACCTGAATGGTGAAATCCACAGCTGACTTGGACTGCCCGGAGCTCACAGTCAAATCGCACAGAGCCTGGAGGGTACGTTGTGATTTTGCTTGCATCCTTTTCTCCTCTTTCTCCACTTCCATCTGTAAGTGTTATAATTTGTGAATTATGAATAATTAAGCCATTATTCAACCTCAAAATAAAAATTTTAATCAGTTTATTATGGAAGAACAAGAGAAAAATGTTAAAAGGAACAAGCAAGAAGAATCTGTAGCTGTTAGAAGTGATAGATCAAGAATCTACCTGCAAAGAAGCAATTTTGAAAAGATAGACTATATACTTCTGTTTGCAAATATCACTAAATTAATAAAAACAGAGATGAGATCTAGTTATGGATAAAACCTTATATAAAAAATGGGTAATTAAGTTATAGAAATATCAAACTTTAAAATATAAGTTTATATGGAAAAATTTAGTTTGCATAAAAAATTACTGCATGCAAAGTCATTTAACAATTATTTTAAACTTAGTGATATTGTTAGTACTAGCCGTTTTTAAAAAATTGCTAATGGATTCACAAGTGACTTAGATTTCCTAAACAGATCTTAGAAAGGCTACACTGTCCACCAGTATTGAGAAACTCAGCTGAACTTTTAAAAATGTATAAAGACCAAAGAGCTTTATTCAATATATTATAGTTCAATGGCCTATTCTCATTCATGTTTCCTGTGCCACCATCACCTTCAGCCGTATTGCTCTGTGGTTTTCTCCCTGTCCCCAACAACCAAACCTTTTTTCTGCTTTCATTTCTTCTTTCCTCCTCCCTTCTTATAATTTCTTCCATTTAGCTTGCTTTAAGTCTTTCTCTACCCCTAGTTTTTGCAATCCAACTTCGAATTTTCCAGCAATCTAATCACAGCAATAAAAACCACATTCCAGAATAGAAAAATATTTGTTTGGAATGTGTGAATAACAACAACTTACTTTTCCTAATCACAATGTACTTTTCCTATACATCACTAACATGTGACCTTTATATTATCAAGATTCAAATTCCTTGCACACAGAATGAATGTATTATCTGGAAGGAATTTCACAAGTTCAACTAGTCTAAACCACTCTCGAGTGGTATAGCAACTCTAAACAAGTGTGTATTATATGAAGATACATATGTGAATCTACAGACACACACTTTTAATTCTGTATTTTCATTGTGCATTTCAGAACATTAAACAGAATATTAAATAATTTTGTGTTTACTTTATTCTTTTTTTACCTAATCTTTAGTAATATCCAGGTGAGACAAAACCCACCTACACTATTACTTTCCTTTCCATAACTAACTGACTATGATTTTGAAAACCGTGAAACTCTTTATGATACTAGGACAGTAAAATCTCACTAATTCGGAATAACATAGAACAGGTAGGCCTGTGTAGCTGACTGGAAAAGTCTTAATCATACAGAACACTGAAGTAAAATTCAGTTTTGTTACCTTCAAGCAGTACAGATTACAGATTAAATGAAATGCTACAATAAATAGAGTGTGGCTACCTACATTATATTTCAAAATAGGCCAATATTACATTTAAAATGTACCATAAACATAAAAGTCCTTTAACATACAAGAATTAACTGCTGGACCCAGAGGTTGAAGGCACGCTGAAGGAATCCTTCATTTCTTGAGCCCTTGGTTTGAAAAGCTAGTGATTTTAGACAGGTTTCCCCTTATAAGTATGACCCTGAAAATTCAGAGGAAGAAATTATTTTGAATTTTTTACTCAAAAAAGATCACAAATACTGCATCTCAAGTATCATAAATTCAGAATTAGTGAGAGGTTTTACTATAATAGGATGAAGAATATGATTCCTCTTCTGCTAAATTATCTAATGTGGGTTTGCCAAATTAAATCAAAGAATGGATAGACTAAAAAGAAAAAAAAAAATCACGACATTTAGTTTCACTCCATCCAAAATAAAATATACTCGTTCAAAGCCTCCTCATGTTGGAAAGATAGTGGAATGTTAAAATATACGCAAAGGTCTACACACACACACACACAAATATATATCTTCCAAAGGCTATTTAATAAGATATTAGATGTAAAGAAATTTTACAGCTTTATTTCAATTGGTAAAAATGTCTAATTAAAACCAAATGTGATTTAACATAGAAAACACATTGTGTTCATATGATTCTGCAGACTTAATCAAACATTTTAAGTACCATTCCACTTTACATAAATGTATTGATACCTAGTTAGAAGGTTTTACCTTTGAATTTAGCATTTTGTCTCCTCCCTTGAATAGGAGATTAAATATAGGCATAAATCCCACAATAGAGACATAGCATCAGGGAAGGAGATTTTTTAAAAGGTTGGTAATTTACTGAATAAAACCACAATGAACTAAAAGAATAGCAGCTATTATTTAGATGTCAAAATAATACTAGAAACATTGTGTTCACTGAAACAAACTGCATCTGTACAAAACAACTTCTCAATTATTATAGATGGTAAAAATCTTACAAGTAAAAAAACTGAGATGAGGGTCTTAATCATTAGCAGCAGTAACAGAAAAAAAAATACACACACGCACACACACACACACACACACACGGTATTTGGTATTTTGGCCACTTATTAAGTGCCTTTTTTCTTTGACAAAAAAGGCACTTAATAAGTGGCCAAAAATTTAGTGCAAATTTAAGAACTAGCAAGTGAAATCAGCCAGATTACTTCTGCTCAAGTCGAGCGTGGTAGTTCACACCTGTAACCTCAGGACTTTGGGAGGTCAAGAAGGGCAGATTGCTTGAGCCTAGGAGTTCAAGACCAGCCTGGGCAAAATGGCAAAACCCTGTCTCTACTAAAAATACAAAAAACTAGCTGGGTGTGGTGGTGAATACCTATAGTCCCAGCTACTTGGGCAGCTGAGGTGGGAGAATCATCTGAGCCGGGGAGGTCAAGGCTGCAGTGAACTGTGATCATGACACTGTATTCTAGCCTAGATGATAGAGTGAGACCCTGTCTCTCTCTCTCTCTCTCTCTCTCTCTCTCTCTCTCTCTCTCTCTCACACACACACACACACACACACGCACACACACACACAATCTGTTCAAGCTCATTATTCAGTAAAGTGTTAAGAGCAGCAATAAGATCTAAGCTTATATCTATATAAAAAATCACATATTATCTGTCAATAAAAAATTGACAGGTGTGAATAATCTTACAATAATTGGCCATTTAAGTATGAGCACATCTGTACTTTGCCTAAGATAAATGTGGTGTGGGTGTGTGTGGGTGTGGACCATATAATATTGAAACTACAATAGCTACAAAGCCTTGGCAAATATGTAACTAAAATATTGGATGTATATACACATTATATATAATTAAACACGCATATTTGTGTAACAGAGAAAAAAGAGGGCTCAGTATCTAAGGGACTCTAACTTCTAATTTTAATTTTTACTAAAATCTATACATTCAGAGGGTAATCCTACAGTCATGTATATCACAGAAACTATCACAGGTCACAATGAGTACTTGGAGCAAAATCATTAAAACAAATCAGCAAGGATAAAAGTAGCTGCAATTTACTAAGCACTTGCTGTGTGCCAACTGAACACTGTCAACAATTAAATACCACAATGGATGAGTGCTTGGGGTATTGGAACCTAAGAACTTGGACTGGAATCTTTGCTCTACCATCTGCTAGTTGTTGTAAGAAAACTGGACAATGGACATTTTGGTCTTAGCTTTCCTATCTATAATATAGCAACAATGGTATATGACTCACCAGGTTGCTATGGGAATTGAGTAAAATAATATATGAAAGATGCTCAATCAATATTTACTACTGTTGCTTTCTTTAATGAATACAGCAATCCCATGACACAGGTATTCTTATTCATTCTACAGATGAAAAAAACTAAGGTTTGGAGGGTGAAGGGATTAAGTAACCAGCCCAAAACCATACACGGTAGAACAAATTTGCAGTTTAATCATAAATTAGGCTCATGCATTTTACTACCACCAAATGGTTAAAACCTTAAATCTTTTGTAAAAATAAACTATGCATTTAATCAATTTCAAATAGTGTACCTTTAAGATAATTCTGAAAAGGAAAATAAAAAATCTGATTCAAAATATTAAAGCTAGTATTCATGGAGGATTTGTATGTGCAAAGACTATATATGTGTATGTGCAAAGATTACAAACATGTATTTTAATCTTCATAGCAACACAATTAGTTAAGAATTACTGTTTTCATTTTTAAAATAAGAAAACTGAAGCCAAAGAGATTAAGATATTTTGCACAGTCATGTAGTTCTAGTAAATGACAAATTTAGAAACAGAATTGAAGCCTAATTCCAAAGGCTATAATATTTTCATCACATCATACCATTTCCAAACAGAAAGTAAGCGTAAAATAGACTCAGATGTTTATCAGTATGCTTTTGGATTTTCACATCAGTCATTTTAAAATAGATATTAGGACTATCTCTGAAACAATTCAGATGTTCCTAACTATGTATACTATCTAATATATTTTTCTACGTAAGGTACTGAATAGCTGAAACAAATGTTAATTCAGTTATCTGTTTCAAATATAGCTTATGGAGACATTTTAGAATAATTTATTATATTTAATATGGGATTTTACTTATCGATTCAGACTATATATTTAATTTTGCCTTTAGTCAATATCTGCCTATATAGGATAAATTCAGTGACCTCCTCTGAATTTTCTCCAATCACCCAGTTCTCTAACTTTCCATCTTAGAACTTACTCCTGGTTAAAAATAAATCCACAGTTCTTACTCTCTATACACCCTCCCAAAAGAGTCACAGTCTAAAAAATTTAATCATCATCTTATAATTTGTACCAACATAATTAAATGTAAGATAGAACACAGCAATCAATACCATGAACTTCTCAGCAGATAAACTAGAAGATTAACTGGATAAGGTGAAGAAAAAAAGATATATAGAAAAATACTTAATAAAATAAAAGACTATGAAAATATGTACATGTTGAACATCCTTATTTGAAATGCTTGGGACCAGAAGTATTTTGGATTTCTAATTTTTTTCAAATTTTTGAATATTTGCATATATGTAATGAGATATCTTGGGGATGGGACCCAAGTCTAAACATGTAATTCATTGATATTTCATATATACATTACTCACATAGCCTGAAGATAATTTTATGCAATATGTTAAATAATTTGGTACATGAAAATTTGTATACCCAGAAGTATCAGAAAGCAAAGGTACCTCAGCCACCCACATAGACAAACTGTGATTGTTTGGCATCACTATCATGCTGTGCATGGAAAAGTTTCATCATAGCTGAAGGGGGCTGAGAAGTTCATTTTTCTCTCAAGGACACTGAATAAGCTGTGTGCTAGGAGTGCAACCTGTCACAGGAAGTCAGGTGTGGAATTTCCCACTTGGGGGCTTTGTGTTGATGCTCAAAAAGTTTCAAATCTAGGAGCATTTCAAATTTTCAAATTAGGGATGTTCAACATGTTAGAGTAAAAGCAGTGAATGGAGAGATGATTAAATGACAGGACAGTGAGTGTAAATGGTTAGTTGCTGGAGAGAAATTAGTGAGTAGTAAATTAATACTCTTTACAAAAACAGGGCAACATTTGATAAATTATTATTTGTACTGTAAGTTTGAGGAGTAAAAAGATAAAACTATCTCACTCTATGAAACCATAAAATCCAATAAAATCTGGTCCTACACTGTGATATTACAAAGTAGGTCCTTAAAAAGTGGTTGCCACAAGTATACAAAGAAACTTGTTATAAAGTAACCCCATGACAAACAAAACTGAAGGCTGTCATTGAATAATTTGCTTTTTACTGCAACCTCTGCCTCCCAGGTTCAAGTGATTACTGTGCTCCTGCCTCAGCTTCCTAAGTAGCTGGGATTACAGACATGTGCCACTTCGCCAGGCTTATTATTATTATTATTATTATTTGTATTTTTAGTAGAGATGGGTTTCACCATATTAGCCAGGCTGGTCTTGAACTCCTCACCTCAAGTGATCTGCCCCTCTCAGCCTTCTAAAGTGCTGCGATTACAAGCATGAGCCACTGTACCCAGCCACATTGAATAATTTCTATAGCCAATCGTTAAGTGACAATGGGAAAGGTCTGCTTTAAATTTGCAACCTTAGTCTTCATTTAACATTTCATTTAAAAATCTGGAAAAGGTAAAGATACTTTTCCATGAGATACTGACATGGAGCTAAAAAGGTTTTTAAACGGTCTCGTGAAATGTGAATATTCAACCTCAGGTAAACTTTTGGGAAAACTTCACTTTCATATAATTGGGGGAAAAAACTGAAAACATACGTTCTAATTGTGACATAGTAGAAATCATAAGAGATCAGACATTCTGGCAATAACAATTTCACTGCATACCCTCCCAAATATTATTCCTTACATATATATCTAATCTTTTTTGGGATCAGCTTTCTCAGGTTGAAAATTTCTTAAATACTTATGGCATTGTTAAAGCACTCAGTAAATAAAACAATCACAAATTTTACTGTGGTTAATTGCATTAGATTTAAAACACTATTTTTATTTCTGCAGAATATATCTTAAGTTGTGCTCTATTTATACCTTTACTAAAGATGAGTTTTGTCTATTTTGTTTGGGTTTTTGTTCTGAGTGGCAAATTGACAGACTGAAAGAGGCAAATAAAAATAAAGTTATTATACTACTTATCTATGAAAATTTTAAAAAATTAGACTATGACAGTTTTGTAGCAAAAAAAAAAAAAAAAAGAAAGATCCGAACATTAATTAGATTAATTTGTCTATATGGTAAGCATGTTTTTAAAACTTCCTATTCTGTTTTGCCAGACCTCTCTTAGGCATTTAAGAAAATGGCAATTTTAAGCTGTCCTAGCCAAGGAGGAGGACTGGTTCAAAGGCCATGATTCAAGGCAAAATTTTTATATAAATTTATAAATTCCTTGTATTAAATTCTTTCCTAATCTTAGTTGACCCATAATTTGTGGTTTACAAGAAAATAAGCATGCTTCAAGAATATATTTAATAACCTAGAACTCTGAGATCTCAAAGAGCAACACTAAGCTAGACTGCTACTCCCTCACAGACTAGGAGGGCCCTCTGACCACTGCCAGGGACTACAGACAGTCAACATGATTTGTGCTTTGCTTGCACGTATCTCTACTTAACCCACAAACATCAAATATTTGTATATTCATTTGTTGTATATATAAACTTAATAAACAGTGAAAAAGTGTAATGGCAGCCTTATTACCATTTAACATACTGAATTTAGTAATTTTGTTCATCCTAAAGCATATAAACAGCATTCAAAAAAGAACTGTAAAATGCCAAATCAGTCATTAAAGAGCAAATAATAAAAGCCATAAGACAGAAAGCAGTAATTATTTTACCTTCCCTTAACTTTCTGAAATTTGAAGAGAAATGGAAAAGAAAAAGATGATACACTGTAAAATGCCTCCTTTATTAAAGCTAACCAAACCAATGAAACAAGAAGCATGACAGTCACTGACAAATGGTACCACTTTCAGCATGTTCTTTCTCCTCAGGCTGCATCGTAATGATAGAAGCAAAGTAGAAGAATCAGGTTTGTGCATTTTCCCAGAGACAAAATTCAAATGAGTGGAAGAAATTGGGAAAGTATCCCACCTAGGTGATAAGGAAGACCAAATACCTTTGTGCTTGTCCCGTTTATGCTTTAGCTGTGCTGGATGGGATCTGAGTCTGGCTAGAGCCTGTTCTCGATGGTTCATAAAAATAGGACCAGCAAATACAAGGGGGCCTGAGGAGAAACATTTTGTATGTGCATAGAAAAACTCACAAAATGAAAACACTATAATGTACAAAAATAATTCAAACTAAAAAGCATAAGAACTTATTCTTAATGGTTTTGGACATTATATTTTGCTTCCAACTTCCCCACTCCAGCCCCCACCCCACCCATAACCTATTCACCATTGCATATAAAAGTTAACATCTTAAATACAGTTTACAAAGTATAAATCTGATCCTTTGCACTTATAAATTATTGAGTAGTTACTAACAGTCCCAAATAATCAGAAGTTCAATTTAAATAAATCATCTTACAAATACTTTTTAGTATCATAGATATTCAAAGTCAGTAAACCATGCATTCATTGAAGACAAATATCTTGCCCACTGAAACATAAAAACCAACTAATTTTTAAATTAATCATTAAGTTTTAACAAGGTCTTCCAGGTTTAATGTTTGTATTAATCTTCCTACAAAACCAAAATAAAAACATTACTGAGTTTACTACATGCAATAATAGAGGTTAAGAACACCAGATGATCAAAAACAAAACAAATGTCTATAATCTACATATAGATATATATATAAACACACACACACACACACACACAGGGGGAGGGGGGTGGGCGGGAGAAACAGAGAGAGAAAGAGAGCCTGGGCTTTATATTGACGGCAAAGAGGGTACCTAACCCAAATAACATAATAACATTTTGGAAACATCTTCATTAAATAATTTATTTCTAAAGTACCACTATGTACATATATATAAAAGTATACAAATACATACCCATACAGATTACAGTTCTTTTCACTAATATGACATTTAAGAAAAAAATCTACAGCCAAATTAATTTTAATAAAATAAATCACTTTTCCCATTAACATTTACCTTGAAAAGAAAAATAAATTTGTTATAACTTTAAATATTAGGTCTTCTCTTATGCATTAGAACTACAGTGTTCTTGAGTTTTAACAACATCAAAAATGCCTTCGAATGTGAAAACACTCTAAATTTGACAGGTTACCATTAACTGAAATGAGAATTATGACACTAAGCAATGAACATTTTCAATTAAAACAAGTTTTTTCATGATTCTCTACTGATCTTCAGTTTAATTAATTTTTCTAATGATGGGACAAATTGAAGCTATTGCCCTCTAATAAAATTTCATAAATGTCAAATTAAATACCAAAGTACCCTTCATTAAATTTAACAAGCGGGTAAAGAAACCATATTTCAACTATATTTCTAAATATAAACAAAAATTCAAATAGCTGTAATTGTATGAAAAACCAAGAATAACATATGCTACGACTATGACAGATAGAAACATGCTAATAAAGAGTAAGTATTATTTCCCAATAATGCAGTACCAATTATTTACAAGCTAAAGTTATATAAATTGGGTTTCATTTCTTTTTTTGTTTGTTTGTTTTTTTGTTTGTTTGTTGAGACGGAGTCTCACTTCGTCGCCAGGCTGGAGTGCAGTGACTCAACCTCGCTCACTGCTACCTCCGCCTCCCAAGTTCAAGCAATTCTCCTGCCTCAGCTTCCTGAGTAGCTGGGACTACAGGTGCGCACCACCATGCCCAAATAACGTTTGTTTGTTTGTTTTTTTAGTAAAGATGGGGTGTCACCATGTTGGCTCGGATGGTCTCGATCTCTTGACCTCGTGATCTCCCAACTTGGCCTCCCAAAGTGCTGGGATTATAGGCGTTAGCCATCATGCCCGGCCTCAGTTTCTAAAATGTAGTAAAATTGATATTTCAAATATGAACAAAATGCCTTATTTCTTAGCAGGCATTATTTATCAATTGTTACAAAGCAGATATATAAATTACAATAAAAAGTATTTTTGAAGTATATTAAAAAAGTTATAGATATTAAGGTAATAATATAAAGCTGTATTATCATTTTCTGATTTCTATGATCTGCCTGCAATATTGTTTCTCCCCATTAAAATACATTACACCTATTTAGTGTCTTGCTAAATTCAATCTTTTTAGAATCTTTTGATTTATAAATCAAGAAGGCCTGGGGGCAATCATGTCTAAAATTTGAAGTGATCAGACTCTAAAATACTATTGTATCCCCCAAGCTAAAATAATGTTTCTTCAAATATAGTTGAGTTACTAATTTATTCACCAGTTGTTTTGATTGTCTTTTATCTAGAAGACACTAAGTGAAATGAATATAGTGACAAAGATATCGGTCTCACTGGAATTCAGTCTACTAGGGAAAACAGAAATCAAAACAAAAACTATGAAATATTACAATAAATGCTATAAAAGAAGTCTCTATACGTTATGTCCTGAAAGATGGAAAGATATTAAATAAACTCTAGAGAATCAGTGAGGTTTCAAAGAATGACAAAAAGTTTAACAAGAGAAAAGGAAAGGAAGAGAGGGCATTCCAGTTAAAAGGAATCAGATATAAATTAAAATTTTATAAAAGCCTAAAGATGATAAACAATATTGTATAGTCATTAAAAACATACATAGCTGACTTTTACAAAGTATATGTGATGGAGCAAAAGTCTTGGGAAATTTGTTTGGAGAGGTATGCGGAAAAAAAAACCCAGATAATTAAAACCTTTTCATACCATAAAGCATTCTAAAGATAAGTCCCTAAACTGCTTTCAATTAGCCAACAAAGACATACTATAAATCATGGTACTAACAGGTAAATTGTGAAGTCCTGGGAACGTTGATAAACAAGATACAATCGCTGCTTCGAAAAGCTCACATTCTAATGAGGGGAGAGAGGGTTTACACACAACTAAACAAGAAATTAGGACACTCTGCTATGATGAAAAAAGCACACACAAACTGGAGGAGGAGCTAACAAAACTTGAAGGTGGGAAGGTAGAGAATATAGAGATAGAAGAAAACATCACCTAAGATGAGGTCAAATAAAGGAGGTAGAAAGAAGTATAAAGGTTCAGAGATAGGGAATAAAAAGAGGACAGAGAAAAGAAATGAGAATAGAGAGAGATGAGTCTGTAGAGATAAAAGTGCACCCTTCATCCTAGGGACTACGAATAGCCTTTTGGTTTTAAACAGAGAACTGCTACTGATCTGATCTGTATTGCAGATCGAATATTCTGGAAGGTGACTAATGGCTTAAAAGAGGATAAAACTGGAGGTAAGGCCAATTAAAAGGCGTTTTGCTGTCATTCAGGCAAAGAAGGGAAGGGGCCTCAGCTAAGCAAACTGAGATTCTCAAAAGCAGACATTCAAAAGCTATTAAAGAATTAAGAGGACTGAATAAATAGAAATTGGTTGTTTATTTCTTTCATTGAAAGAGAAGTGAATAAAATAGGGGTATGAGATAACCAGGTTTAGAGATTCAGACGCTACACAGATGTGTAGACAATGGGTAATTCAGAGTCCATCCATAGGCAGTTAGGCAGAAAGCATGGAATAAGTGGCAGTGTTAAATAGTACAAGCCTTTCAGAAAGCTACTGGTGACACATTTCAAGATCTTAAAAATTATTATCCTTTGGCCTAGTAACTACACTCTAGAAATCTATCCTCAAGAAAACTCTAAAATGTTTTTTAAAAGGGTTTTGCCTCAAAGGTGTTTACTACAACTTTATTCATTATAGCAAACATTTAAAAAATACCCAAATGAAAACAATTAACTAAAAATGATAATACATCTACTCAATGGAATAATATATAGCTATTAAAATGAGATTTATAAAAAATTTTTACACAGAAATGATTTTGTGTTATTTAAATTAATAATGAGATACCATTATTCACCAGTTTTGCAAGAATTAAAAAGAATAACTAAACCCAGGTGTGGTGGCACATGCCTGTATTTCCAGCTACCCAGGAGGCTAAGGCAGGAGGATCACTTAAGCCCTGTAGTTTGATGCCATCCTGGTCAACACAGAAAGACCCTGTCTCTACAAAAAAATAAAAGAATAACTAATACAGGTGATGCTAGAGGAAAAAACATCACTCATGTGTTAGTCTAGAGAGTATAAATTCCTATAACATTTTAAAAACAATGTGAATTATCTGTTAAAATTTAAAACAGATATACTCTCTGCCCCACACATTCTATTTTGGGAAAGTTCTACTATATAAACACTAATATGTAGCTCTAAGTTTAAGAATATTTATTATAGTAAAGCCCACAAAATCTAAAATAACCTGAATACCCATTAACAAAATAATGGTTGCATAAACTATGGATAACCATTGTTTAGGTAGTTACTGTATAGAATGTGGTAAATACACATTTACTGACCTCCTCCAGTGTGTGTTCACCTTGTACTGTGAAATGAGAAAAAGATGTTGCAAATATATACATAAATACTACTTTGATAAATAAACATATTTCTACACTTTCACATATGTGTGGGTATCTGTACATGACTATATTTTAATAGAGTAAGATGTTAGACTATTAACATCATTTGCTTGGTGGGGAAGTGGAAATGGAAAGGTGGGGGTAAAATGATAGCAAAATATAAAAATGTATGTATTATAACACTTTACAAAACAAAATTCAGTCAATACTTTAATATGCTTTTTGCAATAAAGCACAAAAAACTTTTGTGATATAATATTAAAGGGAATAAAAACAGGACACCAATATGTATCATAGTATGAAATTATATAAAGCAAAAAAGTGTAAGAAATTACACCAAAATTCTACTAATGGCTGTCTTTGTATAAAGATATACTAACCTATTTTTTCTAACATATTCTCTAAATCCTTCATATAATATTTTAGTTTAAAAAGAGACTTTTATGTGCCACTGGAATATCAGCTAATATTGGATTTGATGTGTCAAATCAAGAAAACCATAATGGTTTTAGGGGCTCAAAAATTAACAGCAACATCAACTCAATCACTTTGAAATAAGAGGCTTTAATAAAATTGTAACTAATTTTTTCCCATGAAAATTGAATGTTTTATTCTAGAAAAGCTGTTGGGGATTTTTCCCAATAATAATCAAAGTTTTGTGATTAGCATCCCAATGTTGTAAGA